TGCCTCCCAGCAAAGGACACATTGTAATATGGACTATTATTGACCTGTTTTCCAAACAGGCGCATTTTGTCCCCTGTAAAGGACTACAGTCTGCACGGCATCTAGCAAAACTATTTGTCCAACACGTATATCAACTTCATGGCACACCCAAACGTATAATCTCAGACAGAGGTCCCCAATTTACCGCCCGGTTCTGGAGACGTTTCCTAGGACAATTAGGAACAGAACAGGGACTGAGCTCTGCATTCCACCCAAATACCAACGGAGCCGCTGAAAGAGCCAATGCCATGGTAGAAAGGTATCTATGTTCTTATGTGTCATACCAACAAACAGACTGGTACGAACTCTTGCCTTTCGCAGAATCAGCATATAATAATACCGTGCACAGCAGTACAGGTTATACACCCTTCCTAGTAGTTTCTGGAAAAGAGTTCCCGGCCATCCCCGATCTAGATGTACAAATGACTAGTTCCCATAGTCCAAAAGAATGGACAGAGAAGGTTAAACAGAGTTGGCCACACATCAAAAATGCATTAGAAAAAGCTTCTGAAGCATACAAAACCCAAGTAAACAAACGGAGACGAGATAACCTACCCTTCAAAATAGGAGAAAAAGTGTATTTGTCTACAAAATATATCAATCTGCGTATGCCCAGTAAAAAATTAGGTCCAAAGTATATAGGTCCCTTTCCCATCACCCAAATAATAAATCCCGTAACGGTATCCTTACAACTACCCCCCTTACTGAAAAGAATACACCCAGTATTCCACAGTAGTCTCCTAAAACCAGCAGCCAAAATAAGAGAGACAGGAACACATCCAGGGCCCATGGCAGGAAGCTCATACGAAATTAAAAAGATCCTCGATTCTAAGATATATCATGGGAAGCTTAGGTATTTAGTACATTGGAAGGGATACCCTATATCAGAAGCAACATGGGTGAAAACGAAGGATATAGATGCTCCACGATTACTAAAACAATTCCATGAAACATATCCAAACAAACCAGGTGGACACTTCCCCACTTAATGAGAATAACTGAATGTTTTTATGTCCCTACAGGAAGAGACCTGGTAGGTGGGGGGGGGCGCATGTCGAGTGTCAGCCATTCCCTCGACAGAGGGAACAGAGACATGGTGAAGGGGGGTGTTGTAGTGTTTAGCAGGGCATGGTGATATCAGGTGGTGGACGGTATAGGGAATCTGGGGACAGGGTCAATAAAACGATGTCAAAGGAAACAAATGCCCTTCAATACGAGGGCAGCGAGATCCGGAAGTAACTGGCAATCTACAACGAACCTGAAGGAGTAAATAGCGCGGTCACTTTAGATGCACAATTGAGCAATGGCAGGGCGCTTGGGGGCGTTCTATAAAGCCAGATAAGCGGAGGAATCGGGCGTCTCTGACTTTGTTTTTCATCAGAAAACTTCAGCGCTTACTGTATGACCACCGTGTAAGCTACGATTAAACCGGATAGCTTCACCTTGGAGTGTGTGCGTGTGGTGTTTGTTCGGCGGAGCACAGGTGGTTCCAGAGGAGGCTGACATTGGGAATATGTTTGTCCTAAGTGGTGTGCTTGGCCCTGTCCCCTTTTGTCTTCCCAAGGGTACCTGTTTTGCCTTCCCTATCTTCTAGTTGTGCATTTGCATCTGGATAATCTTGGAGTTGTAAGTATGTGAGCCCCCCTTCGATGATGATTTTGCCTATGTCCTTATTCCCTTTTGTCATGTACGCTTTCCCTCCCTTAAAGGTTGTCTCAATGCCTAAGTCTTTGCTGAGCTTGAGAGTTGCCAGTGTATTGTGGGGTATCTCAGGTTTGAGCAATACCCCCTCTATTTTCCCTATCCCATCTATGTGTGTGTTCCCTTCTCCTGTTACCAGTACCTTGTCCTGAAATACCTGAAATACCTTAATGTGGTATTTCTTCGGTGTGAATGATGTTAGTATGTCTCTGTTGGTGGTGGTGTGGTTGGTGGCTCCTGAATCGATGAGCCATGTGTTCCCTTTCCTTGGCTGCGTGCGTGTGGGTTGGTGGTCTCCAAGGCCATACAGTGAACCTGTTTGGTTGTCCCTGGAGCTGTCTCTATGTCCCCTCCTGTCTCTGGGATTGGGTGAGTCCCTGCACCTGAACCTTCTGTCTGGTGAGCGCCTATCTGAGTACCCTGACTTCCAGCCTTGCCTTTCCCTGTGGTGATTGTAGTCTCTGTCCCTTTGGTTTCTGGGGCAGTCCCTCTTATAATGGTTTCTGGAGCCGCAGATGAAGCATTCTGGGGTGTTGTGATCCCTGGTTTGAAAATCTACTCTTTTTATGGGTCTACTCTCTCTGCGGCTCGTGGAGTGGTCCCTTCTTAGGCTATCCTCCGCTATCAGCCTGTTGGTAAGTGTTTCTAGGGAGAGATGCTCTATGTTGAGGCTATCTAGTTGTAATATAAAGTTTTCCCAGCTAGAGTCCAGGGAATTTATGATTATGCTCTTCATGCTATCTTCTGAGATAGTCTCCCCCCTTTGTATGAGTTCTGCCCTGGTGGCATTTAGTTTAAGGATGTGTTCCCCCATGGGAGTTCCAGCCTTGTGTCTAGCTGAGTAGAACTCCCTAGATATCTTGGTGGTTGTGGCTGCACTCTTACTATAGAGTAGATTAAATATTTTTTGCAATATCTCAGCCACAGTCTGGTAGCGACCAAGGCTAGGGTATATGCTGGGTGATAGGCTAGCTATTAGCAAGTAATAGGCCCTGTGGTGCAGGCAATCTGTATCAAAGATCCAGGGTTTTCTGGGTGGATCATCAAGTAAAAATAACATATTTTCTCTTAGAAAAATAATTTGTAGTTGATGATTCCACTCTAAGAAATTAGTTCCATCTAATTTTAACTTGTGGAAGTCAGCAGGCAAAGTCATTGAGCTGTATGATAAATTACTCACAGTCTGGAGCTGTCCATGGTGGTTTTGTAGGTGAGGGAACTCGCAATATGCTGGAGGGATGCTTGTTGCTAGTCTGTATGGATTTATCTCTATGCTCTTTGTACTTATCTCTATGTTCCTCTCTCTTCCTGCAGGTGGCGACTGGGCATGCGCGAAGCTCATTTCGCGCTGGAGATCATCAGGTGAGGAGCTCTCTGCTGTTGCTCTCAGGCCTAGGCCTAGGCCTGCCAGTGGGAGGCTGGGCTCGCTCCTGGCGGGCCTGTAGCCCTCCCTGGATGACGGATGCCATGGCTGGGCCCCTGCATCTCGGGCGAAGAACGGGAAGAGGTGAGGAGGCGAGGCGGTCGCAGGTCGAGGACCTCTGGAGCTCGGTGGTGCGGCCGCGGTGGTGGGCGTAAGTCGAGGATCCCCTGGACTCGGTGGTACAGTGGTGGGGCGGCGGCGGCGGCAGCGGCGGCAGCGGCAGATCCTGGGTGATGCTGGGTGGTCTCCGGGAGAGTAGAGAAGCCTGGCGGGGATCGCGTGGCTGGTAAGTAGCTGTTTTTTCTTCTTATTTCCGGGTCCGATGAAGTTGGTGCAGCAGGTGGCGAGTGTGAATCCTGCGGTCGATCGGTCCTGCAGGTGGTCGGGTTCTGGTGGTCGCTTTCTGGGCGCGTTGTCTCTCGGGTCGTCGGCTGGGTTGCTGCGTGGGTTCCGGTGGTCATCCAGATGTCCCCTTGGCCTTGGGGTGCCTCGGGGCGTTTCTTTGAAGGCGCGGGAGGCTTGAATGCGGAGCCGAGTGCTGCCGCTAAAGTCTCTATTGTTTTTTCCACTTTGGGCCCGGTAGGTGGGCCCTTGTAGGTCTGCGGTGTTGTCTCTGCTTGGTTTTCGGGTTCTTCCCCACTCGTGTTGGGGTCCCTGCAGGTTCGCGCCATTTCTTTCAAATCTAGGCTCCCATTGGTTGTCGGCCATTCCAAGATGGCCACCAGGAGCATGGCGCGGAAATGAAATCTTCCAAGTCCGGAGCTTCAGCTTGAGAAAGCCTTTCCCTTGCCGGACTGGCGACTTCATTTTCTGGTTCCTGGGTGCCCATCACTGCTCCATGGCTTTCCAGGAGGCCCTGGAGTTCCACGATGAGCTCCCCTTTGCTGGTGGGCGCTTCCAACATCTTCAGAATAGCCAATCGGAAGTCGTCTCTGCTCTGTGGCTCCTTTCTCTCTTTGCTGCAGGTTTCCTCTCTTGGTTCCTCGTCCCAGAGCAGTAAGTTCGGATCTCCCACCACCACCAGTCTCCCACCACCCAGTGCGCTCACATAGGGCTGCCCTCCTCCGGGTCCCCTCGGCCAGACAGTGTTGGCTAACGGTCCCCAGGATGAGGGCGTTCTCTGTGGTCGCACCGACCCTCTGGAATGGGTTTCCCACCAGGCTCCGGACGGCCCCTGACCTCCGCACCTTCCGCGTCGACCTAAAGATATGGCTCTTTCAGCAACTTCCCTGATCTGCCGTGGATTTTAACTTGGGGATTTGAGGATTTTAAATTGGTTTTTAATATTATTTAATCTTTATCTATTGTCGGGTTGTTTTATTGTTGTGAGCTGCCCCGAGTCCTACGGGAGAAGGGCGGCATATAAATCTGACAAATAAATAAATAAATAAATGATAACTTTGAAATTTACCATTGAAGCATAAACACTGGCGTTTGTACATTATAAGCAGTCTCTTATATTTGCATCCTCTCTTTTTTTGGATGCATTCCCTGGATGCTTTTATATGTTATGTTCCTTAGGAATATTAATAACTAGCAATTCACTTTATTATATATACTCATATTTTTAAAAAATATCCTACAAGTGAATGTTATTAAATTGTTCCCAAAGTTTATCATCACTGTTTGCATATTTGAATGTTTCCTACCCGACTTCAGTAAACAATTCTGAAATTACATGGCTGAAAATAAATTAAAGAGTAAAGCTGACTTTCATATCTGTCTGTCTGCCTGGGATTCCTCTGTATATTACTTCTTTACCATACAGATATTGCAGTTATGTATTGTATTCCAATTTAGTGCATAGAATAGTTATTGGAAAACAATGACACAGGGATAATTTTTACCCATATTTTAATTTATTTTAATATAAAAGACCCCCCAAAACTATGAAAAAATAGCAGGATTCAGAAGTAAAACAAAACAGGAAAATAAACAATATTATGCCAGTGATAAGAAAGCAAGTGTGCCTAAGCCAAGCAACTGTATGACCAAAAACTCAATAGGAGGAATGGAGATTGGCAAGATATTCCATTAAAAAAGCAGAATTATGTGTGCTTTTAAACTGTGCAAGTATGTTTGTATTCCAGCCTATCTTTGCTAAACATCCAGGAAATAGATGTGTCTGTTGTCAACAGTTTGTTGTCTGTTTCTGACCTGCTCATCAATTTATCTTTCTGATTTATCTTTTTTGATTTTATGACAAGGGCCTGTACATTTTTAACCTTAGCCAATGTTTCATACAAATTGCTCCAGGATCTCCCCCCACTTTTTTCATTACTCTACCCATACATCTTTCTTTACTTCATCTCAAATACATCTGGACTAGAATCTTTATAGCGTTCACCCAATCATCAATTTCAGCCACTGCAACGCATATCATCCTTGTCTTTACTAACTGGCATTTTTGTCCAACTGCAACCCATCCACATTAATTGGCTTATTATCTAGATATCAACAAATCATTGCTTAGCCCAAATTCAGCCATGTAGGGAAATTGCAAAACCTTTTCATAGTTAGCAAATAACAGTCTGGGATCTACGTTTTTAGAGGAAGTATTGCGATTTCTATTTTTCTTAGTCTCTAAAAATAGAACCAGAGCTAAAAAAAGAAAGCTAAAAAGAGAATCAGGAAATGATAAGGATATGGTGCTCCAGAACTGACTTTTTATACTCTGCCAAGACTCCTCCAATGCTTGTTAACAATAGGCAGTGTGGTGTCTAATGTTTTATGGGCAATCACACTGAAATGGCAATTAACCTCTACTGCAAATAGATTAACTCTATTAAACCCAACACAAGTGATCCTACCTAAGCCCACATTCACGTTCACTAGGGAAAAATTTAACCCCTGGATTCAGCCAGATGTATAATGAACCTGTCACTCTGCCTCTCTCCCACTCTTCTAGTGTCATATTGGTATAGAGAATAACCTGTTTGTTTTCAGGCCTCCTGGATTTGACCTAGATCTGGAATTTCATGAAAGCAAATGAAACTTCAAATATCTGGGTTGTGCTATTTCTGGAGATGGTATCTCAAGTTCAGATTTGACACATTCACTTAGGGCCTTTCTCTGTTTGTCAGTTGAGTTCCATCCATGGTTGAGCTGGCAGAAAACTATAAGGAATATGAATTTGGCCATTCTCATTTGTGATCCCTTTATTGCTTCTTATGTCTTTGATCCCAGTCATCGCCCTGAGTTCTCTCCAAGACAAGGGTGACAAAGTCTAACAGATTTTAGCAGGAGCAGCTTCAAGGCATCTGTCAAAGGAAAGGAGAAACTATTTGTGGCTAACCATGAATATGTCAGTCTCAAATGGGTTAGGGACAAGATGAAGGCAGTGCCATGTGAATCCAGTGGAAAAAAGTGGTTCTTACGGCAGGAGATCTTTGTGCTGTGGTTGAACGCAAGTGGGGAGATAATATAGCCCGAATCACATTAAGACAGAATTAAGAGCTACCTGAGGAAGAAAATCAGCATCAACATTTCCTAGAAACATTGAAATGGAGATCATATCTAGCCACCACACGTTGATACGGACCTTTGTTTTAATCTCCTTAGAATCAAATTTTCTAAAGAAACCAGTGGCACATTTTGGATGATTCTACACTTTAGACTTGATATCTTCCTTTGCTATCTTCTACGTGCAATGCTCTGCATTCTATAAAGCAAGGCTCCAATGATCATTTCACTGGGAAAAACAATTTTTGGTTTACTCTTCTTATTGACTGATTGGTCAAGATCTTTTTGTTGAGCAATTTTCCACCCCAACAAATTAACTTCCTTCCTGTTCACTCAACACCACCATAGAACTAAATGAATTGTTTTAATATATAAATTGAACACCCCTCAATTCATTACTTAAACTCTAACCCATATCCCCCTCCCGCCTTCATACATTATAGGAGAATTTGAAGAAAAAGGAAAAGTTGATGTTTGAAAGAATAATTGCATTCTCTACAAATAGAAGTTAGGAGGAACCCAATGTTGATCCAGCCATCGTTCTATCCAGTGGTCATTCAACTCCCCAGGAATAATTTCCTCCTACTGGTCCTGTTCCTGGCACACCCCAAAAGAACACATCCTGGTCACTGAGAAGAAGAGGTGCTTTCCTAGAGACAGCTTTCCTTTCATAGTCCATTTCATTGGCCAATCATGCAAGCCATTTTGTACGCTACAGCAGAAATGAGAGCGGCTCCTCGTCCACTGCCTTCTTCTGACTGCAGGAAGGCGATGTCACAGCCTGGAGTGAGTTGCCTGACTGATGCATGGAAACGCTCTTTGAAACTATGAACAGAAGAAAAAAAGGGAGAGAAGAAGGAGAAAGGAAGAGTCAGTGTTTTCCGAGAAGAAACCTCTTGGACAGGCAGGGGTTTCAGAGCCCTTCAAAGCAGATATCAGTGTTGCAACTCTACAGCTGAATTTAACACAATCGTTTTAAAAAACCAAAACTGGCTAAGTTTATTCAGTTGCCTGGGTTTCAGGAAACTCTGGAGCATAAATTGAACAACACTCTGCTAGATCTGCAGAATTCTAACAACATGAACTGGTAAGCCGCCCACTTCTTAAAAGGGATCCCTCCTACCCACCCTATATTTCAGGTTTCATTTTAATCAGGATGAATCAGGTTGTGTTGAAAGCAGCCCAGGCATGTAGACAGGCCCTTTGTGGCATTCAAGTGTCCAATTTGTTGGCTTAAGCCTCAACAATGAGTTTGAAACACAGAAGTTATTATTTCTGATATCCTGCCTAGTACTCTGATGTTTGCTGTTATCACAGTATGGAGCTGTTTTGGAGCAAATTGGATGTCTTTGGCAGCAGGTCCTCCAACCTGGCTGAATAAGGGTCAAGCTAAATGTTATGTATGAAAGCACCTCTAATCTTCTGTTTGCCTATGGTTTTTCAGCTGTAACTCTTCTCATTCCCATGGACGGCCCATGGATTTGCAACATGGATAATATTTAAAAAGTCAAAAATACACACACAAAGGGGGGAACCAGAAGTGTCACAGTGAGACTGGATGGAAAAATAGCGGGCTATACATTTCTGAAATGTATGGTAAAAGGGGGAATTAACAATATTAATAATATTATTAGCAAGTAAGGGTCAGTATTTAGAGGAGGGAGTAAGGGGATGGTAAAATATTATATAATCTGTTATGAATTAGGTTTTTGTTGTGAAGAAGTCACAGGGGGGGATGGGTGGTGAGGGGGGGTTAGGGAGGAGGGGGGGAGAAAAATGGGGGAAAAATTTGTATTTGAAAACTTTTTCAATAAAAGAAAAAAAGAAAAAAGAAAAATAGCGGGCTCCGATGAGCTTTGCGAAAATCCAGCCGGACAAACTGCTGTCAGGGGGTCTTCGGACCAGAACTGTCCTGTAGGGACGGTGAAGAAGGAGAGGCATCTCATAAGACCAAGAGGAACAGGAAAGTTCCTCAAAAGGTCAGAGGCAGCTTTTCGGACAGGGGTCTGAAGCTGGGGCAACCAGACTAAGTTTTTTGTGCAGGAGTGGTGTTTAAATGGAGTGCTGGTACCGGGTGAGTGATTGGCCAACTCACAGGTAAAAGAAAATTTGGAATTGGATTAAAAGGTGTCCCGGAGCTGATATGAGTGGCTAATTGGCACTTGGGAAATTCAATGGAGGGAGAAGAATAAAGAGGAGGCTAAAATACTAAAGCCCAAGAAAGTTTTTGTATCTATAATTGGATTTGGACAAACTAAAAATAAGAAAAGAACCCGAGGAAAAGTATTCTTTATGTGGATTTAAATATTTTTGACAGCTTTGACATTTAGTTGGCTTGAAAATATTGTGGATTTGAGAGACACATCTGCTGGCTGAAAGAGTGTACTGCAATATATACTGGAAGGAAGAAAAAGTACAGCTGTGACCTTGACCACTAAAAGATAATTTGGAAACTGTGAGAACTTTTAAGGAGTATCTGTCTTTCTACACTGCTTGGTCTCAATTCTCAATGGCTGTGGAAGATACAAATATTTAACTTGGAGTGGACTGGATAAATACTTAAATTGGACATTATTTGAAAACAAAAAGAGACTAAATGAATTTTAAATTTTAATTAAATATGACATTTTAAAGTTTTAACATTTTCTTAAATTGGCAATATGGAGTCTTGGATGTGTGAGGAATTAATTGAATTTAAAATATGCATGAATCACTAAAGGGTAATAAAAAGTCAGAAATTTTGCTGGAACACAAAGTACAAGAAATAGGGGAGAAGGTGGCAGAAGAGAGCATAAATGAGGAGCAAGAAAATAATATTGAAGGAAAAGGAATTGAATGCAAAAAGCAGTTAGATGATTTCACTGGGATTTACAGTGGCAAAAAAAGAGCGGATAGGGACATCCCCCCAAAAAGAATCAATCAAAGGGTAAAGAGGGAAATAGTGGAAAGAGATTAGGAGAAAACTTGGGGAGAACTATTTGAATATTATATCTAAAAGTGAGAAAAAGGAGTCAGAAGAAAAGATATAATAAATATAAAAACAAAACCAAAAAGGAAAAAGAAGTAGTTAAGAGAATGGGATAAAAGGAGAAAATTATCAAGAAGTGGAATTTTGGAGAGACCAAGAGAAAATGGTTAAAGAAGGGAAGATCAGTGGAAAGGAGGAAGGGAAATAAGGTAAATATTAGTAGATTTAAGGGAACAGTATTAATATTATTAATTGTGGATGGTCAAGTTAAAGGGTTTTAATGTAAGATTTGAATGTGATGGTGTATATTGTTTATAGTAAAACAGAATAGCAGATGAAATGTGAAATAGTAATTTGGCTTAATTTTGAAGACAATTTTAATTAAGAGACAAAGTTGAAATGTTAAAAAGTGGGATGGGGATTTTGAGAAATATATTCTGTAATGGAGAAATAAGATAATTAATTGATGTTATTGTAAGAGATTAGGAATTAGTGGTCCTGCTTATTATGTATTAAGAGAAATTAAGATAAGACAAAGAAGTATGGAAAAAGAATATTATGACTGAAATTGGAAATATGTAAAATGGACTTGGAAAAAAAAAAGAACAATATGGCAGAAGTTGAAATAACAAGATATGGTGAAAAATGATTAATTCGTGATAAAGAACTATATGAAAGGGATGAATATGGAAAAAATGGGAAGATTGGAATAAATTAAGAAGATTAATATATATAAAATGTAGAAGATGTGATCTGGTCAACACTCTGTTCATAAAATATGTATGATGAAAGAAAAATTTTAATAAAACTTGTTTACAAAAAAAAAGAATACACACACATATTTATGTTTTTAATATGCAGAAGATGCCAGATTCTAAGAAACAATGGGAAAATTGGGATGATAACACATATTCAAAAGTTTGCATTTACACTAAAAGGTTCTCAACTTTCTCTTCAACATGGACCCCCTTTAAATACCTTTTGTGGCCATGGACCATGGCCCTGGATGCCCAAGACTTAAGATTTAAATCATAATATTTTTTTCAATCCTTTGTAGACTCCTGCGATTACATCACAGCCCCCTCAGGGGTCCATGGACCACAGGTTGAGAACCATTGCTCTAGGCTTTTTGTCCCTCAAGAGATAGTTTTGATTGCTAGGATACTGTTTTGCTTGAGGGATCAAATATTTTCTGCACTCCTCTGAGAACCAAAATTCTCTCATGATATCTTCACCTAGGAACCTAGACTTTTTTTCACAATTGGCAATATTTCAGCATGATCGTATCACTTAGTTAAATATTTGATCATTTGAGATGCCCTTGTGCATCAGGAAACCAAAGTTGTATCATGAAAGTGTGTGTGACAACATGGGCAATTTTGATCACACTATAGGATGGAATTGTGAGAAAATATGTAGTTAAAAAATTGAAATTTTCATTATGTTATAATTTAGAATTTTTATAAAATGATATATGTTACTATAAGACTCCAGAAAAGTTGTCTAGATTGTATAAGGATCTTTCAAATTTAGACTGGAAATATGGGCAACGTGAAGGGTCATTTTATCATGCTTGATGGAGTTTAAAACCCCTACAATTTCTGTGTTCAATTATATACTATATAATGATACAAAGGATTTTAAAGATCAACATTCAACTGAAATCAAAACTTTTCTTTCTGGGATTAATGGATAGGCAATTGGAAAAGAGCCATGGAGTATTATTTTGACATATGATTACTATTTGGGGAGTGTTATATGCACAAAAATGAAAATTTTGAAATACCAACAATTGAGGAATTGTTGGTGAAGATAACAGAATTAGCAAAGATAACAAAATTAATTTATTTCATTAGAGACATCAACAACAACATTTATTGGAAACCCCTTATGGATTTTTTGCTGAAAAAAAGAGAGAAATGAACTTGTGATTTATGAGTCTGAAGATTAGAAAGAGTAACTTAGAAAGAAGGAAATTATGATGTGACCTTAGAGAGAGAGCGTACAATATAAATGCTGTCAAAAAGATTGGAAGCTACTTCTTTACAATCTTTCCTTTCTTTCCATTTCCATTGTTTTCATTTTGTTTCTTCAGTGAAAGTTATTTTTTTTAAAAAGGAAACCAAGGTTGTGTCAAGGGCTCACCTAGGGTGGTGCTTGTAGACTGACCCATCAACACCCACTGTAATCTTCAGCGTCTCCTCGTTCCTGCTGTCCCTCATGCGATTGATAACCCCAGCCAGCCCAGCTGAGCACATTTGGGCAGCCCGTGTGGAGACACTCTCACAGGCCATCTGAACAATGTCACAATCCATTGCAGAGGGAAACAGCTCAAAAGAGGTTAGAATATTGTAAATCTGCTTGCGGTCACCAGTATCACTGGAAGCAAAATGGAAATATAAAGACTTAGGGCAGCAGAATGACAAGTTAATTTTATTCTAAGAAAAGCTTTCTGAATCATGTCTATCAGATAGATACAGCAAGACCAGCTAACCCAGTTGTAAGGGAATAGGAAGCAAGACTGTACTGAGAATCTAGAGAAAAGCCGAGTGGTTAGGTGATGATTGTAAATAGAGCTGTGCAAAGAGGTTCAAGGTTGGAACCATCCATGTGAGGGTTGTTCCATTTCCAGTATAACTGGAATGGCCATTGTGGAATTGTGGAACATGAGGATGAAGTATTCTGATCTGAGATTGTTTTGCATCCCTCTAAAAGTAAAATTCCCCCTCGGACAGTCCCCAATGACTTTATGAACACATCCATGTAACTTTCTTGGTAGCATTATGCTGATGACTTGTCATTGTTTTCTGACTGAACATTTTTTGGCTTTCTAATCTAACCTACTGCCTGACGATTTCCAGGGGAAACCTATGTTTGGCATTCCTTATTTTTTTGAGATAATCTATACTGAAGGACGCCCAATATTCCCTTGGAAAGCAGAAAATCTGTTGCTGCATGAATAAATCAAAAAGATCTCTTCCTTCTCAAGCCATGGAACTAACTGATGGTCATTTATAACCATTCACATCATGAAAATTTCATGAACGGTTCAGTGAAAATCTGTCAAGCCTCAATGGAAAATCTGAATTAGAAAGCTGCGGCTAATTTTGACTTGTTATTCATCATGGCTGATTAACAGAAGAGTCTATAATATTTGCAGAAGAAAATTGATGAGGACGAGACTCTGTTGGAATTTTTGTACTCCCGGGCAGATAAATTTCAGCCACTTTAGAAGAGCCTACGGCATTTTAAATTCACTCCCTAGAATAGATTTTATGTGCACGTTGATTTTTTTTTTGCAAATCAGCACCTTCTTTTTTGAAAACCAAATTATTATTAATATGAAACATAAAGCTAAAACAGAATAAAACAGCTGCAGAAAAATGGATAAAATAAACTAAATAACAAAGGACTAAAATACCTGACATATTGTAGGTGGGAAGAGGAGGAATCATCAGTCTGCATTGCAATATTTTTTTCCAGGGTGTTCAAAAACCTGCTCATGACATCAAAACAACCTTTCCACTTATTTTCACTAAGAACTATTAGCAGGGCAACAATAGGCCTCTCCTGATGATTCCAAAGTGCCCCAAGTAAACTTTGTACAGTATTGACTACCTTTCAATCTGTGAGATAAAACGACTTTCAAATGATCCTCTGGTCTTCAGCTTTTCTGAAGCTTTTCCATTGAAGAGTAGGTTTTCATTTACCAGTTTTAGCAGCACCAGTCGTACAATCTCCCCTATGTACTTCCCCCCTATGATCTTCTCAAACCTGGAGAAAGGAAGGTACAGTTTAGTCACACACAGGAGAAGCTCCGTGCAGGTAGGTAGGTGTGTGGGGGGGAGGCAGACGCATCAACACCCACAAGGCATGGAGATCATTTATATATGTATAATAGGGAAGGTTAAATGTGTTAGTGTGTCAGATGAAATCACTGCAGTTTGTTTGAACAAAATCCACTCGTAGGAAGATTGATTGCCTAACAACGGGGGTTGTTTTCTCTGAACAAAGGAAAAACAACCACTTTCCCACTTTGCTTAACTTGACTTTTTTTTTCCAGTAACCAATGTGTGCACAGGTCATTTGTGCCAGAGTTTAAAACTCAGCTCTATGATATTTTCAGTATTAGAAGAGGGTTTTTTTGCAAGTCCTGCTTGTTACTATGAGGCCAAGAAAGGAAACCATGAATGTTATTACCTCTATTCTAAAGCAGCTTTACTCAACTTGAACATCCTCCTGATATGTGGATGTCAACTCTCAAAATCTCAGCCAACATGGCCTTTACTGAGAATTCTGGGAGTTGATGTTCCCACATCTAGAAGTTACCAACATAACACCAACAAGCTTGGACAAGCTTGCAAGTAAAAAAACCCTCTATTCTAGGGCATTTTCTTACACCATAGCCCTTTTTGTCTGAATATCCTAGATCTCCAAACCCAACACATTTTAAGGTGGCCAGATTAGGCAAAGCTTCTCTACAGAAAATATGGGCTACATATAGCCCAAAGAATGTCATGTGATTTTTGTACTTATTAAAATGTGCACATAATCAGTCCAGATTTTGGTAAGAGCTCTCTGTTTCTTCCCTGGCAATCTGCTGTTTGGGAGAGAGAGAAATTGGATGTTGGATAAAAGAAAAGAGGAAGAGGAAGGGTTAGGAAGGGAAGGAAGGAAGAAAGGAAGGAAGGAAGGAAGGAAGGAAGGAAGGAAGGAAGGAAGGAAGTGGGTCACACTTATCTCTGGATTAAACCCTATTCACCACTGCACATGAACCCTAACAGATTACTTCTAAAACAAAGTAATTTTCAAGAGTTAAGATTGCCCTCCCTTACTTTAAGCTTAGAAAAGCACAACAGATCTTACTTTCTAATCTAGTGTTTCTTAACCTTGGCAATTTTCGGATGGACCTCCATGATTCAAACTTCAACTTGGACTTCAACTTCCAGAATTCTGGGACTTGAAGTCCACCCATCTTAAAGTTGCTAAGGTTGAGAAACATTGATCTTAAAATTAACACCATGGAAGGGAATGATATCAAAAGGAATTGCCTTTGTGACCATCCCAAACTCATGACTTGTGCCTAGATGTTATGGTGAGACCACAGCTTTCATGCAAGCTTCAGTGCCTTGTTCTTGTTCCCTAGTACACCAGAGAAGAATAATCAATTAAGTTAACTTTATCTGACATATTCCTTACAGCTGCTGACCGGGGTTAAGTGAGGTTTCATCTACCACACGATCATACTCCAAGAGGAATTCATCCAACTCTCCCGACTCTCCGAAAGCGCCCCATTCGGTGTTCACACACATTCGTCCTTCATTGCCTTCTACCAGTTCCACATTCTCCATCTCTTCCATGTAGCAAGCATTGCAGCCTGTGCCTAAGAGAAGGAGAGGCAAAGAAATTTCCCCAGTCAATCCAAGCCCAAGCATCATCGGGAGACCCTTGACATGTCTCTATTATCCTGGTCCACGTTGAAGATTTTTGGAAGCTGACATTTTACTCCAGGTCCAGCTAATATCAGTGGATTACTAAAAGAACATATAAAGGCTAAAGTTGATAACAGAATAACATAGTTGGAAGATCTTGGAGGTCTTCTAGTCCAACCCCCACTCAGGCAGGAAACCCTATACCGTTTCAGACAAATAGTTGTACAATCTCTTCTTAAAAACCTCCAATGTTGGAGCACCCACAATTTCTGGAGTCAAGTCTGTCCACTGGTTAGTTGTTCTAACTATCAGGATATTTCTGCTTAGTTCTAGGTTCCTTCTCTCCTTGATTAGTTTCCATCCATTGTTTCTTGTTCTGCCTTCAGGTGCTTTGGAAAATGGGTTGAACCTCTCTTCTTTCTGACAATTCCTTAGATATTGGAACACTGTTATCATGTCACCCTTAGTACTTCTTTTCAATAAATGTAATAGAATTACGTTATGAAGACCACATACATGTAGTCCTCAATTTAGGACCATAATTATAGTTGTACTTCATGCTGGTTGTTATGTAGATCATTATGTGATCACACCCAATTTCATAACTTTTTTGCACAGTCATTAAACAAATGCAATGCTTGTAAAGCGAAAACTGCAATCATCAGGAGAACCCATTTTTCACAATGGGTAGGGTTCTGGGGTTTTTTTTTGCTGGAAATTGGAAATAAAATGCTGGTTTTCTGAAAAAAATAAAGTTATAAATCGTATTCATGTGATGCTGCAAACAGCCATAAATGTGGGCTGGTTGACAAGCACCCAAAATGCAATCATATGACTGGGGGGGGGGGGGGGGGGGGGGGGGGGGGGGGAGGGAGCAGTAATCAGAACTTCAAATCTGGATTGTAAATAGCCTGGGGGAGGTCCATTGGAACATTGAATGGTGGCTAAGTGACTAGACCTAAGTCAAGGACTCCCTGTACTGACAACAATTAGAATTTACAATTTAGCAGAAGGAAATTCTGCAGAGTGCTTCCCATGTTGTAAAACACCTGCAAGTCCCTTAATAGCATTTAATCAAGTGAAGCAGAGTCATTACTATGGTTGCTGCAACTAATATATATCTAGAATGTCAGAAAGACCTTGGGTGCTGTTAAAAAGTACTGCTTGACAATGTCCACTTGATATATAACAGCTGTTTCCAGAATAGTCACATCATCATAATAGTCACATAAGAATTTGGCCACATTGAGCACCTGAGCTAAAGGGGAAAAAAAGCAACCCAAAACACAAATTTCCAGGCAACCTACTCTCTGTACTGCAAATAGTATTATTCATCTTCAGATAAATGGAGCATAACTCTTGCCTCACTTTGTAGTTCTTTAGCACCTGCCCGTTACAGGAAAAAACTGTTCATTCTGTTCCCATTGTGTTATTTTAAAAATCTGACAGGAACATCAAGGAATGTTCAACATATATCAATGCTGGAGGTTCATTGTCTGCACAAAACAAACCAGCAGCAGATGGGGATGGAACCGTTTGCAAAGATGTACTAATTGTGCTCTCAGGCTCCAAAACTCAAGAAAGACCCATTGAGATTCTTCCAAGCAATTTCCTTCACTGTTCCTCACCCAGAGACAGAAACCTTGCCAAACTAAAGCAGTTTGACAGACTAAAGCATCATAAAATATATACTTTGGAAACTATTAGGAAGGAGCCGTCTTCACCCTCTTTCTCCCACACAATCTAAATTGTGATGTCTCTTGGTCCTCTGGAATCTGGACAACATTCCATCCCATCACCCAGCTTTTTAGAAGCTATTGCTCTGGGGAGAGGCCACAGCTCAAAATGGGAATGTCCATGGTTTTCTACAATATCCATACAAACATCTGCAGTCAGAATTTGTTGGAGAACTATTAGTTCAACAAATCATATCACTGACTGGATAAGTGCTGTCTTCCAAACACGTTTAACTATAATTCCCATCATCTCCAATTTTATTGCCATGTTGACTAAGAGCAGTGGAGGCCACCAGGATAATATCAAGCGAGGAAGGTTTACAGCAGCCTCTCTGTAAAACTGGGTTCAGTTTGAATCAGCAAGAAGGAGTTGTTCAGATTACAATGGTTGTGCCCAGGGAAAGTATATGACAGGTCTACTTACCCACAATCATACCAACTTCACATCTGTGATCCTCATAATAGCAGGAAATCATCGTTGCTACTGTGTCATTGACCATTGCAACGACATCCATCTCAAAATCCTGCAGTGGGTTGAAAAAAGCACTGTTATCTTTCTAGAAGGACATCAAGAAATAACACATGTGGAATGACCACCTTCTCAGAAAGATACCATCAGATAACTCCAAGGATGTTGGAAGGCGGTTGGAGGTTGTTGTCTCTGAAGTTGGCTAGAGATTGAGGCAAAGTTCTCTGGGATTTTCCTAACATTCTGCACAAAACCAAAAGAGGATTTGTCACACCACACCACAAAATAAATGCTATGTTCCTTTTGTTATGTGTCATTGGGTTTGAAGGTGGCCATTCTGTAAGCATTCTTGCAAATCTGGAATATTGGAAGAGGGAAACAGATTTCCTACCCTTCGTATTCCCCCCCCCACACACACATACACTTCCTCCCCCCTCCCTTGTGTTGAATAATAGGCTATAAATTCTTTGGAGAAGAGATCTATCCCCTTACTCTAGGAGACGTCATGCATCTGGATTGTTCTGTACCTGTAGAGAACTGAAACTAATCAGAAAGTAACATAATCAAGAGGTGGGCCACACCTTCAGTCTCCAAGAAAAGATTACTTCTATCTAAACTGTTCTCCCTTGCTCCTAGGGTCCTTCATTTGGGATGATGGATAATGGATTCATTTCAGAGGACTCTGTAGACACTGCCATGTTTTTAAGATCTTGTTGTTCCTTCACATATAATGCTGGAAGTTTAACTCTTGACATTTCCAATTTAAAAACCTTCGTAAACGGCAGTATAACAGTCTTCTGCCTGCCATCTGGGGTAGGGAAACCTTAAATATTCTGCTGCTAAAAGCAAAGCACAATGTTGCGTCCATCTAGTTCTTCATCTTACTTGACAGTTCCTGAAAAAGGCGGTCTAAACTTAGGGAATACAGGACAGGTTCAGTCATTTCTATGGCTCCCTTCTTCCACATTTTCCTTATCGAAACATCTTATTTTAGTCTCACAGTTCTTTAGAGAGAGAGTAGACGGGGTTATGCTCAATGAGTCAGGTGCCCAATGTATTAGAAGGCTGCTTTTTCTGACCCTGAGAATTAGCTGAAAAGAAGCCAGGCACCAAACATTATGAAATGATTATTCCTCTCACCCCTCTTCGTTTGATAGCGTCTCTCAAAAGCTCCACAATGTTGTTCCCTTCAGCTCCAGATGCTTTGAAGCCTTTTGTCCAGTTCAACAAAATGCCCTACAAATCAGGACATGGAAAGAATCAGACCAAACTTTGCAAAACAAGCATAACTCCACGGCTGGAACAAACAATATGGATCAATATAGCAAGGGAAAGTTTGTCTAAAGCAAAGAAAAAAGCTACATTGTAATCAGAAGAGCCTGCAGATGTAGGCAACCATGTACCAGCAATGGAGAATAATTGCAGATTGTCTGGTTTTGATCATCTTAGACTAGATCTTACGTGAGAATGATGACATTTTCACAAACTCTTCACATTGTTGTAAGAGATTTTTAAAATTTATATTTATTGAGTATTTTGCCTCAGATAAAAAGCAAACTTAAATAAAAAAATAGAAAAGAAAGAAGAAAGAGAAAGAAGAGCAAAAAAAGAAGAAAAAAGTTATGAAATACAATGGTTTGTGACTTTCTCATTAACAGCTACTGTAGTAACAAACATATTGACTCCTCTTTAATATTCTTATAGGAGAAAAAGCAACAATGCAGGATTGTTAAAATTTTGCAAAATGTCTGCGATCCTACAGAAATCATACAATGGTTCATGGCTAACATGGTCTATTCACTGCTGAAGAATCTGTCTAGAAGCTCATCTACAATGCATGCACTTACACTAGTACAGTGACACATTTCCCTTGGCAGATTTGCACATTAGTGGAACTCAGTTTTTCAGTGCCGTTGTAACTTCAGGCAGTCGCTAAACAAATGGTGGTAAAATAAAAACTACCTGTATACTTATCTATGTTTTATGCTGAATTTCAAGGCTGACAGTGACATCACCGAAGTGCTTCACTTTTTTTTAAAACAGAAGTAATTTTCTATAGAAATTGATCATCTTCTGAGCTTCCATAGCACAAAGGGATTGAGTTTAACTTATTTGGTTGTTTTCTGATTTAGCATATTTTCTCCCAAGCTTCCCTCATATAGAGACAGAAGGAACATCGCACCCTCCAGTAGTTTAGGGATGTATGATTATGAATGATTCATCAGCTCCATTGAGAAAGTCATGCAGTCAAAAGCAGAAAGCATTCAAAATCCCTCGTTTCAAATCTCACCTTGTCAATGTCTTCATGTCGAACCGGGAAGGAAAATGTAAAGCCCAGAGGCAGCTTTTTGTGCTTCATTTGATGTTTGTCCAGGAAGTCGGAGATGCATTCCGAAATATAATCAAAGAGCTGAGGGAGAGACACAAATATTCTATTGTCCTTTAGTGAACATTTTCTTTCACTTTTTGCAAAATGCTTATTCAAGAACTCAAGTTCTTTGACAATGAGCAAAACACAACATCCTAGGGTGAGAGCAAGGCACCCTCATCCTTCCAACAACTGGGTAGGACTTTGATAATTTTGCTATTTTCATAATATGTAAAAGCTGCTAAAACACTGTCTTCTACACAACTTTGGCTTAACTGTTGACTTAAACATGGCTTCAATGAGCACCTCTTTATTTTATTGGTACAGCAACCAAACCATGAGGTAAATTAAATTGATCAAAAGAAACTAACTCAAGGGAACCCAGTGAGTTTCCATGACTGGAGGGAAACATGAATTTGGATCTTCCCTGTATTAGTTCATTCACTTTAATCACTACACCACACTGACTTTCTAGTAGTTGTAGGAACTTGAAGCTTTTTTTGGCATTTGATCAATATATAAAGTTCCATAGATTATGTCTCTGTTGAGTTGCTATGCAGAGGTGCCTTATCGGTGAGAGGGGCGGCATATAAATTTAAAAGTTTGTCATGTTGTGAAATCCAGCCCACCTCTCATTTGGTTCCTTTTGTCTTGATGATCAACTCACCATTTCAGCAGTTCCTGTCATGGCATCTTCTGGAATGGAGTACATTTGATGTTTTGTCTTCACCTTCCATTGCCCTTCCTCATCATCTCCCACTTTGACCAGCATCACTCGGAAATTGGTACCTCCAAGATCCAAAGATAGGAAATCTCCAACTTCTGTAACCCCAGAGTGTGACACCATGTCAATTTATGTCTTTGGAACCTTTGCAACCTTTGCAACCTGGATCATTGCCTCCAGAAGAACCCCATGATTGATTTAATGGGCATTTCAATATGATGATGACTAATATTTGCATGCCTCTATTTCTAGCCCTAGTGCTAGAATAGGGACCACTTTGGTGGGAAGGTAACAGGTGTTCCGTGCGCCTTTGGCATTTAGTCATGCTGGCCACAAGACCACAGAGATGTCTTCGGACAGCACTGGCTCTCCCGCCCTCTAGAGTCGGGAACGACTAGCACATATGTGCGAGGGGAACCTGTACCTTTACCTTATTTCTAGCCCAGGATTATAATTCCAGGATAGTCTTTGGACAATGCAATGGAGATTTAAAAAATAAGAGTTTAAGACTGCATCTCCCATCATCCATTTCTAATGAGCCAACAAGTACCTGATCCTTCTGGTGTGGACCGTACATATGTGGGCAGCATCTTCACCGAGGCCTCCTCGTGCGTCTCCAGTTTTAAGCCTCGATCCATTTCCTTCTGCATCCGACGCATCACCTTCTTCAAATCTTCTTCCCGTAGCTGGAATTCAGTTAGGATCTGTTCCACCTATGAGAGGAGAAATGCAAGAAAGGTTCAAGAAGAAGCACACTATACTTTGAAAGTGGATAACCTTGATCTCCTCTTCTTCTCTTTTTTGTATCTGCATCTGATAAATTGCTTTCTAAACTATGTGCTTTTCAGGGAAATTATCTTCCAATTCTCCCATGGCTACAGAGTTTATTAGGCAACCCATGTCTTCTTCTACAATTGTGGCTAGCTTCCCTTGTTGTGAAATTTTTAAAAAGGCTAAATGCTATCTGCTCTAGATAGCATTTAGCACTAAAGGACCCGGTATCAATGAAATGAATAAATGACTGGCAACAAAATATCTAAACTGACAAATGATCTAAAAAGAGAGAAAATCAGGTTGTGTTTTTCTCCATTTCAAATTTCTTGAGTATTTGGGGGGGGACCCTCTCTCCTTTTTGTCTGCTGATTCCAATTTACAGCTGCTTCCCAAGATTAGTCAAGTGAAAAAAACACATTAAGAATATAGGAACTCATAAATCCACAATTCTAGAATTCTAATTCAGATGCACAAATATATATTTTTTAATCATTGTCCGACTTTTTGGTCCGCTTAAACTGGATTGTGTAAGTTTACTTATGGAATGATGGCTAATTAAATAATGATCACACAGTCAAAATAGTCTGCACTTTCCTCCCACATTTCTATTTTTAGTTACTGGTTAAGACAAGGGAGCATTTTATTGATCAGTTTGCTCTTTAAAACCTTCAAAAACTAGCCTAACTATAGTACAAACTGTAAATATTTACATTTGTCTTTCAGAATTCTTTGGACAACCAAAGAAGACTGGAGTCAGGTTGGAATACTATTGCATCATTAAACTGTGATCTTTCTTGACCTCTGTGATGGGGTAATGATAGCACCTGTTTCTAAATCCATGCTACTAGGGATGTTGATTCAAGTAATAGTACACTAATATTACACTGATTCAACAAATAGTTTAGCAATAGCAATAGCAATAGCACTTAGACTTATATACTGCTTCACAATGCTTTCCAGCCCTTTCTAAGCAGTTTACAGAGTCAGCCTATTGCCCCCAACACTCTGGATCCTCATTTTACTGACCTTGGAAGGATGGAAGGCTGGGTCAACCTTGAGCCGGTGAGATTCGAACTGCCAAATTCCAGGCAGCCGACGGGCAGCAGAAGTAGCCTGCAGTACTGCACTCTAACCACTGTGCCACCACAGCTCAGTTTACATTAGTTAAATATAATAGTTTGCTGGTTCATAGGGATATCTATTTCTTCTATAGAATTGGTGAGACTTTGTTTCAGAAACAAAGGACATTTGCCCAAGTCTTTCATGCTATTGTAGGCACACAGGAGAAATGTGCCCACTTGCTGGGCACATTTCACACTCCCTAGTATCCTGTTTCCAGCCATGATCAGTTAGGTATCACTAGAAATCTTAGAACCACGAGGCATCAGAAAGCAGCAGGAGTTCACCCACTACTGCTTGTTCCAGCATCTGAGAGAGAAAGTGTCCTGTCTATTGAATATGGAGAACTAGTGAAAAATAGATGGCTTTCATTCATAGCTTTTAACAAGAATTGCATTCTAAACAGATAATTTTGGTGGGGTTGTATTTTGCACTAAGTCTATGGTTCCCAAACTGTGTGCCAAGATACCCACAGGGTGTTGTAGCAAACTCAAAGGTTACCATAAGAACATGAACTACTAGCTCAAGATAGTTTGCAGTTTTGGGATAAGAGCTCTAGGAAAAAATTAGGGAGACACTAAGTGTACTATGAATCAAGAAAGTTTGAGAACCTCGCCATCCAGTCATTGCTTGGTTAATCCCAGTTCAGAGTGTTTGCACAGATCACACTCAGCCATAAGTCACAGGGGTATGTGTAACATGCTAAAGCAAAACCAGTAAAAAACCATCTCATAGTAGAGGATTCCAGACATTTATGAAGCAGTGTGTGAAAGAGATGTTTTGCCATCAACTGTGAACTGAATGGCTGATACTGACATGACAAAATTACTTGGTTCCCTCATTGGTTAGTTTTGTTTAGGCTTACTGCAAAGCATAATCCCACCCTAATAAACCCAAATTGGCTAATAAACCATAAGAGCTGCACTTAGTATACACTTAGGCGAGATCTGGCTCAAAAACAGTAACTGTGAGAGGGATCTTGGAGTCTTAGTGGATGATCACTTGAATATGAGCCAGCAGTGTGCACCAGCAGCCAAAAAAGCTAATATAATCCTTGGTTGTATAAACAGATGCATAGAATCAAGATCACGTGAAGTATTAGTATCACTTTACAAAACCCTGGAATACTGCAACTAATTTTGGTCACCATACTACAAAGAAGATGTTGAGACTTTGGAAGAAGTTCAGAGAAGAGCAACTAAGATGATCAAAGATCTGGAGACTAAACCATATGAAGAATGGCTGCAGGTGTTGGGTCTAGCTAGTCTAAAGAAAAGAATTAGGGGTGATAGCAGTATTTTAATATTTGAGGGGCTGCCACAAAGAAGAGGGGGTCAAATTATTTTCCAAAGCACCAGAGGGCAGAATAAGAAACAATGGTTGGAAACTAATCAAAGAGAGAAGCAACCTGGAATTAAGGAGAAACTTCCTGACAGTGGGGACAATTAACCAGTGGAAAAGCTTGCCTTCAGAAATCATGGGCACTCCATCACTGGAAGTTTTTAAGAAGAGACTGGACAGTCACTTCTCTGAAATGGTATAGGTTCTCCTGCTTGAGCAGGGGGCTGGACTAGAAGACCTCCAAGGTCCCTTTCAGCTCTACTCTACTCTACTCTACTCTACTCTACTCTACTCTACTCTACTCTTCTTCTTCAATAAACCAGGATGATAAGTAAACCCAGTGTACAGTGGTACACCTCAATCATACAAATGGTGTACGATTTGTACACCAGAGCACTAAAATCCTCTTTATATATCACCATGCTTAAGAGCATCCTGTGCTTTGTGGTTATTCAGTTTCTTTGAATATAGCTAACAGTTGTCCATGTTCTGATAGCCTTAACATCTGCTTCACTCCCACTTGCAACTGAACTCCAGGGAAATTGGCCCCAAATTAGTAGAGAAATCCAGATCTGAAGGCAAGAGGAACAGACTTCAGGAGGAGGGATGCACTCTGTGTTCACTGAAATCCCACCACCTCCATTCCTTGATTACATACTCAGAAATTAGAAATAATAAGGCAGTTTCCTTAGAATAATTTCCTAAAGCCAAAGAGAAAAGGTTTGGGGGAAAAGAGCATCCTCCTTACCAGTCTCAAGGTCTCAAACTCTTTCTTCTTCATCACTGATGGTGATAGTCTTCAAAATTCTCCGAGCAGGAAAGAGGGTCTGTGCTGCAAGAGAGAGACTGGAACCTGTTCCCTTCCTGTAACACATCAGCCACCTGGTCTTTGAAACTGACAAGGCAACTCAGCCGCTTGTTTCTTTTGTTTGCTTAAGCTCCAGGTTGAGTGTCACCCAGATCTGGGGGCAACGTTTCTAGACCCCAAAGATTAAAGATTCATCAGGCAGAAGCCAAAGAGCTATTACCATAGCACAGAAAACGGAGATCCGTTATTGCAACATTAACAAGAATGATGCAAATAGCATTCCAGACAACTCATCCTTTAGCCTCCTAGGGATTTTGAAGGGCTTCAGCTTCTAGGTGGTTCTGGGCAACATGGATTGTTAATCATGCTTTTATACCTCAGCATTATGGGTGAACCCCTCCAACAATGTTGAAACAAGCCATGACTCAGCACAAGGTAGAAACCCATTCAAACAATCAAGGAATTGGTACGTTTATGGCTCTTTAAATAAATCAATATAGGAATAAAGAAGATTGTGGCCAGGCATGAACTTTTCCCGTCTAAAGCAATTGTTCAGCCATTGAGATAGCAATAGCACTTAGACTTATATGCCACTTTATAGTGCTTTACAACATTCTCTGGGTGGTTTACAGATCCAGCAATCTGGGTCCTCATTTTACCAACCTCGGAAGGATGGAAGGCTGAGTCAACTTTGAGCTCGTCAGGATCGAACTCCATACTGTCAACGGTGTTTGCCTGCAATACTGCAATCTAACCACTGTGCTACCATGAGTCCTTGATATCACCATTCTGCTAACAAACATTTTTCCACAAACATTCCAAAATCTTTATGTTTATATTTATGATTGTATGTCGCCCAGGGTTACCTTGAGGTAAGATGGGCGGCCTATAAATTTTATAAATAGATAGATAGATAGATAGATAGATAGATAGATAGATAGATAGATAGTTTTCGTATCTACTTGTATTCATCTATGTCTAATTTCTTTACCCTTTACAGTGTGACTTGTCAAGGTTTAATTCTTTTTACGCAAAACTATGAAGTTTGAACATTAAGTTCTATTCATTTTCTATAAAGTCTATAGCATAAATATGTCTAGTTTCCTTTATTTATACTTCAGTTTATTTATTGGAAGTATGAAGATTGTACACATCAGCCCCATGACTGAGGCTGCATATCTTAAAAAAATGCATAGCTTAAAAAAAAAAATCCAGGCAATGAACATATTTAAAAATCCACATACATATCAAACCCATGAATAAACCAAAACTATTGCATAAAAAATAGAGGACTTTTTTTTGTTATACATGGAGATAGAGGAAAAAAGTCATATCATGTGTTAGATAAGATTTCTATTTAACATTATGGGGCATTTGTAAGAGTTGGGATTGGATAGACTTTGATGTTCTCCCAATTTTATGTACTTCTTTAGCAATTGAAAAAAAATAGTAGGAAAAAAGATACATTATGTAGAAACAACCTAGACTGAATCAGATCATTATGAAATGTTATCTCAACCTCAAGGTTCCCAAAACTAGATGGAAAACATCGTTTTTATCTGTTGTCTCAATGTCAACAGAGAAGAAGCAGAATGAGTTAGCAGGAAAGGGATATTTGCATGCTTCAACGGTTACCTCTCTCCCTCTACAACAGGAAGGACCTAGGACAGGACTCTTGAAAATTATTTCCAGTATGGCTCAATTTGTATGGGAACAGCCAGACCTTAACATATCCTAGGCCTATTTCCATAGCCAAGGACCAAGGAAATTCATATCTTTAGGAGATATCCAATGCCTCCTGCCAAGGTGTTTTTTTCAACTTCCCATTGTCGCATGAGATCTCCTGTCTAAGTGCCAATTAGAGCTGACATTTGGGGAACGTGAGTAGTGCTTTTTGAACAACCAAACTCATCTTTCGAACTTCAGTAATAGTGGGAATGCTGATCATAAAATAGACCCATAATTAGGGGAAAAAAGATGTCAGTCAAGAACTAAGGAAGAATTTCCTGACAGTAAGAACAATTAATCAGTGGAATGACTTGCCTCCAGAAGTTGTGAATGCTCCAACACTGGAAGTTTTGAAGAAGATTGGACAACCATTTATCTGAAATGGTATAAGGTTTCCTGCCTGAGCAGGGGGTTGGACTAGAAGACCTCCAAGGTCCCTTCCAACTCTGTTATTCCTGTGCTAGTGTGCTAGTTGTCTATGTAAAGGTAACTTTCTAACCACAAAAACCTAACCACAGTTATGAATTACTGTCTGAAAGGTTCAAGCTAGAAGCTGATTTATTGTTTGGATGTTTGGAAACTAGGTCTTGGAGTTAATGGTTGACTAGAGACCTGGATGTTGCACTAAAATATTTACCTGATGAAAAAGAGTAATTCTAAATTACATGCACTGTTCAAATAGATAAGAGAGAAAACAGGAGACCAAAGGAGACCTCCAACATTGAAAGTCACCTTAACCTATATGTTAGAATCTCCCCTCAAACCTCACCCTGCATTGTGATTTCTAACCCAGGCACAGTTTAGTTCCTTATAAGATCTTAGCCACTGGCATTAAGCAAGAGTTGATTTTAGACTTGGAAAAGCAAACAACTGTTTGAAGGCAGAAAAAAATGAATCAATTGAAATTTAACTGCATTTCCTTTGTCAATGAAATCTGAATATTATTGTAGGGTTTAGAAATGCAGAATATATTGCTTGTTTGTAAATATAGTTGCATGAAGACCAGGTTAGGGACAGTTCATCAAGGAAAAGACTATAGGTAGTTCTCGACTTACAACCACAATTGAGTCCAAAATTTCTGTTGCTAAGTGAGACATTTTTGCTAAGTGAGTTTTGTGACCTTTCTTGCCAGAGTTGTTAAGTGAATCACTGCAGGTGTTAAGTTAGTCACACGGTTGTTAAGTGAATCTGGTTTCCCATTGACTTTGCTTATCAGATCACAAAAGGGGATCACATGACCCAGGGACACTGCAACCCTCGTAAATGCAGTATGAATCAGCTGCCAATCCTCTGAATTTTGATCATGTAACCACAGGGATGCTGCAATGTAAGTGTGAAAAATGGTCACTGTCGTTGTAACTTCAAACAGTTACTAAATGAACTGTTGTAAATTGAGGACTACCTGTATCTTATGTGTTTGCCAGGAGCTGAAAAAGACTGGATGGTACATAATCAACCAATTAATCAATCCTAGTCTTGCAGTTTTATCTATTAGCAATTTATTTTATTAAATTTCTATATTTGCACGTCTCACCTAAGGGACTCTGAGCAGTTTACAACAAATCAATACATTCTCATTTATATTGCATTGCAGTGTAAAATAAATTACATGTCTTCAGTCATGGGAGCTCACTGAGTGACTTAAGCGTCAATCTCTTTCAACCCAACCTACCTCACAGGGTTGCTGAGGAGGGGAAAAGGGAAGGAGGGAGAACTACATGCACACCGTCTACCCATACATTGCGCCAAATCTTTTCAAGTTAACCTTTTCTGTATGAAAGGTGTCGTTGTCCCAGAATTACCAAAGTTCTTCCCGATGTACCTTAGAACAATTCTCTTCACACCTGTCTGCTTCTTTTCAAAATACTGCTGCACATTTTGTTTGTTTCAAATCTCCTCCTCCGACATGATCATGGTGTCTCCCCTGCCAGGTAAGCTTCTCGGCCTTTGGGCTAAGATCAAGTGTAGCATCTCCTCCCATATGTCAGTTTAAATAATTAAGAATCACAACATGATGATACCCAAGTATCATGTACAGGTACTTCTCGATTTACAACTGTTCGTTAGTGACCATTTGCACTGAAAAAAGTGACTTATGACCATTTTTCACCCATGACTTTTGTGGCATCCCCATATGATCAAAATTCGGATGTTTGGCAACTGGTTCATATTTATGGTGGTTGCAGTGCCCCCGGTCCTGTTTTGTGAGCTTCTGTGAACTTCTGACAAGCAAAGTCAATGGGGAAGCTAGATGCACTGAATGACTGTGTTACTAACTTAACAACTGCAACGATTAGCAAGAACGGTTATAAATTGGGGCAAAGTTCACGTAACAAATGTCTCACTTAACAACCTAAATTTTGGGCTCAATTGTGGTCTTAAGTGCAGGACTACCTGTATTCATGGTTAGGCACTCTGTTGTTCTTAGCACTTTCTTGTCCTGATGAAATTCATTCCTTCAAGATACTTGCCTGAGATACTCCCTCGATAACATTCATTTGGCAGTGGTTAATTCCTTTTCCAGCAGCCCCGATGAGGCAGGAGTCATGAAGAAAGGCAGTAGCAGGGAGGATTAAGCAAACAGGGGAAAAAATGTCTTGCTGATATGCTTTTTCTTTTCTCTGCTTGCTCTCTTGGCCTCTTGCTAATGCAATCTTCCTTGAGTGCTGCTGAAAAGCAAGTATCTCACAATTGATTATTTGAGATTGTAGCTGCGCAATATTTTCCTTTATTTACAACCTCTAATGGAACACGTCCTTCTTTAACGGGAGGATGTAAAAGACAATACAAGACAAGACAGGACTGAATCAGTAGCTATGGAATTAAGCAGTGATAGGTTTGCTGAGAGAGTCTCACGTGAGAAAGAGAATTGCAAAGACTTGCACAACACTATCATTTCTTTTTAGTGCCTGTTTGTCTTCTCCCTAAAATTATCACACCACTGATTTCTTTTCGCATCTAGAGCCTTCACGTACACCTCCTGTCATTGTTCCTTTTTATATATTACTCAGAGCAGAACATGCCAGGAAATCTGCTACATTTACAAATTTCAGACAAAGAGAAATTGCAGATGCCACGATGAAAGAATTGGGCAAATTGTTTTGTAAATGCAAATACATTGCTTAAAAAGAGAGTCAGTGTGTCTATTAATTCTAGATGATTTCTTTCCTGTATTTCATATATCGTGAAATATGTAACATCTCTGTTGAAGGTCTAGTTCTACATGGTTTGTAAAGATATTTAGTTTTAGTTTAGTTTTAGTTTTATTAAATTTGTATACCACCCTACTCCCGAAGGACTCAGGGCCACCGCCCTGAGGCGGTGATAAACAGGCACAAGATAAAATACAGAAATACAAAAGTTAAAACAATTTAAAACCAAATTAAATAATATTGGCCCACGACAATTAAAATCCCAATAAATTTAAAACCAATTAAAATTTCAATTTAAAATTTTAAAAAGGGGAGAAAAATTAGGCCAGGCCTAATTTGTCTTGTAATTATTCTCAAACACTTACGTTCATTTTGATTTTATTTGTATTTCTGCAGATGTGGAACACACAGTAATTTGGCATTTTCTGTAAATCCCTTATAAACTTCCCACAATGTGTAACAGTTGCTTCCTGAGACAAACACATTCTTTGAGTGCTCACGTGTGGCTTGCACATATTTTTTCAAGCTAATGAGCCAACCTTTTCCTGGACCATGGCAGAACGTTGCAATGGGCAATCCTCTCTCTCCCTCTCTCTACAGGTTGCGTAGCTGTAGCTGGGTTGGAGAGAAATCAACCAACTGTGACACTTTATGTGTTAATGGATTTTCACTTGGATTAGTTTAATTCCAGTTATTTGCAGATCACCAGCTGCTCTTTCATCATCATTCTCTCTGTGACCGGTTTCTTCTGGTAAATAGTCAAGGAAATGCCAAAAAGGGAACAAGGACATCACTCTGAATTGGAACTCAGGCTCATCCAGTGTTACCATCCTGTTCATTAATTTATCTATTTATTTAATCAATACTTGCTATTGGAAAGGAAATTTACTGTATGTCAGGAACTTAGGTCAACTTAGGTCACACAAATAGAGTACAGTACATGCAAAGTAATAGGATGGATGGATTCATTCATCAACTGAGCCTTTCTCCCATTTGCTTCTTCTTGAGGAACAGACATGGGGTGGCTCATAATAATCAAAAAAATTATAATAAAACTTTTTTAAAAATAAAGAAAAAAAGATGGCAAGCATGATAAAGGAGAGTTCTCACTTTCCCTCACTAAAAACCTGGGTGAAGGAGCAGGTCTTCATAGCTCTTCTAAACAAATTCAGAGTAGAGGCTAACAAGAAGAAGGGAAGAGAAGGGAGGGGAAAGGAAGGGAAGGGAAGGGAAGGGAAGGGAAGGGAAGGGAAGGGAAGGGAAAGAGTTGTCAGGAGGAACCTTGCCAGTGAGAAGGTGTACTTCAAGGGTCAATGTCATTGAGAGATGACATGTTATAAATGAAGGAATCTGAGGGTGCCAGCCCTGCAGGATCAAAACTGCCGGACAAATGTTATGGGAAGGCAGGTGGTAGTTCAAGTAACCAGGTTTCATGTCATCTCCTTCGTTGTTAATGCAACCAGACTCATATGTTAAACCAGGGGTGTCCAACCTTGGCAACTTTAACTTCCCTATGCTGGCTGGGGAATTCTGGGAGTTAAAAGTTTACAGGTCTTAAAAGTTGCCAAGGTTTGACATCCCTTCATTACGCCACAAAAAAGTAATTGTGGCCATAGCATGCTACAGTACATGAACACTATATTTTAATAATCTGAATTTAAGGTTTGGTGTGTCTATGCATATCTTCAGATAATTAAGTTAGTATTAATATTAAGCCCGGAAATCCAAATGTCTTTTTCCTAGGGCACCGGGGCCCTGGTTCTATTAACAAGTGTAAACATAATGATTGCCTGCAATCAACCTTGCGAGGTGAGCCAAAAGGAGATTGTGTTTGCTCAGAGTTTAAGCAAGAATAAAGTTGTTATTGGAAATGAACATTTTCAAATGGAGAATAAGAATAAAAGCGAAAGAACATCTAGTTAGATTTCTCTGCAGAACAGTTGCTATGACAACTTCAGGAGATTTACAAATACTTAAATTATGATTCAAAATGAACAGACTTTCTTCTAAATAACTCGCCACCAAACAATTGTCATTCCTTCCTTCATTCTCAAGTCTGCAGATGGCAGAAGTACTTATTCTTTATTCTTTTGTCTCTTTCCTGTTTCTCCATTTATGTGATCTAATATGTAAAGGTCAGAATGAAAGTGGGTTGTTTTTTTGGAGCAGTTGATGCAGAGAAGTGAATTGACAAGTTCAGTTGGGAATGAAAGGGTTAAAATGATTGTTAGAAAGTTTGAACTCATATCACCTAGATGACTGGAATTCATAGGAGATTGATAGCTGCATAGTATGCTTTAGTGAATGGTGATAAGAAAAGAACTAGAGATGAGTTTCAGGAACATTTGCTTCTGAATTTCATTCATTCGGAACCTTGCAGTTTTCCTGAAACTCATCTCTAGTTCTTTTCTTATCACCATTCACTAAAGCATACTATGCAGCTATCAATCTCCTATGAATTCCAGTCATCTAGGTGATATGAGTTCAAACTTTCTAACAATCATTTTAACCCTTTCATTCCCAACTGAACTTGTCAATTCACTTCTCTGCATCAACTGCTCCAAAAAAACAACCCACTTTCATTCTGACCTTTACATATTTCCCCTTTCGCTTCATTTCACTTATAACATCTCCATTTATCTTCCATTTCATTTCTACATTCATTTCATCCTCTTACGTTCTAATCACAATCTTCCATATGCTGTGGCTGTTGTCAGATAGTCACTTGAGCTTCTTATAATATCTCCCCTTCCCTCAGCTTCTGATATTTATAAATCACGATTTCTTTCTTGAGGCACATTCATGGGTCATATGAATGTAGCTTCCTTCTTTCTTTGTAATCCTTTTCAATGAACAATCTTGTTTTCCAGTTGCTGATTTGTACAAAAAGTATTTTCTGGTTTATTTTCTCTCTCCATGCACAAACCTGGCCCAAATTCACATTAAAATTAACTTGGGAAAGGTCGTGGAAGAAAGCAATCATCTGTATTATGGCAATGGAACAAACTATATACAAACTTAGAATTTCCTTTTTCTTGTATGGGATCCAAAAAGGTTTTTTTTTTTGACAGATTTCTCTTCCTCTGTTGAATGGTTATTCCTGCCATAGAGTTAATATTTAGAAGATCATGTAATGACCAAAGACCTGGTCTGTTCCACTTAACTATTAGTTTAGCAAGAGTGCAACAGCTGATGTCAGTACCCAGAAAGTGTTGGACTAACAATATGAAGGTCGGAGATGCATATTTGAGAACTCTGTGAACTACAAATCCTGCATTACCTCAGTGGCATGAACGGTATATGTTTTTTCAGTGAGTCTGGCACTCACCTGTGGAATACAAGCCAGTCGTTTTGAACTTGTGTCTTGGTTTGTTTTGTTTGCTCAGAAATATCCTGATGGAATGAGCTGAAGCAGGAAGACTCATCAGAATGTAAAACATGAAATCTAATTTTCCTGACTGGAAATCTTGCACTTGGTAAGCTGTATTTGCTTAGACAATATCGATAAGAGGAAATAGCATGAGAAATCACAGAAGACTTTGTGATTTACAAAATTAGATACTGTGGGGAATGGGAAGGTAATAGACTACAGTCCCCACCCTCCACTCTCTCTCTCTCTCACACACACATGTAGTTTCCACACTGTGTTTGTGATTTTCCTCCTGCTTTATTAATGGATTTGAAAGGCCTGTTCAATAACAACAACACATAGCAGTGGACGGTAAAAGGAACATTCAATCTCATCCGAGTGTTTTGGGTCTAGTGGGAATTTCAATTTCCCACAATGCCCCAATTTAACCTAAGTCCAAGCCATTGTGGGAAATTGATATGATGGTTCAACCAGATTCTGTGTGATGCTCAGGCCATTAGACTGCTGTAGAGCTACTCAGATGATCATAGCCTGGAATGGCTTGGATAGAAACGTGTAACTTGTGTTTAATGAAGAGAGTCCCTGCCTAGGCTAAACGTAGGAAATGATGAACCACTTTTGATATCCCCAAGACTTTGATAAAGTCCAGATTATTGTAGAAACATAGTATATTTTATTATTATTAGACATATATTATATATTTTGTATGTTTATGTTTAAATTTACAGGTTATTTTGTTACTACATAATTCTGATGTCATTTTGATTGTCTAATTTGTATATTCTTATAAGATACTTTTGTGTTTTGTTTTCATTCAGAAATTTCTTCATTAAAAGATCATTTTATTATATATTTGTATTTGAACTGAAGAAAATGGGAAGATAATATATGTTTTTTCTGGTCACATATTTTCCCTTTTTGACCCCTTTTATCCCAGTTTTTCCTTTTTTGTCATTTTGTGTGTTATCTCTCTTTGAAATTTAATAAAGTTGATTTTTTTTTACAAAATCAATATTTTCACTGGATGCCCTCCTTGCTGAGAACTAGTGCCATTTGACCCATTGTTATTTCTCCCTTCCTTTCCCTCATCCTAGAAAATGTCCAATCTCCCATTGCTTTGTGAATGTCCCGTGTGCTCCCACAACAAAGTGTTTGGCTGGATTCACCTGGTTTTCACCTGGTTTGAAGTATCTTTGTCAGTCCACTTCCCTGAAACTACATTCATCCATTCAAGGAAAAAATTGAAATACGTTGAAATGGCTGAGCTCCTGGTACCACACCTCAGAAAACTTAGACCGTACAGATGTTTTTACTGGAAGTAGCCAAAGGCAAATAGATTCCTAGTATTTATTTGGATGGTAAATTTTAGGAGTGTCTTTTACCCCAAGGAAAACCTCTCTGCTTAATGAAGAAATATTGTAGAAAAGGTAAATTAATAGAAAAGAATATTTGTAGCTCAGGGTTGAACTGCAGGGTCCTTAGTGCTTTCTGAGTTTGGTTGTTTGCTTGCGGACATTTCATTACCCAACTCGGTAACATCATCAGTGCTAGAATAGAGTGGGGTTTGCTCTCTGTTTATATACAAGTAACTTGCCTGTCAGTAGTGATGGGAGTGTTGTTTTCTTCTTGGTAGTTCCTTGATTAGGTTGTTGGTCCCTTACAAAAGGGAAATTGGAGGTGTGGGATAGTAGAGCAGCACCCTCTGCTGATGTGCATTATATGGAACAAACCTACCATCACTCCACAACTTAATCCCTTCTTCATTGTCAACAATAATCCTCTTGCATGTTACATGCAAATTAAAATTTAGCACTCTCTAATTATGCCAGTATACTCCATACCCAATCTGTATCTTATTTTTAAAGGAGAAGGATTTGTTATACAATGTTTATAAGGTGGTCATCCAGTTCATAAAAACTTATGATGCAGGCCTACATACATCCACTCAAAAATAAGTTCTGTTGTGCTCTGCCAGCCTTATCCCCAAATATGTGTTCTTAAAGTGGTAGCCTTAGTAATTTATGATGTGCAGTACAGTAATTGTTCATATTATCATAAATTTGTACCAACAAATTACTTCTCCCCAGAGGATAGATCTCATATCCATATCTGTTTTGTCACCAAAGTAATTCCATGAAAAAGCAGGGAAACCAGATGATTCCAGAACATGCACTGGCTGTGCCAAAAACTCTGTATTTGGAAAAAGATTATAATATGGAATTAAGCAGATGCTCCCCATGCAGAAGGTTTCCAACCTCTGCAAGAAGGGTAGCAAAGTCTCATGAGTCATCTCCTCTAAAATAACTTTTCCTAATGCGATGTCCTTCAGCTACGTTGGATTTTGCTGACTGAGAAGGTAAAGTGATAGTTACAGCGTCCCTGTTTTGGCAAAACCTGCTATAAAATTGCTGCCAGTTGAATCATGGCAAGTCTGAGCAACAAAAATCTATGAGGAAGCTTGTGATGCAACCACATTAGAAAGACGGTTTCTGTAAGTGGTAGCAGGACACCTCATTAAAGGAAAGGCTTTTCTATCTTGCCAGAGAGAAGGTGGGATACTTCTTTTAAGGTGCTTGTCAGTTATTTCTGCAATGCCAGAACATTTATCCCATGATAAATGGGATAAATTTATCCCATTTATCTCTCTTCTAAAGATAACAGAATAACAGAATAGCAGACTTGGAGGGACCTTGGACGTCTTCTAATCGACCCTCTGCTTAGGCAGGAAACCAGGGGTGAAATGCTCCCGGTTCGGACCGGATCACCCAATCCGGTAGTGATGGCGGCAGGTGGTTCAGAGAACCGGTAGCATAAATCCCTGCGCCCCCCCCCACACGACGATCCCAGCTAAGCCGCACGATCATCAGAGGCTTTTTAAAAAACTTTTAAAAGCATTTTTTCTACAACCTCTTCCAAAGAAAAAATGCTTTTAAAAGTAAAAAAAAAGCCTCTGATGATCGCACGGCTCAGCTGGGATCGTCAGAGGCTTTTCAAAGCATTTTTTTCTGCAACCTCTTGGCCGAAGAGGTGGTAAAAAAAATGCTTTGAAAAGTCTCTGATGATCCCAGCTGAGTGGCCTGATCGGCAGTGAGATATTTTTTAAAATGCCTCTCTTACGATCCCAGCTGAGTTGCTAGATCGGCAGAGGCTTTTCAAAGCATTAGAAAAAATGCTTTGAAAAGTTAAAAAAAAGAGTTGGCCACGCCCACCCAGTCACATTACCCCCACCCACCCACCAAGCCACGCCCACAGAACCGGTAGTAACAAATTTTACATTTCACCCCTGCAGGAAACCCTATATCATTTCAGACAAATGGTTGTCCAGTCTCTTCTTGAAAACCCCCAGTGCTGAAGCACCCACAACTTCTGGAGGCAAGCCAATCCAGTGATTAATTGTTCTGTCAGGAAATTCCTCGTTAGTTCTAAGTTGGACCTCTCCTTGATTAGTTGCCATCCATTGTTTCTTGTCCTGCCTTCAGGTGGAAAATAGGTCGACCCCCCTCTTCTTTGTGGCAGCCCCTCAAATACTAGAACACTGCTATCATGTCACTCCTGGTCCTTCTTTTCATTAAGTTAGACATACCCAATTCCAGAACCCATTCTTTAAATGTTTAGCCTTTAGATAAAAAGCAAAAGTATTTTTTAAAACCGTTTGTCATATCACAGTAACCTAATTTAAGAGCAAATTGCTCTGAGTTAACATTATATATTTTGCTGACCTAAGTGAAAAGCTACACCATCCTTCCTGTGTTACTGCAACCACATCATAAGTTATTACTAGATCAAGGAAGTGTACTGCACACTAGCAAAATTCCTTAAAAATCCTGTGGACATTTAGACTAAATCCGTTCTGACACAATGGATCTTATGGGAGAGTAAGGAACACATCTATGCAAAAACCCAGCAGCTCCTGCTATGATTTCTGACTGCTTAATTAGCTTACCCATTTCATGCAGATTCAAGGAACCTGTCTATATCAAATCAAAATACAACAAATATTAAAACTCTGGCATTAAAATTACATTGAGAAAAGTGCAAAATATCTGCAAGGTCTGAAACTTGGTGTGCTTCTAATTCTGGTTTCCTGAAATCTTATTCCTGGACTAGGCAATTCATTTCCTTGTGGCTTATATATAAGTACATCTTCATATGGTGCTACTACTTCTATGTATGGTTACAATGTATGGAGGCTAAGAAATTTAGTTACCTCCAATTCAACTTTTCAGCAGTATCCCTAGATGGTTTCCCTGGATCTTTTGAGAACAAGAATAATTGGTTGTTGCTTGAACATAAGTTCACCTTCAGGCTTGATTGATATTAGAAATGTCGCTATATTTCAGCCTCACTTATAAACTGATTGTATTGCAAGACAACTAGAAGGATGTGTCAAAATGGAAGCAGTCCTTTTTGGGAGCTCAGTAAAAAATATGGGGAAAACAGCAAAATGCCTTGAAGGAGAATCTCACTTCTTAAATCAAGGAATGGGGATTTTCAAGGCTAGCAAAATCCTTGGGCTCTTGGGGTGCTCATTTCAACTTCAGAACAATCAATAGTTCAATAAACTTGGAAAGACAGCTCTGTAGCCTGTACCTTACTTTGAAAAGATATCTCTAATTCGCTGTTATATAATTGGCTACCGATAAAGTTATCCAGCTGAATTTAGAGAATAAAGTTTCCCTATTCTTTCAAATGAAATGGATGGAATTTTTCTCCTATCCCACTGACCTGCCTCTTTTGCTATCCACAATGAAGGTTTGCTCATAGTATTAGATGCAATCAAGTGGGGTACAAGTAGTCCTCTTACATCCATTCATTTAGCGACAGTTCAAAGTTACAACAGCATAGAAAAAAAGTAACCTATGACTGATCCTCCCACTTATGACTGTCACAGCATCCCGACGGTCAGATGCCCAAAATTCAGATATTTGATAACCGGCATGTATTTACGACAGGTGCAGCATCCCACGGTCATGTGATCGCCATTTGCGACCTTCCCAGCCTGCTTCTGACCAGCAACATCAACGGAAGAAGCTGGATTCACTTAACAGCCACATGATACATTGAATGACCACAGGAATTCACTTACTAATCGTGGCAAAAGGTCATGAAATCAAATGCAATTCACTTAACAATCATCTTACTTGGCGATGGAAATTCTGGTCTCAATTGTGGTTGTAAATTACAGGACTACCTGTAATGACTCAAAAATCTCCCTTGCCTCTTTGCTGCGTCTAACCCTAGACTGTTGCACTACGTGCAACAAACCTAGATGCATTTGGTTAAGGCTTTGCACTGTAACCCCCTCCATTTAAAGAATGCCGCAATACATTAATTTTTGGCGAGTGGCCTTAAAAAGGGCAAAACTCAGTTCTACCCTGGAGTTCCCAGAATGAGAAAACAAAGACAAGACCTTACCCTTTCCTTCTGGGAGCTATCCATCCTATTTCTGTGATCCAGCATGGGGGCAACTCTCAGCACCAACCAGGAGACGGTGGTTAAATCAATCTCCCCACGGTCCAGAAATGAAGAGGGCCAAACACTTTTCTTCTCTGTCTCTTTTCCCACCACACCCTTGTGCGCCCTTAACAGAGAAGGCAGCTCTCCTTGTTCTGCCTCTTGATGTTATTCTGCTTTCTCTGGTGGCTTTATGTCAAGAAAAATGTTACTTCATCTCCTTTGGAAACTGACGTTTGAAGCAATGAACTTTCTGGTCTCTGGGTTTCTCCTTGCCTGGGGATTTTTCTGACTTCCTCTCTTGGTTCTAGCAAGTCACTTTGTGGGGTGTTGAGCCTCCGTTGCCCAAAGATCCCTTTTGTCCATCAACATTTTGGTGAAGAAAAAGTCGTGAGCTGTTTCACAGTGAGAAAAATACTCCTTGCCTCCTGAGTAACCCAGCCTGGGACCTCCTCTTGATTCAGTTACTCTTCTGGACACATTATATTTACTTACTTTAGTGCTTGGAGATGCTGTCCCATTTCTGCGGTCCATAAGGCCAGCTTCCGGGGATGGGTGGGCGGGTCTCAAGACTAACCCTGTATTGCCATAGTGATGGACGAAACCCTTTTGCAGTTCCACTGCACTTCAACTCCCTCCATCCTGGCTATTAAAGCTGTCGTGCGGAAGAGCTACCATGGAAATAGGGCTTAATTCAAATGGACATAGCAACCATATTATTTTTTTAGCTGCTGCAGCCGCCTCTGCCAATTAATTCCCAAGCTTAGCAACCTGTAGTGATGTAAGGTCATCAGCATCCTTCTCTGAGGCGGAAGGTCAGTGGCCATATACTTAAGAAAAGGGAGAAAGGCGTTTCCACAACCAACCTGGAGTTAGCATTTCCTAGAATGAAGCACCCGTTTATCTTGAACTAACTTTGCAGATAGTTAACTCACGTCCACCCTCAATACAGGGAGTCCTCAATTTACAACAGTTCATTTAGTGACTGTTTGGCATTACAACAGCACTGAAAAAAATGACTTATGACCATTTTTCACACTTACAATTGCTGCAGCATCCCCATGGTCACATGATCAAAGTTCAGATGCTCGACAACTGACTCATATTTATGACGATTGCCCTGTTCTGGAATCCTGTGAACAGTTTTTGCCACCTTCTGAGAAGCAAAGTCAATGCAGAAGCTAGATTCACTTAACAATCATTACTAAGTTAACAAGTGCAGTGATTCACTTAACAACTGTGACAAGAAAGATCATAATATGGGGCAAAATTCATGTAACCGATGTCTCACTTAGCAACAGAAATGTTGGGCTCAATTGTGTTGTAAGTCAAAGACTACCTGTATTTTTCAAAGCACCAGAAGGCTAGACGAAGAAACAACGAATGGAAACTAATCAAGGAGGGAAGCAACCTGGAATTAAGGAGAAACTTCCTAACAGTGAGAACAATTAAGTAGGGTCTCCTACTTGAGCAGAGGGTTGGACTAGAAGACTCTAAGGTTCCTTCCAGCTTTATTCTGATTGATTGTAATTATAACCTGACCAGGTTCCATTATTGACAGATTAGTACAATTAGGAGGCATAAAAAAGAGCCAGTCCTATTGTGAGTTATGGAATCGAGGGGGAGGATGTCCATTTGGGTTGGAGCCAGAGGTGGGTTTCAGCAGGTTCTGACCAGTTCTGGTAGTGGACATTTTGAGTAGTTTGGAGAATCGATAGTAAAAATTCTGACTGGCCCCGCCCCCATCTATTCTCTGCCTCCCAAGTCCCAGCTGATTGGGAGGAAATGGGGATTTTGCAGTATCTTTCTCCTGGAGTAGGGTGGGAATGAAGATTTTACAGTATTCTTCCCCTGCCACGCCCACCAAGCCACGCCCACAGAAGTAGTAGTAAAAAAATTTGAAACCCACCACTGGTTGGAGCTAATCGTGACACCTCTTAGTCAGTAAATTTGGATCTCCTGGCTTCTTAGCTCTTGTACTACAAGTACAAAAGATGCAATAGTATAAAAAATCCAGTAGTCCCAAAATGTTCAAAGATCTCCAAGAAACATGCAATCAAAGTGTAAGGCCCCAAAATGTACACGAGTCACCAGAATGCCAAAGAGAGAGACTCAAGACGAGGCTTGCAAAAAGAAGCAGATTTTATTTATGACCAAAAATAAAAAGCTGGGTAAAACCGTTCCAAACACATACAAAAGAGACATGTATATAGAAAGGCCACACCTTCAGTGAAGATCTGACCCCTTTTTTATACTGTTAAAACACCAGTTAAATCCCGTTCTAGCATCCTAATTTATGCTTGTGTATTCCTTGTTGCCTTGCAAAGGAATAGAAGCCTCTCAATTAGCGTTATCTCTTCCTTGAGCATTCCTTTGTTCTCCCAATTGGCCATTTGGCCCCCTGGTGCTGCAGGGAACTGAGTTCACACAGATCAAAGGTGTAAATTAGGGCTGAAGTGTAAATTATCCCCTGGATGATGTATGCAGTTCCAACTGAGATATGTACCTTGCTTTTGGATGGCATGAGAAAAGGGAGAAAGTAGATTGATATGGGTTCAGATCAAATGGCAGGAACATATGTTTAACGAATACCAGATACTTTACAGAGGCCTAATAACAGTATATGTTTGTTACAGGATGTTAGTTACAGGAGGCGTACTATAAAGGCGTAATATATCATATGTGTGTTATACAAATACAAAGGCATAATATGTGTTACAGGAAACTAATGGTTACAGAATAACAAGTTTCTACTAATTCTAGTATACCAGCATATTCTATTCTATTATTATTTATTATATCCTATTCTATTATTATTTATTATATCCTTATTACCGTTTCCCTTCAGAAGATTTAAGTGGCTTTTTACCTTCAAAATGTAAATGGTAGTGTTTCCTATTTATTGTGCTTCTCTTCTGTTTGGTCAGCTTTGCATGGTATCTCTTCCATATTTCCACGAGGTGGCTGAACTGATGTGTAATCGTCCAATTCTTGTGCTTACAGAGGTACAAACATCTTTTCAATTGCCAATCGTGGCAAAAGACACTGCCGCAGCCACATTTTGCTGTTGTGAAGATGGACTGTGGCGACGAGGAGAAGGAAGGCAGAGTAAAACCTTTCATTGCATGGGGCTCAGCTATTGTACTCTCACGTGCAAGGATCCTTGCTTGCACCAAATCAGAAATTGTTTCCCGAGGATGCCACTGCCTTGTTCCTGACATTTAGAGAAAAGCATGTTGTTTTGGCACTTAACGCAGCATTTAAAACAGCAGAATCACGATAGCCCCAAGGACGGCAGCCCCGTCTATAATATATCCAAGAATATATTACAGAATAGAACTGGAATATAGCTCTGTATTCTTGACCTTGGAAGTCTTTTACTCCACCCCACCTGCTCAAGCAGGAGACCCTATACCATTACAGACAGGTGGCTGCCCAGTCTTTTCTTAAAAACCTCCAGTGATGGAGCGCCCACGATTTCTAGTGGCAAGCTGTTCCACTGGTTAATTGTCCCCACTGTTAGGAAATCTCTCCTTAATTCCAGATTGCTTTTCTCCCTCAGTAGTTTCCGTTCATTGTTTCTTGTCTTGAATTCTGGTGCTTTGGAGAATAATTTGACCCCCCTTCTTTGTGACAGCGCCCTATTCATTTGGACTCAATTGTGGTCGTGCATTTACAAAGCCTATTCACGTGGGACTCCACCGTTGTGATTGACTACAACTCCCAGATAACGGGAAGAAAAGTCCGACAACGGGAGATCCCGAGAGATCTCTCCCCCCACCCCCGCGCCCTCCAACAGCTCCGCCAACAGTTGCCCCTCCAACGGCGCCGAGGAATGCCCAGACGCGTGCGCGGCAGCAGGTGGCGCGCGGCGACTCTTTCCCTTTCCTAGCTCTATATTTTTCGCAACTCTATGGCTCAGCCAGCCGTCGAGTTGGCAGCTCTTCCGGCTCTTCTGTCACGGGGTCAAAGGGCGTACCGGCTTCCGCTTCCATCACTGTTTCGGGCCGGTCAGCCGTATCCGAGGCGACGCGGGGCCGAGCCGGGCTCCCCTCGGGTCGTGAGGTGGGTCCTTTCGGGAAGTGAAGCGGCTTGTTGGGCGAGAGCGCGGCGAAGACCCCACCCTGGTATTGTTATACTGCCTTAGAGACCTTCCGGCCTGGTTGGACACCCACGCCCATTATCCCCAGCCAGCTGCCTGAGGGAGTCGGGAAAGGCTTTACTAAGGGCTTCCCAGAGTGTGGTGGGTGCAGGCCCAGCAGGAGACTGGAGTGGCCGACGGGGGTGCGAATGCAGCGGGTGGGGGATGCATGGCGGCCTCTCGGTTTGGCTTCTGGGTCTGGGAGGGGCCTTAAAATGGAGCGTGGAAAAAAACAAATCTTAAAACGAACTAATGGCCCATCATCCCCGTCTTTTATGGCAAAAGACGGCCCTTTATTTCAGAAAGCTGCCCTGATTCATTTTTCAAAAACTCACTTGGGGCCTTTCTTGTCCCCTTGTACAGGTAGTCCTCGATTTACGACCACAATTGAGCCCAAAATTCTATTTAGTAAGATATTTGTTAGTGAGTTTTGCCCCATTTTATGACTTTTCTTGCCATGGTTGTTGAGTGAATCACTGCAGTTGATAAGTTAGTTACCTAGTTGTTAAATGAAGCTGGCTTCCCCAATTGTCTTTGCTTGCCAGACGCTCACAACATGATTCCGGGACACTGCAACAGTCATAAATATGAATCACTTGCCAAGTGTCCAAATTTTGATCACATGATCCATGGGGGATGCTGCACAGGTCATAACTGAAAAATGATTGTAACTCGCACTTTTTAATGCTGTTGTAACTTTGAATGTTCACTAAACAAACTGTAAATCAAGGACTACCTGCAAATGGTAACCCTTTGGGCAGAGTCTTTAGTCTTCATGGGAAAAATAATGGAAATTGAATGGTCTTGTTGAAACAAATTTGCATACTGTTTGATGTCTTTGTGTTGGAATATGGGAAGTTTTTGCTCTTGGATTTTCCTTTGTAAAGTCAAGTTATAAACTGTTAAATGGTTTTAACCTTACAAACCTCATTCAGATTTGCCCCCTTTGGGTGAAGTGTTGCCCTTTATTTTTCTCAAGAAAATATGGTCACTGTTCACATACAGGTAGTCCTCAGCTTATGACACTACTGAGCCCAAAATTTTTGTTGCAAAGTGAAACATTTGTTAAATGAGTTTTGCCCCATTTTACAATCTTTCTTGCCACAGTTGATAAGTGAATCACCACAGTTGGTAAATTAACGGTTGTTAATACTTCTTTTTTCTGATCAAATCTTGGTTGATTTGCTTGTCAGAAGGTTGCAAAAGGTGATCACGTGACTCCTGGACACTGCAACCGTCATAAATATGAATCAGTTGCCAAGTGTCTGAATTTTGATCATGTGACCATGAGGATCTACAGTGGTCGTAACTGAAAAATGTGTCACTTTTTCCAGTGACGTAAGTTTGAACGGTCACTAAATAAACTGTTGTAAATTGAGGACTACCTGTACTCAGCTGAGAAGTCAGGAATCAGTTGGGAAATGTGACATTTAAACCATAGACAAGGGTGCCTCAGGTTAGAAAATTTAGAAGGGAAGCCTATTGGTATGGAAAAGTACCTTCCATCGTTCACATTTAGAGTTGGATTATCATGCAGAGGGATGGAAATAAGATAAAAGGGAATCCAGTCAAGGATTACCCATAAGGTTCAAAAAAGGCAGAAGGAATTTTGAATAAGTGCCAAATCATCCTGGATTGGGAGTAGATTTATTTACTGCTTCCTAACTAGATCAGGCAACTTGTCCTTCCAGTTTGTAGTGCAATTTCTGACTCACCTCCACTTCTATTATTCTGGGAAGAATGAATCAGGTGCTTTAATATCAAGATTAGTTGCAGAGTAATTTCATTCTTAATTCAGAGGACAATCATGCACCCCAAGATCTAGATAAACCTTCAGGTAAATAAGTACATTGCATTTAATACAAGAGTTTGTTTTGCTAGCCTTTGTTTTCTGTTGTACAAAGTATCCATGTAAAAGGATTATAGGTCTCTGGTTAGGAATTCATGTTTGCATTTATCCTTGTAATATTTTACTTTATTACTGATTAAGGTGGGTGGCTTTTTTTCTTTGCTCAGGTTATCGAAAAAGGTTGAACAGATAAAAAGATGAAGCTTTACAGTCTAAGTGTTCTTTACAAAGGAGATCCCAAAGTGCACTTACTGAAAGCTGCTTATGATATCTCATCATTTAGTTTCTTCCAGAGATCCAGGTAGGTCTTCGCTCCATTTTAGGATCAGTTAGCTTTCTCCCCCTGATGCTTTCCTGTAACTGCACTGTGACATTCCCTTTGAATTTGTTGCATTGAAATCAAGATTGTAATACTTTTTTTTAATGTAACTTCTAAATCCAAGTAGCGATAAATAACTATTAAATGATAGATCTCACATTCATGTTTCTGTTTCTAAAGTGCATCACCTATGAATTCTATTAAGGTTTAACACTGTTTCCTATTTGGGAGTAATCTGAACAGATGCATTCATATGTCCTTGTACCTGCAAGCAGAATGCTAGCAGTTTTGAATTTGTTTAGGCTGTATCTGTTGATTCTAAATATACATGGCTAAATATAGTTTTGCATTTAACCTTTGAATGTTGAGCCCATCTTCCTGCAAAATGATATTGTAAAATGGAACTACTGGAGTTTGAAAAGAAAACAGTTTATCAGAATTCATTTTCTCTTTTCATACTTTTTGAAGTTACTTGCACTCTTATTGTATTGCAGTGTAGGCCAAATTTACTCATAAAAACATACATTGAATTGATTAGTTTTTTCCACTCATTTATCTTTGGCCTTATTTTACTGTTATAGATTTGTATGCTGCTTTTTTAATGATTTGTATGCTGCTTTTCAAAATTAGTATCTTTTTTTTTAAAATAAAACCATATGTCAAGCGTAAGAAATCAGGAACCAGAATGGTTCAAATGAATACAGGTTTAATGCATGCAAACATTTACAAGAATCTGAACTCCCAACAGTCAAAGCAAATTGGCAGTAGATAAGAGTCAGTGGAATTCAAGGCAGGCTGGGCTTAGATGTCTTATAAGTGCGAAGGGACTCCAGACTGATGATGCACTTGACCCCTCCCTTGGGCTTAGCTTGGTCATCTCCTACATCATATGCTATTACAATTTTTATGATGTAATTATTATCTTCTATTAGCAGCTGATTCTGCTAATAAAATTTATTTTCTTTGCATTTGAATATAGATGGTTTGATAACTAATTGTGATATTTTTTTAATTATTAACTTTCAGTGTTCAAGAATTTATGACCTTCACAAGTCAACTGATAGTAGAGCGTTCAGAGCTTGGAAGCAGAGCTTCTGTAAAGGAACAAGGTAGGCATACACAGTGGTTTGCCTTAGAACTATAGTAAACAAATAAGGGTCTGCAAATAAGGTCTGCAAATATGTAGGGCTTGACATTGAGAATAATGCTGATAAAGAAGATGTAGATAACTACTCTGTAAGGGGGAAAAAGCATGTTGGAAGTTATCTAAGGGAATGTTCTGGATGATTTCTCTAGCTCAAACTGAATTAAATAACTGAATTTCTTAGGAATTTGGTGAATATATTAGTATCTGGCAAGTTGGCGATTGCTATTAAAGTTGAATGACAGCATCACAGGATCCTTTGTGTTGGAAGTTGAGACAGTAAAAAGGTTCCTTCTAAAACTGCTCTTCTTGGTTAAAGAATCCATCACACACTGCTAATAGTTCAAGTTAGAACTACTTCATCCAAACATGTTACATGTTCTGATTTTTTGTAAGGTAAATTGTAATAACAGAAGATGAATTGTGTATAGTATTCAGTCCTGTTAAATCTTACATAAATGTTAAAAAAAAATTTAAATAGTTTTTTTTTTTTAAATTTTTTTTTGAAAAAAAGTAAAAGCTAACAACTAATACAAACTAATTATAGAATAAGGAAGAAAAAAGAAATCAGAACTAAAAGTGCAAGAAAGAAAGAAAAATAGAAAAAAATATACAAAATGGCTTCCAATCTTCTTTACAGCAGCTATAACTATAATTATAAATTTATTTATTTCTCTAAAGTTACATCTATATGCTCATATTCCTTGTGGCTGTGTGTGTGTATATGTGTGTGTGTTTAATGGAACTTTGAGTGTGTTGAACTCTGGTCATGTATTCATATAATATCAAATCAGAACATATTGGAATGTGCCCAAGCAAGACTCCTATTTCTTCTGCTTGGAAGCTGATTCTCTTTTTTTCCTAAATGAATCTTATGTTCAGACTTAAAGAATTGGTTGAGACTTAAAGAGCTCAGCCAACTTGTATCTAAAAAACAAAGGGACTGATGAGTTGGGAGAGTCTGTGGTTCTTTTTCACCAATTCTGTGGAATTTTATATGGGGAAAATGTACATTGTTCATGTTATTCTTCATTTCAGAATACCTCTGCCATGTTTATGTACGGAATGATGGTTTGGCTGGAGTGGTAATTGCAGATCATGAATATCCATCCCGGGTTTGTTTCACTTTGTTGGATAAGGTAAATACCAGCTTGTGCAGGGAGGATTTGAATATCTACAGATGGACTGCAAGATAATGCAGAGTAGGTGCTTTCATAGTTAAAATTGCTTGTAAATAGAGCTCTGACTCAATTCGGACATCACATTAAAGCATTAATCATATTTTATAATCCAAGCCTAGCCTAGGGTAAAATGTCATTTAGAATTAATAAAGACTTTGAAAAACCAGGGAATGAAATATGCTAGATGTAAAGCAGCAGCAACAAAGTTGTTTACACAGCAATGTTCCCATTGGGACTGCCACATGTACCCACTCAGACTGACTGTGTGTGATGATGCAGGGGAGGTTGGTGGAGAAAAAAAATACATTAAAATGAATTTCAGTCTTGTATGCTCAAGATTGCTTTCAGTGAGAGGAAGCTTAAAGTATTGTGTCTTAGAATACTTTCAATAACTTGAAGTCCATTAACTCTATGTAAAATGCATTCTGAAATTTAATTCTGTTACCTGAATTGGGTTTAAATAAACTCTTATGTGTAGATTATCACCTCAGTGAGATGGGCAGCATAGAAGTCTAATAATAAATAAACTATCTCACTAGCATCAGATTGTCTGAGTCATTGCCATCTGTGTCAAAAGCAAAATCATTAATCATTGTCATTGTTCTTTCTGCTTTTCATTTCATATAGTCCCTCCCTGCTATATAATTCTAGAATTTATAAATTCCAATATGGTGTCTAAGCTTTAGGAAAAATGTAATATGATATCTCTATTTTATTTTTGGGGAGTGATGTGTAGAATTCCTTCAAAAGAATGTAAGACATCTTTGAAAATCTGCATAGAAGGATTCTTAGGTTTCTCTTGGTCTTCTGTATGTAGGTACTTGATGAATTTTCTAGGCAAGTTAGTCGGATAGACTGGCCTTCTGGATCTCCAACAACGATAACCTATACAGCATTGGATGGATACCTTAGTAAATATCAGGTATGGTTGGAATGAATATAAATTGTTAGAAAAAAAAATCGGTAAAGGTTTCAGGAAATCAGCTTGATCTCAGAATAACAGAGTTGGAAGGGACCTTGTAGGTCATCTAGTCCAGCCCCCCGCTCAAGCAGGAGCCCCTACACCGTTTCTGACAAATGACAGTCCAATCTCTCCTTGAAAGCCTCCAGTGATGAGGCCCCCACAACTTCCGAAGACAAGACGTTCCATTGGTTGATTGTTCTCATTGTCAGAAAATTTCTCCTTATTTCTAGGTTGAATCTCTCTTTGATCAGTTTCCATCCATTGTTCCTTGTCTGCCTATAGGTGCCTTGGAAAATAGCTTGACCCCTTCCTCTCTGTGGCAGCCCCTGAGATATTGGAAGACTGCTATCATGTCTCCCCTGGTCCTTTTCTTCACTAGACTAACCATGCCCAGTTCCTGTAACCATTCTTCATATGTTCTAGCCTCCAGTCCCCAATCATCCTGGTTGCTCTTTTCTGCACTCCTCAATCCAATGTCTTTTTACCATCATATGATGAATAGAAACTGATTTTATTTATACCCAGTCCTCAATGCCTATAATGCATGATTTAACCTTTAAAATATACAATCTGCAATGGTGTTATCTGGTGCCACCTTCTCCCCCCCCCCAAAAAAAAACAACAACCCAGATTGGTTTCTTGTTTGGCATGGTCCTAAGAGGCTGTTTTCCTAATATTTCTGATCTCACATTGTTGACTGCATCTGTTTTTTATTATCGGCTGATGCTATGCAATGCCAGGTCCGTGGTAAATAAAGCCCCCCTCATTTGTGATCTTGTTCAGGAGGGGGGAGCGGACCTGGTGGGTATTACGGAGACCTGGTTGCGCCAGGAGGGGGGAGTCCCTCTCGTAGAGATGTGCCCACCCGGTTTCCGGGCATTTCATCAGCCAAGGTCACAGGGAAGGGGTGGCGGGGTGGCAGTTATCATTAAAGAGGGTCTTGGTCCGAGGGAGGCCACTGTTCCTCAGACGGCCGGATGTGAGTCTCTCCTTGTGAAATGGGGTCATGGGGTGCAGATGGGCCTGCTGGTTACGTACCTGGCTCCCTGCCACGTGGCAACGGCCTTGCCTGAACTACTCAACGTTATAGCCACGGTGGCGATTGATACCCCTAGACTTATGGTCATGGGGGACTTCAACCTGCCATCCGTCGGTGAGGCGTCTGAGGTGGCTCAGGAGTTCATGGCTTACATGAAGGCCATGGACCTGACCAATTAGTTCATGGCCCTACTCACACGGGGGGAAACACTCTGGACCTGGTTTTTGTCTCTGGTCAGTGGCTGAGTGGTCTCGAGATATAGCGATTGAGCCCTTGTCATGGTCAGATCACTCCCTCTTTTGCTTTGACCTTCAAACCGCCACACCCCACCGCAGGGAGGCGGAACCGATGAGGTTCCAGACGGACCTTGGGCCATTTCCTGAGGCTCTGGCACACGGCTCGACTGAAGACCTAGTGGCTGCCTGGGATAGGGCGGCCGCTGGAGCTTTGGACCGGGTTGTGCCTTTGCGGCCTCTGACCCGGCGTCGATCTCACCTGGCTCCCTGGTTCACCGAGGAGCTGAGGGAGATGAAACGCCGGAAAAGACGCCTGGAGAGCAGTTAGAGGGCCAGCCGTTCTGAATCTGACCGAACACTGGTAAGGTCTCATATTAAGATCTACCTGGTGGCAATAAAAGCGGCAAAGTGTGAGACTTCCGGTTTCCCTGTCTTCGGCGACGGCGGCGCCTTTTGAAGCTCCGCCAGCCCCGCCGCCCGTAGAGCCGCTCCGAGACGAGGAAGCGGCTCGAAAACTTCCAAATCCGTAGGATTGAGGAAGAAGAGATCGCAGGGCACAGGTCGAGCCCCTGCAACCCCCCAGGGAAGTTTCTGGGGAGAGAACAGGCGTGGCTCCCTCCCAACCTGCTGAAACTCCGGGCGACGTGGGACGATTCTGCTTTCGCAGAACAAGCCGGCTGCAGGAAACTTAAAGCGAAAAGAACCAGCTTTAACAAACAGTGAAATTACCTGAATCCTGAAACTTGGAAACGCAAGTATTAGTGCTTTGTTGACTTTTTAAACTGAGAAAAATGCGAATGAGTGAAAGTGCTTTGAAAAAACATGGCGCTCAGAGTTAACGAGCCAGCGAGTGTGGATTGGTGAAGTTATCTTGTTTTGTTACAAAGTTTCCAAGTTGCTACAAAGTTGCTTTGTTTGTAATAAGAGAAACAAGTGGAAAATTTCTCCCTTTTCAATACTTGACTTTGCTTTACTTCAACCTTTATTTGATCAAATCTGGGGGACTTTTTTAGAAGTCTTTGTGCAGGAGGGAAAGGAAAAGGAACTTCCCTTTTTAGAAAAACTAGATCACGTGGCAGGATGGCTTCAAAGAAGCAGGAAGGGAAGGCAACAGGGGGGGGATCCCCCACACACAAACATGAAACGCAGCCTCCCCCTGCTCAACAGCTACAGACTCAGAAAAAAGAATTTGATGTGGGAGATTTAAAAGAATTTATTTCTAAAACTTTGGATGACAAATTTCAAAAATCTCAACAGGAGATACATGATAAACTTCAAAAATCACATCAGGAGTTTATGCAGGAAGTTAATGAAGTTAAAGATATGGTGAAACAGAATCAAAACAAGGTGACCAAAAAAATATCAGAAGTGGCATCTGGCCTGGCAGAATTTATTGGGAAAGTTGATTTTAAAGTTGAAGAACTTAAATCAGAAGTTAATGTTAAGATGAAAGACAATGATTATAAAATTGCTGATGTTGATAATAAAATGCAAAGAGTTGAAAACGAGATTGTCATGATACAATTCAGGGCAATGGAGTTTGCTATACGGCTTCGAGGAATTCGAGAGGAGGAAAGACAGGATTTGAGACAAGTTTGTTCTGAGGCCCTGGCTAAGATTTTACAAGTTAATCCAGATGTGGTTTTTCACAAAATAGACAAAATTTACAGAGTGAACTCTTGGGTGGCCAGACAAAGACAATTACCTAGAGATGTGGTCATATATTTTACAGATAGAGAAATAAGAAACGATATCCTGCAAAAATCCTTTTACACTTCTGTACAAGTGGGGGGCTCACGAATTGGAATTTATAAAGAATTGCCTCCTAAAATGCTGAAAGCCAGAAAAGAATTTGGCTTTCTTGTTAAGGAATTGCAAAATTTACAGATACCTTTCCGGTGGGGCGCACCAGTTGGCATAATTTTCAGATACAAGGGAGAAAGATACCGTTTGAATACCGTGGAGAAGGCACAGCACTTCTACACTACTATTTTTAAGGAAAGAACACCATCTCCACGTACATCTACAGTTTTGGAGATTAAAGAGAGTGAAGAGAAGCAACCTCAACGAGAACTGCAAGAACAGTCTAAGCAGGAATTAGAAGAAGTGCAAGGTGCAGAAGGAGGTTTTCTGGATGAGCCCCTGCTGGAATCTTCTCCAATCTTGGACCCGGTTCGGATGATTGAAGTTAAGGATCAACGTATAACTCGAGCTCAAGCTAAGTTACTTAAACAAAAGCAACAACAACAACAGGAAAGACAAGACAAGGAGGCAGATAAGAGTACTGCACAAGAGACTGGAGCTATGGGAGGAGCAAGATCGAAGCTGTCGGATGACCTTCAATTATTTTGCTCTTTGCTCCAGAAAGAGGCTGATGATGTTTAAGTGTTTATCCTGGAATGTTAATGAGTTGAATTCAGCACAGAAAAGAAAGAAATTATTTACATATCTGAAACAATTTAATAATGATATAATTTGTTTACAAGAAACGCATATCACAACTCAAGATCAAAAATATTTGATAAACTCCAAACTAGGAACACATTTTATATCTTCAACTTCGCAAAAAAAGAATGGTGTGGTTATTTATGTAAATAAGAAGTTTACAGCTAAAGTTATAGAAACAGATGAAGATGGTAGGTTTGTAGCAATTGAATTGTCTATAGCAAATGGCCAAATTCTTCTGATTGGGATTTATGCTCCCAATCAACAACAGGACTATTTCTATAAGATGTTACATACTAAAATATTGCAATGGGATTACAGATCTATTTTAATTATGGGAGACTGGAATGGAGTAATCGACTCTAAATTAGATAAAAAGAGTTTGGCAAAGTCTAGACTCAGATTACCACAGGCCTTTTTTGACATGAAAGAAGATATGGAACTAAAAGATGTTTGGAGAATACATAATCCAAAAGAATTGGACTATACTTTTTTTTCTGATAGACACAGATCCTTCTCTAGGATTGACTTTATTTTGTTGACAGATGATTTACTCGTTAAGACAAAAAGAACAAAGATTTTTCCAAGAACTTTGACTGACCATAGCCCAGTATGGACAGAAATTGAGATGGACAAGGTTGAGAGACGTTCTTGGAGATTAAATGAGAATTTGTTTAGATATGAAAAAAATACAACAGAACTTAAAAAGCATTTGAAAGAATTTTTTGAAATAAATTTGAATAAAGGTACCCCAATTGAAATTGTGTGGGATGCAAGTAAAGCTTATATGAGAGGGGTACTTATCTACATGAACTCTAAACATAGACTGTTCCGACAAAAGAAAAGATCTGAACTGGAAATAGAAATAAAGAATAAAGAACAGTTACTTATTAAAAATCCAACAGATGAAAGAATACGTAGTGCTATAAAACTTTTGAAAGACCAATTTCAAATGCTTTTGGCGGAACAAGTTGCAACAAACTTACAATATGCGAAGCATAACACATTTTGTAACGCTAATAAACCGGGCAGATGGTTGGCTTACACATTGAGGAAAAAACAAAGTATACGGACTATTGATAGTATTGATATTGGAGGGAAAGAAATCTTTCAACAAAAATTAATTAAAGAAGCTTTTGTGGACTATTATACCAAATTATATGCTAAAGAGGAGGTGCAGAATGGACTTATAGAAAAATATTTAAACGATAAAAGAGTTACAAAAATTACTGATCAACAAAAGGAAAGAATGAATTATCCTATAACAGAGGAGGAGATAATAGTAGCAATTAAACAGTTAAAAACAGCCAAAGCTCCTGGCACGGATGGTTTGACTGCAGTGTACTACAAAACTTTGCAAGCTGAAATGGTGGAACAACTTAGAGATTTATTTTGCAATATTCAGCAAGGGGGTAAAATACCCCCATCATGGACAACAGCTTACATATCTTTGATACCAAAAGAACAAATCGGTCCTAAAAAACCAGAGAACTATAGACCAATATCTCTTTTGAATACAGATTATAAAATTTTTGCGAAAGTACTAGCCAACAGGTTGATGCCAGTAATTCAAAAGGTGATTCATGATGATCAAGCGGGATTTATCGAGGGCAGATATATGAAGGACAATGAAAGGCAAGTAATAGATTTATTGGAATATCTTGAGAAGAATAAACAGATCCCTGCAGTGCTGGTTTTTTTGGATGCAGAGAAGGCCTTTGATAGAGTGGATTGGAATTTTCTATTAAAGACTTTGAAAAAGATGGACTTTGGGGATCAATTTATACAGGCGATTTCGGCAATTTATCAAGAGCAAAAGGCACAGATCATTATTAATGGAAGTTTGACAACAGAGTTTAAAATTGAAAAAGGAACAAGACAGGGATGCCCGTTGTCCCCACTTTTATTTATTTTAACACTAGAAGTCTTGCTAAATACAATACGGGACTCTAATATCTTGAAAGGTATAAAGATTAGGCAAGAGGATTACAGAATAAAGGCATTTGCAGATGATCTGGTTGTTACCCTATCACAACCAATGGAATCAATAATCTTGATGAAGGACATTATACAAGATTATGGTAAGGTTTCAGGTTTTAGATTGAATCCAAAAAAGACTAAAATGATAGCTAAAAACATGACACAAGATCGCAAACATGAGCTTGAAAGGAGGGCAGGTTTTGAGACTGTACCTAAGGTAAAATATCTAGGAGTTCAGGTTGCAGAATCAAACATGAAATTGTTTCAAAATAACTATGAGGTGTTGTGGCGAGAGGTGCAGAAAGATATGGAGACTTGGAAAAAACTGCAGCTGTCTCTACTTGGAAGAATAGCAGCAGTTAAGATGAATATTTTGCCAAGATTTCTTTTTTTGTTTCAAATGATTCCGGTGCTTAAAAGTGATAAACAATTGAAAGTTTGGCAATCTGGAGTGAATAAATTCGTCTGGAACGAGAAGAAGCCGAGAGTGAAATTGAAAATTATGCAAGATGTTCCAGAAAGAGGAGGTCTTAAACTTCCAAACCTACAGCTATATTATGATGCAGCAGCTTTAACCTTAACAAGTGATTGGTTTGGAAGTAAAAAGGCTGGAATATTGAATGCAGAAAGTTTTGATCTTGAATTTGGATGGCACGCTTACTTATTTTATGATGACAAAGTTGATAAAGTATTTAAAAGTCATATACTTAGAGACTCTTTGATGAGAGTTTGGAAGAAGCATCGATTCAAATGGGATTATAAAATACCGCTATGGCTGGATCTTGGTCATACTTTGTGGAATACAAATATAATGTCACTCGGGGGGTTTTTATACAAAGAGGTTCTTTTTACAGATGCGGGCAGATGGCAGCTGAAGACATTGCAGACACTGTTGGACGAAGGGATTAATTTAACTTGGTTACAATATAATCAATTACAATTGAGATGGAAAGAGGACCAAAAAACTGGTATTATGTTGCATGAGGAAGAATTGGTTAGACATATAAGAGAGAAAGGTCCAATGCATATCAAAAGGCTTTATAATGTTTTGCTAGAAAGGGACTCAGAAACTGAATTAGTTAAAGATTGTATGATTAAGTGGGCACAAAATTTTGAAGAACCAGTGATGTTGGAAACATGGGAAAAAATTTGGGTTCAGAATGTTAAATTTACACAGTCGCAGAACCTGAGGGAAAATTTCTATAAAATGTTTTATAGATGGCATTTAGATCCCAAAAAGTTGTCATGTATGTACCCTAATGTTCAGCCAAAATGTTGGAGATGTGAATGTTTGGATGCTACGTATTATCATGTTTGGTGGACCTGTAGGAAAGTTAAGGCTTTTTGGATAAAAATTTGGTGGGTTATGCAGAATGTTTTGAAGAAAAAAATTCAATTTTCTCCACAACTGTTTTTATTGGGTATAGTTAAGGGTTTTACATTGGGTGAAACAAAATTGATATTGTATATGATAACAGCAGCAAGATTGTTGATAGGTAAATACTGGAAGAATGAAGCTTTGCCCACTATCGAGGAATGGACTTTGAAGATGGCCAGTTTTGCAGAGATGGCGAAGATTTCAGCATATTTAAAAGATTGTTCACAAGAGACTTATGAATGGGAATGGAAAAAGTGGATAGAATATGTTCAGAACAAATATCAAACTAGAAAGTATCAAATAGCTTTTATTTGAAAATAATGTATTGGAAATATTTTAATGTGATGAGGTAAAGAAAAAAATTATACAGGGAAGGGAGGGGTTTAAGTTTATATATAAGTGTTATATTAAGGGTTTTTTATGAGTATATTATAGGGAAGTCTGGGGGGAGGGGAGGGTTAGGGAGGGTTAGGGAGGTTGGGAAGTCTGGGGGGGGAGGCGGGGGGGAAAAAGGGGTGAAAATGTAATTGTAAAACTTTTGCAATAAAAAAAAAAAGCGGCAAAGTGTAACTATTTTTCCGCTCTTATTGCGTCATCAGATAATCGCCCGGCCGCCCTGTTTAGGGTGACCCGCTCCCTGCTCCACCAGGAAGCGCGGGAGGACCCCTTGGAGGGTAGAGCCGAGGACTTTGTACAATATCTGTATGACAAAATCGCTCAGATTCGGGAAAATTTGGACTCTGACTGGGTAGATTCGGGAGGGAGGATGGAGGCAAGTCTTGAGAATATTACCTGGGAAGAGTTTGATTCTGTGACTCCGGAAAACGTGGACAAGATACTGGGCAGACTGAGCGCGGCCACATGTTTATTGGACCCGTGTCCCTCCTGGCTGGTGCTGGCCTCTCGGGAGGTTACACGAGGCTGGCTCCAGGGGATTATAAATGCTTCCTTGAGAGAGGGTGTCTTCCCTGCCGCCTTGAAGGAGGCGGTGGTGAGGCCTCTCCTCAAGAAGCCTTCCCTGGACCCAGCAGTGTTGGCTAATTACCGTCCAGTCTCCAACCTTTGCTTCGTTGCGAAAGTTATTGAGAGTGTGGTAGCGCGACAGCTTCCTCAGTACTTGGATGAATCGGCTTATCTAGATCCGTTCCAGTCGGGCTTCAGGCCTGGATACAGCACGGAAACGGCATTGGTCGCATTGATAGATGATCTCTGGAGGGCCCGGGACAGGGGTTGTTCCTCTGTCCTGGTCCTATTAGACCTCTCAGCAGCTTTTGATACCATCGACCATGGTATCATGCTGCACCGGTTGGAAGCGTTAGGGGTGGGGGGCACCGTGTTGCGGTGGTTCTCCTCCTTTCTCTCTGATCGGTCGCAGTCTGTGTTGACGGGGGGGCAGAGGTCGACCCCGAGGCCCCTTGTATGTGGGGTGCCACAGGGGTCGGTTCTCTCACCCCTTCTGTTCAACATTTATGTGAAGCCGCTGGGTGAGATCATCCGTGGTTTTGGGGTGAAATATCATCAGTATGCTGATGATACTCAGCTATACATCTCCACCCCGGACCACCCCAATGATGCCCTTAAAGTGATGTCCCAGTGCCTGGAGGCTGTACGGATCTGGATGGGGAGGAACAGACTCAGGCTCAACCCATCCAAGACCGAGTGGCTGTGGTTTCCGACGTCCCGATATAGTCAATTGGTGCCATCACTGACTATTGGGGATGGGTCATTGCCCCCCACGGAGAGGGTTCACAACTTAGGCGTCCTCTTGGACTCACGGCTGTCTTTAGAAGAACACTTGACGGCTGTGGCCGGGAGGTCTTTTTATCAGGGTCACCTGATTCGCCAGTTGCGTCCCTTTCTGGATCGGGACTCGTTAAATACGGTCACTCATGCCCTCGTCACTTCACGCCTGGACTACTGTAATGCTACATGGGGCTCCCCTTAAGGAGCACCCAGAGGCTCCAGCTGGTCCAGAATGCGGCCGCGCGGGTAGTTATGGGAGCAGCATGGCGCTCCCATGTGGCTCCCCTCCTGCGCAAGCTGCACTGGCTCCCTGTGGTCTTCCGGGTGCGCTTCAAGGTCTTAGAGCGCTCCATGGCTTAGGACCGGGGTACTTACGAGACCGCCTTCTGCCACCAATAGCCTCTCACCGCCCAGTACGCTCCCATAGAGAGGGGCTTCTCAGGGTGCCGTCAGCCAAACAGTGTCGACTGGCGGCCCCCAGGGGGAGAGCCTTTTCTGTGGGGGCACCCACCATCTGGAACGAGCTCCCCCCAGAGATACAGAAGATTCCGGATCTGCGCACTTTCCGCCGTGCCCTCAAAACATTCCTGTTTCAGCAGGCTGGCCTGGCCTAACTTTCCCTTTATATTGCTTTTTGATTTTATTTTAAACTGGGATGTCTTGAATTATCTAGGACCAGAGTGTTTAGTATATTTTAATTGGTTTTTTTATTAATGTTTATATTAAATGTATTTTTATCGTTCGCTGTTCACCGCCCTGAGTCCCTTAGGAATAGGGCGGTATATAAATTTAATAAATAAATAAAATAAATAAATGAATAAATTATGTTTCATAGAAGTGGTTGGTTGCTGAAATAAGAGCAGAGAGAATAAATATTTATCATAATAAAATTTACTAATGTTTAGAGCACAATAGGGCCTGAGTTTGCATGGCTTTGGTATACTTGAAGAAATTGCCTTTCCTAAATATTATATTGTAATATTAATGACGATTTTTGGTGTCATGCCAAAACATCATCAAATAAAATTCTGTATTGTTCTTTAAGAATCCTCGTGATGCCGATGCAATGACAAAAGTGCAAGCCGAATTGGATGAGACCAAAGTTATCCTGGTAAGTGGTCAGCATCTTGCTATTAATATGGAGATTGCTAGGTACTGGTAAAATTTGGAAGCAGGACAATAATTTTAAAAAAGCAAACTCTAGGGAAAAACCTTAGCGAGGAGATTTATTTGTCACAGGGATCTGTGTATGGCATTCAGAGTGCAGACTCAGTAAATGCGGATCCTATTTTAAAGTCGTCAGGATCGTTTTCTTTGAGGCCGTGAAACAAAACAACTTCTCTTTTTTTTTGTACATGTGAATATAGTTCTAGGTGTTCCAGACACTGGTTAGCTCTTAATTCAGTCTCTTAATGATCACATGTAATTCTTTAAGCCAAGATGAAAACATGATGCAATCAGATAAAAGTAGGTCATAACTAATTTTTATCTTAGCTGTGACCTCCTTTTTGTTGGTTATTGTGATGTCAGCAGAGATGCTCTGATACCAGTAATGAACAAAATGCTTCCTGAATTGTGGAGTAAAACAGTGAATGTCCCGTTTTGGGTACTTCCTGAAGGAGGCCACTTCCCCACCATTGCCCTGAATGCCATGGTGGGATTTCCATTCAATGAGCAGATAACACAGTGCGCAGAGTAGGTTGTTCCGACGCTTTCTTCCTATTTATTCTAGCAATATGTGCAGAAGAGTAGCTAGTTAACTATCTTCAGTGGCTAGTCAATAGTGTGTCCTCCACCTTCTTAGAGCACGGTCAATCCTAAAATCCCTCTGAAATCCTGGGATTCTTTGGTTATTGTGGAGCAATAGAGTTATTTAGTTGAGGGAATCACTAGGAGTAATTTTCATCAAAATATTAATATTGATTGGATTGTAAGCAGTTGATTCATGTGTCTTGTATTAGACACAGTCAAATATAAATAATATTTTTGCTACACCGCAGTTACTTCGAAATAAATCCTAATCATTTCGTCCTGTTAGAAATTTAAAGTGACCCACTGGTTACAAATAGGATATTGATACTGCTCAAAAATGGTGGGGAGAGGCTGGAAATTAAATATTTCTGTCAAATTCTAAAGGTGGAATAAAAATAAAAATTTAAAAAAGTCATGCAACAGACAGTCCACTTCCAGGTGAACAGGCTATGAGGGGAACAAACATCTATAGGCCACCGTTAAGATCACAAGGTGTGCTGCATATGAAATATTACAGAATAGGTTCTTGAGTTGTGGGGTAAAACAGTGAATGTCCCGCTTTGTGTCCTTCCTCAAGGAAGCCATTTTCCCCACCATTGTCCATGGTCTCTAGAGTGTTGTATTTTTAGCACTGGGAGAGAGAAAGCAGATTCTTGCTTCTAATTTTAAAATATTAGGAAAAACTATTCCTTTGAGACAAACCTTTTTGTTTTGGGTTAAATTTCTTTAAAGAGCTCTTTGGTAGCATTTTGGCAGAGACTAAAGTAAAAGTAGAAGAATGGATTTAGTGATAGTGGTAGGGATAGACCGTTGGTCTCCTTAAGAGGCAAATGTAGGCAAAGGCCCAACTGATATGAAAAGCACAATGGCGCTTTCTAAGCTTTTTTCCAAACCAGAAAGTGGAAACCGTAAACACTTGATAGGAGGGCTGAGAGGGTGGGTGAAGGGAAAATTTGGAAATTAAGCTCTCCTAAGAAGGCAGAGCAATTGTAGCCACACCACTTCATAAGCTCCTGTGTTTGCTGCCTCTTCTGCAGCTGGGTTCCTAAGTCAGGGATCTCTCTCTCAGCTGTGTCTTTTTCCCATTTAGCACAATACAATGGAGTCCTTGTTAGAACGAGGAGAGAAGCTGGATGACTTAGTGGCCAAGTCAGAGATTCTTGGAAATCAGTCAAAAGCCTTTTACAAAACTGTAAGTATATTTGGACCAGTGTTCTGTAATATAGACAGTGCTTCCTATCTTCCTACAATGATTTACTGTTTGAGGCAATAAATGTATGGGGTATTTTTAGTCAGTGGAAATTATGGCCTGGAAATCAAATGCCATGAGAGTCTAAGGAGATTATCATTCAGGTCACGGTTGTACCAAAGTTGCTTTTCAAAAGGCAACTGGGCTTTCTTAGTTTTTCCCTTGAAAAGGTTTTGTTTTCACTGGTTTGAAAGAGGAGTCAGAGAGACCATCTAAGGTTAAAATTGAACAGCCCCCTCTCAACAGAAGGGAAGGGATATGACATCATCTATCTCCTATCTATGACACAGTCCTTTCAGCAGCCCCAAGAAGGTTCCACACCCATTTGCACTCTGATTCAAGTGACTCTGAGGATACAGATAAACCCCCAAGTGGCCTCAACAACTCTCAGAAAGAAGCTAACAACCAACCTTCAGATACCAGATGACTACAAAGATTATAAATCCTTCTATTCCCCACCATTCAGTCAGATTTGAAGAAGCTTCTTGGATAAGAAGAGAAACACTTTCAAGGAAAAAAATCAAAAAAGTTCAGTTGCCTTTTGAAAATCACCTTTGGGGCAAATGCCGGGAAATACTAATGTTAATACATCACATTTAGAGCCAGAATACAGTTGTTGTTGTTGCTGTTACTATTATTTATGAATATACATTTACAAAGAACTGTTGCTCATTGGGAAGGTGCTTAAAGAGTGGTAAAAGATGCCTTTGAGTAGAATGCAATTCTTACTGAACGCAAAGCTTCCTTATTATGCAGGTAGTCCTCAACTTATGACTAGTTGCTTAGTGAGCCTTAGAAGTTACAACTGATCTACCCAGGACTACTTACAACCCAGAGTCGAAGGTCTGACAGCTGTGCCTCCCCCTGTGGTCACATGATCATATTTTAAGTGTTTGATGACTGAGCCGCTTTTATTGACCCCATTGGGGTAGGATCCCATTGTCAAATGATTAATGTACAATTTTTTTGTCAGAAACTGGTGTTTGTTTTTGGTTTCTGGCAAAAAGTATCCATTGTGGACAATTGACTTACTTAACAACCGCTGTAAAAAGTTCATAAAATCATGACCCAATTCATGACCAGCACGGCTCATGACTAGACATAGTCCTCAACTTGCGATCACAATTGAGCCCAAAATTTCTGATGGTGAGACATTTGTTAAGTGAGTTTTGCCCCATTTTATGACCTTTCTTGCCACAGTTGTTAAGTAAATCACTGCGGTTCTTAAATTAGTAACAAGGTTGTTAAGTGATTCTGGCTTCCCCATTGACTTTGTTTGTCAAAAGGTTGCAAAAGGTGACCCTGGGACACTGCCACCATCATACATCTGAGTCAATTGTCAAGGATCCAAATGTAAATCACGTGACCATGGAGATGCTGCAACGGTCATAAGTGTGAAAAATAGTCATAAGTTACTTTTTTCAGTGTCGTCGTAACTTTGAACAGTCTCTAAATAAACTGTTGTAAGTTGAGGACTACCTGCAATAAGTGTGTATTTCTTCCCACCTCTCCTGACCTGGAAGGCCCGGAAGCAGAATTCATGCTGTGACATCATGTGACTCCATCCACCGTGTACCTTCACCACCTGCTTTGGACTATCTGGATTTGATCTGATTTCATGACTCCTGGAGAGAGAGGCAGCACCAACAGCAGCAACTGTTGTTTCCAGATTCAGCTGTCTCAGCCACACCGGAGGCAAGAAATACCATGTTGGGGGGTCCATGAAATTAAAACCTTATTTGAAAAAAAAATCCTTTCATGGCTAGAGAGTATCTGGGATATTAGGTTGATGACACAAAGGGAGTTGGGAATGGATCCTGGTGCTTACACACATTCCTGTTTTGGTCATTGGCTGATACCTGTGGGGGGATTTGCTGTTCTCCTTTCCAAAACTACAAGCAGATGTGGACTCATTGTGCATACTTAAGAGTAAGATAAACAGTTTGGCCATCTGAAAAATGCCTTTTTTTTTCAGCATTGCACAGTGTCCTTGTGTCTTAAAATGTTGGATACTGATTTTTTAGAAGTGAAGCAAAACCCAATTTGTTTTGAACCCATACAGAATTATTCAGAGAACACGGATCTCTGAGTTCTGCATGAAAGAAAAAAAAAGATCTCTAAGGCAGCCCGAGAACTGATTATACTTCATAATATAGAAGAAATTCCAAAGAGGTGGGAAAGCGGTTTTAGGACTAATATGGATATGCTTTTAAGTTTTCTCTGATTCTAGGTGGGAAATTTCTTTCCAACCTGAGTCAGACTTTGTTTTGTTTTTGCCAAGGATATAAACAGCAGCATTTAGCTCCCTCTTTTATCTGGTATCGTTGCCACTGATCAAACCCAGGATTTCATTAAGAAGAGATTGTGTGCCACAACCCCTTGGCTGCTCTTGGATATTGCAGTTTGTTTAGGTTGGATTTATTGATGAAAAGCTGGTAATTTATCTAGCTGATGGCTTGTCATTTCTACACTGTTCAGCAGGATGTGGAATGAATGGGGAGCTGTATTGCAATCCGGGCATACCTTCTCACCTTATGTATTATGGCTGCTGTTCTGACAGTGAACCTGGCAGGTTCACTGCAGCCCTTCTTGAACATACTGCACCCAAAAGAATAAGCTGCTGTTTTACACTAGCCATTATACCAGAGCCTTGTAGAGTGTGAGCTATCCTGTATTGGGTCTAAGTGTGTTAGTTGCTGCTACTACGCAGCTTGGTGTTGTCTTGTGATGTCCTCAGCCAAGACTAGATTCTCCCACGGTTGGAGAATTTGTCCCCGCTGGTTTTGTGTAAATGTAGGAAATGTTATTAATGCTTTTGTCTTTCCGTCGGTGGCATCTTGGCTCCAAGGCCCATTCTGTCTTTGCAGGGTGGGGGCCAGGGTGGGTAGGGATACCATTCTACAGTTGTATTTATGCCTTCCTCCCCAAGTGTTTTGATTTATTGTAACTGGGTTGGACATGTCTGCACACCATGTCCCTTAAAGTCAGCTGATCCCCAACCAGGAGTCCTTTGTGAAGCAATTCATCTAGGCAATAGGAAAAACATGCCACTTGGAGCTTTTGCCCATCAATGGCATGTTTGTGCACACCCACCCATGGTGGAATGATCACTCCTCCGATATATTAATCCAATAGGGATAGAAGTCCATCTTCTAGACTCGAGATGAGTAACCAGTAACATCTTGGGCACAGCTTTCCTAACCCTGTTGATAAACTGAAATCACTGACTGAGCCATCTCCATTCCAGAAGAGGCACGTAAAAAGCCAGGAAGCTGTCTTTGCCCATTAGCAAGGAGCCAGTTAGTGCCAAGATAAAATGACAGAATGACAAACAGCAACTTAAGGCAAAGTTGAAGGTTTCTGATGTGACTCTGAGGGGAAATCCTATTTCTGGCTTGCATTGTTCCTTTCTTAAAATGTGTCCGTCATGTACAGTTGCACCAGCTCTTGTTAACTTCTTGAGCCAACTTCCAACTTTCGTGCAGTATATATATCAACCTAGGGGCAGTACAGTGAAGTGGAACAAGTCAGCAACCTGGGGTTTGAACACATTTCTGTTTGACTTGAACCGTGATGGGTGCTTCCTGGGACTTGACAACTTGGCTACATTTGCTTTGTGAGGCCTTTTTTTGGGGAAGACACCGGAGTGAAAGAACAGTGACTCATGCAGAGGCTGCATTGGCAGATCTGATGCAGCACCCTTGTGGTGCCAGAAATCACCAGCCTTAATTCTTTTTCTTCCTCCAATGTCTGCTTCAGATGTACCAACCTAAGGGCTGTCATATTTTCTGTAAAGTCCATTTCTGCAGGGGTCAGTTCCTTGTGGACTGCTAACTTTGTTCTGAAAGATTAAGAGGGTAGGTGGAACACTGCAGTGAGTTTTGCTACTTGCTGTAAAAGAAAATGGGTTCTCCTCTCCTCATTCTGTGATTTGAAATGTACAGTACTATAGAAACTTGCTTGTGTTACTTTATTTTGCCCCCTAGGCTCACAAATTCCTAACCTCTTTCTAATGTGGAAGCTTTTACTAAAGATTGTATTTTAATAAATATTGCTTAATATCTGTACGTACTGGTTATTGGAATATATCTATAAAGTTGTCACTTGATCATCTAGAATTGGTTGTGTCTTATTGTGGGGATTTTAGTTGGGGTCCTATTTCTCATAGGGTGCAATTGTTTGATATGCTTCCAATATTGCAATATATTCTTCCAGAAAAACTGGCTGTTTTTGCTTATTTTTGAACTCCACACCTGGATTAAAGTATGTTGTATTTAACAATGTTTCAACAATTTCTATTATGACCAAAAATTATAACCTCATGTGGCAATAAGGTAAAAAGTAAACGAGTCTCTGCAGATTTTACTTCGCCTGTTGTTGTTGACTGTAGGGGATGGGATGGTGGCCATCTGTTTCATGGCCATTGAGCCAGTGCAGTCTGAAAACATTTCTGCTGTTGTGACCAGCATGACATAATGGAGCACTGTTACCTTCACACTGAAGTGGTACCTATTAATCTACTCACGTCTACATGCTTTCAAACTGCAAGTTGGCAGGGGCTGGGGTGAGGACGGGAACTCACCCCATTGCATGGCACTGAGGTCTTGAACTTGGGCTGCCGGTTTTTCCAGCCAACAAGACCAGCATCTTACCTCTTGAGCCACCCTTCCACCCCATGAGATAATACAGTTCCCCAACACCCAAACTATGAAACAACCCTATTTTAGCTGAATATTTTATTGTGCCAATCCAGCTGAGGAGGCTTGCAGAGCATGTAAACCTTAAAGCACCTTGTTCCAATGCCATGTCCAGCGGGCATTTTCTATGGTCATAGGTAATAGGTGATAAATAAGGGAACCATAACCTGAAGCTGAATGACACTCAAGCAGATCCAGCCAATCTGTCAAATGATCAGTCTTCAGTTAAATGAAGAATGAATACCTTGAATTGCTGCATTCAATGTTATGTTCTCAGTGAAGTTTAATGGCATCTAGTGCAGCTAGCCCAGGAATCCTTAGGAATCCTCTCCTGTCACAGGCAGAGTAGGCCAAAGTGTATTTAGATCCTCCACAAATAAAATTTCCTACAGGAGGCTGGGACACTGCACAAGGCTTCATTTGAAATTACTCGTCAATTCAAGTGTTCCTGGAATGCTGGATATTATCCTGAGCAACACAGGTAGTCCTCAACTTACAACAATTCATTTAGTGACTGTTCAAAGTTACAGTGCCACTGAAAAAAGTGACTTATGACCATTTTTCACATGACCATTGCAGCATCCCCATGGTCATGTGATCAAAATTCAATGATTGGCGACTGACTCCCATTTATGACAGTTGCAGCATCCTGGGGTCACATGATCACCTTTTGGAACCTGACAAGCAAAGTCAATGGGGAAGCCAGATTCACTTAATGTGTGGCTAACACCTGCATTCACTTAACCACTCTGACAAGAAAAGTCGTAAAATGGGGCAAAACTCACTTAACGTCTCACTTAGCAACAGGAAGTTTAGGCTCAATTGTGGTTGTAAGTCAAGGGCTACCTGCACACAGTGTGCAAGCGATCTTGTCCCCCTCCCATCGGTTCATCTAACCTTAGATTGACGCTTTCCTTTTTATATTTATTTTATTATTCTCATTTCTGCCTGGATTAAGTCAGAGGATGCAAATACAACAATCATAAAAACCTGATCAGGAGCAGGGCGTTTTAGTATGCTCGAAAACGTGAACGCAGACTTCAAGTGTGTATTGCAAACAAAGAATATTTTTCTTCTTTAATTCCCTAGGAAGGCTGACAGCTGCATTTTTATATTAAAATTAACTCATTAGCATGTAAAAAGCACGATATGGAAAAAAGGAAGCTTGTTATAAAAGCTCAGAAACACACTGAAGATGCTTTTTTTCTAATGCTTCTAGTCCCCTTTTCATGTTTGGGTGTGTGCATGTGTTTCTTTTTAAATTTTATTTTATTTGCAGTTCTCCGAGACAAAAACAGTCGGAATTGGTTGGTTTTTGTTTTTTTTACACTTACAAGGCTCAGAAAGAAAAGACAGTGAAATGGTAAGAAAAAGAAAGGGAAAGTTACGTCAGAAAGAAGAAAAAAGATCCACCAGCATTCATAGAACAGACTAACAGCTCAGCTTCGCTTTTAGTTCTCAATAGAGATAATATATATATATATATATATATAATGTATATATATATATATATTTGTAGATATAGATTTTTCTTCTCTTTAAGGTCATGCAAAAGAAAATCCAACCTCCTCCCCCAACCTAAAAATACCCCCACCAATGTACTGAGTTCCATAGTAAACAAGGTGAACATCAAAGGGGAGGCAACCCTGGTACATTAATGTTTAATAATGAAACACCTGTTTCAACATGCGGCTTGTAAGTTTTTTTTTCATATACATGGATGTAGAGACACTTCTCAAGTTAGTCTTCCACAGAAACCATACAAGCATATTATATTATGCCCCCCCACTGTGAAATCTCCCTTTTTGCATGTTTATTCGAATACCCACCTCCCATTTCCAACTCCTCCCCTCGAAAAAAGAAATGCCAAAAAAAAAAAAAATCAAAAACATTTAAACGCAAGGGTGCAAAGGCAAAACAGCTGGAAACGACTGGCTCTAAACATTGTCTCCTCCCTGGGCAATCCTGTCTTGGAAGCACTTCCTCCCCATGTGTGTGCGCATGCAGGGGGTTGATGGGACCACAGCCCCACTTGAGCTGTGAGTGTCGGTGCGGGTGTCTTGTGTATGGAGGGGGGGAAATGATATTTGACCTAAATCCCAGCAAGCAGCCTGCCTCCTGTTCTTCAGCATGCTCACAGAACACAACTGTGTTGGGGAGGGAAACAATACAAGGGAAGCCGCCCCCCCCCCCACCCTTAAGCTTCATCTAGAAAAAGGAGCAAGATTTATGTCTTCTTGCACTCCTGTGCTCCGCTGAATGCCACTCCAGCCATTACGGTGGTGCAGTGCAAAGCCCAATCTCAGGACTGGGCAGTTGTTAAGAGATTTAATCTCTTGATATAAAGTGCTTTCAACGTTATTATCAGTGCTGGTGGGACATTTCCCCCAATGCCTGCTCACATCTCCCTCCCCCCTCCCTCCCCTGTTCCATCGTTCTCTCTTGGTCCAATTATCTTTTACATTCATTAGCCATGCAAAATACTGCACTGAGATGATGGTCTACAAGGAGAACCGGGACTAAGGCTGCACCTGAATGCTATGAAACGTCTCCATACTAGAAGGCCTCCAACTGTCAGGTTTGCACAATCACACAAGTGTGCTTCCTTCCTCTTCTCGAGTTGCTCACACTTAACAGCGGAATGAGTCAATGGCCTCACCCCTCAAAAATTCAAGACCGCATCAGAGAGATTGAAAGAAGCTTCCTTGTCCACTATCAACCACAAGGAGCAACCAAGCCCTTGGTTATTGTAACCAGAGGGGAACCTGTGGATCTTAAGCAGCTGTCAGTGCTACAGGAGCAGTTTTAGATGGAAGAAACAACTAAAGTGCAAAAACAGGTGAGATCTGCCTGAACATAGTCTAAACCACTGAACTACAGTCTAGCCATAAGGCACAAAATAATGCTTGCCCAAATGCTCCCCGCCCCATTTTCACGTGAAATCTGTCCTGTCCACCACGGTGCAGCATCCCCATGGAATTAAGATGCTTGTTGTCAACCAAAACAGGAACTGAGTCTTCTATTTCAATAGTTCATCATGAGCTCCAGTTGCTAAAACTTTACTTTCAACCATATGGATTGCTCTGAGATGTTCAAGGATGTGAATTTGCATAGGAATGTCTAAAAAACAGGTATGCAATTCAATACTCCCATGTTTTCTTCTCATTGGTCCTGTCCATTACGCTGTAAAATGATTGCCGGGCCCTAGAGCTTCTTCTGTTGTGTCTCTGAGATGTGGATTACCCTGCTTGTAGGCAGCCAATACACAACTTAACACTGACATTTGTATTATCATTTTTGCATACCAGCCATAGTAGGATGACAAGACAAGCAAGCCATCACAGAAGTCATACTAGAAAGCAGTATCATTGTGGGGTAAAGAACTGGGACACCATAGTAACAAAATTAGATGGGACACCACAGAAATGACACCAGAAGCAACTCCCTTAGAACATGCACAGGGAACAGCAATAATCATGCCACTTGTTAAGGAGACTACATTACACCATCCCAGCTCAACTAATCCCTTAGTCCATTGTCTCAAATTCCAGCTTTGGTTTCTGACAGCAACTATCACTCTCCAGAAAAACAAACCTTTTTGCTCAAAAATACTGCCAATTTATGTTCTTTAACCCAACAGGTTCTAATTTCTGATCAAGCACATAACTCTTTCTGGGAGGTAGTTTGGCAGCTCTAGTACCTTCCAAATCTCAACTGAAGTCATAGTTACAATTGCACATTAAGTCCTCGGTGTGCAATCTTAATATATTTGCAGTCTATTTTTGACTGTTCTTCTTGCCAACTACATGCAATCAATCTAGCTTTAAGATACTGAATCCCCGAAGCATCAGATCATGCAAAGTTGTGTTTCTTGTACTGGGAGCCGATTGGAATACAGACAATGACTTTTTTTTTTAGATTCAGACAAGTTTCTCCCAAAAAGCACGAAGCAATATAAGCAATGAAACCCATCAGTTTCATATGAGACTGCCAAAAATATAAGACTCCAGTTAAGAGTAGTACACTTGTAGTAGGATAAAAGCAAGGCAAGGTAGGTAGGCACAAAGTAGGTTTAATCTGAAGTACTTGGGAATGAAGGGTGGTTAGGAATAGCTTCCTTAGAATTAACAATAGTCCTATAATTCACTGCAGGAATAACTGCTCAGCAAGATCTCTAGATCTCTTGCCAGCCACCATAACAGACAACTTGGGGATTGGGTAAGCACACGCCCATCAGGGCATTTGCAACTGATTACATGTAAAAGACTCACTTTTGCACAAGCTCTATGGTCACTTGGCCTTCTCATCTGATTTTCGCTCAGTTTTAGCAATTAGGTGGCTTGTATAAGATGACACTGGTTGCAGACTCAAGTATGGATTGTCTTTCAGAAAGTGATTGGCTATTAGGAGAAAAACTACAGTACTTGGTGTAATTTTGTGACTAAATGCGGCTTGTCATCTTTTTTTATTCCCACCCTAACAGCAATGGCCATACTCTTATCTCTAAACATGTTCTTCTGATGATATGAACTTTAGTTACCATAGATTGAAGTGATGGTGCAGAATCACTTGGTGTCAAGTGATAGTGTCAGTGCAGAAGCAAGACCTGCAAATAAACTGGCTGCTCATTTGACTTCATTTATCAATGGTTTATCACTTGGACAAGAGCCAAGTATTGTTAAACTTTGTAGAATTAAATGTTGGCAAGACCGGTGCGAGAAATTTGCCTATACCTGATTACATACAAGATGTGATGTGATTACCTTTTTTATAAATATGAACACTAGAATTGCCAATAGTAAAACTTGGGTCCAGTCATCAATTCGATTTTTGTTCTCCATGAGCATCGATTTTAAAAATCAGTCTGTTTAACTGATTTTTTTGAGACTACTACAACCTGGCTTATGAGACATGTTTTCATTTTTGTGAAGACTTAAATTGTAATATATGTAATTATATTACGTATAATTCCACTTTCATATAACTCATATAATTGCACTTTCACTCGCAGCCAGACAACAGAAACCAGGGAGGAGGAAGGAATGATTGGAATCAATGGGTGGCTGGGAGGGAATTGAATTCATGTGCACTGTCCGTGGCCTGGGAGAATCTCGACAACTCAAGATCAAATGATGAGAGCCTTCTCAGATGAGCAGACTATTTCCCAAAACAAAGAGATTGCACTGGATTGGTGGACACGGGACAATGGGTGGCCGAGGGGGGAAAAGGAGGATTTTAACTATGCAGGTTTTCGCGCAAAAGTCAGAACTGGCTTTGCTGTCTACTATGCCTATATGGATCTATCAGTAAATAGTAAATACACTTGGCAAAATAATATCCCAGGAGTTTCCTTTGCTGCGTATGCCAGTGGGACGGTTGACAGCTCAATTCTTTAAACTGGTAGGATATATCAGTGATCTCCCCGATTGACCTGAATAGCAGGGCCAGCCTTCCCTTACCCGTTGTCTTCCAGTTGCCTTAGATTACAACTCATAGGATTCTCAGGTGGAAGGCTATTGGATGTGTTTACTGGGAAATTTGGAATTTGAAGTAGATGATGTCTTTAAGATTCAGAAAGGTTCTATTTGACATTAATGGAAATTACCCAAGGTTTTAATATAACTTTGCTGCCCTCTGGTGAGCACATTACAAGTTTTAGAAGCAAGGGTGCTTCCATGAAACCAACACAAGTTTCTGACTTTTGCATGAAAGTTTGTAGTTTAAGAAATGCAACAATAAGGATAGGGTCCTCACTCTTATTGTAATCCCCCAGTTGTTTTTTTTAATGTTGCTCATGCATAGTAGTTGAGCTTAGACTTCTAAGTACTACCAACCTTACATAATTGGTTTTCTTTCTGCTGCAAATACTGAGAACCAGAGAGTTAGAAAACCAAAATTTTCTGGCATGTCTTGGGAGATAAATGGACTCCTGTAGGAAATATTTAATTGCTGAAATCCTTGTAACTTTATATTGTTCCTTTCAATAAATCTACTTAAGAAAACTTTGTATGACTTGTGCATAGAAAAACAATTACTTTCAATTTAAATCAACTGCCCAAGAGCCAATTTATCACTTACTCCTCATTTGTACCTAAGGGAAAATATATTTAAAACCATGCACAAAAATTCTAGGGGAAAATCATGAGCTGACATGGGGAAAGATGACATAACAAACTTTAGATTAGAAAAAGAGAAATGCATTTGAACTTGGTTACATTCACCCATCTCTATCACTACAGACTATATGAGTTCTAAAAACAACACTGGGATTGAAATTTTGCATTATTTACATCAGACTGAAATGCTGAATTAATTCTATTCGCATCAAATCGTAAAGTAATGGATACTTGGGGAAGTCAGGCGGTGAGGCATTTTGATTGAGACACTGCAAAAATGGTTTTTATCTAATTAAAAAAAGTCTCTTTGGGGATTTTCAGCCCCTAAATTGTAAATTTTTTTGTGTTATGCAAAATAGCACTTCAACCTTTCGTTCCAAAAGCGGCATTGCCTTCCCATTTATTTTAGCTCACATCACGTAGAGTGGATTCCCTGTGCAACCTAAGTTTTCAACAATCTTGTTCTGCAATCTACAGTCCTAGGAAATCAACGTGTTTGTTTTGGTGACAGAAGTTCCTCCGAAGGCAAAAACTGTAATTTATAAAAAGAGGAAAACCCTTGAGACCTAGGAATATTTATTTTGCTCTCATAATGAACAGGGAAAGGGAGGCAGTGCAGTCTAGTAGCTAACGCTCTTTCCATTCCTGACAGACCTCATATGGCCCTTGTTTGCCAGACCTGTTTTAATATAATAAACTAACATTTGTTATGTAATTTTAGATAAGATCCCTTTATAAAAATTTGAAGATCTGGCTTAGTCCATAAATTCTATCTCTGGAATAAAAAAAAAAAATTAGAAACAACTGTATTTTCTGCATGCACGTTTTCTGAGTACTGTTTGAATATATGAAAGCTAACTAAACTCCCCTAAGTCAGGGGAATCCACCTTTATTACAGCCACTGAGAGATAATGTAAAGCCCACAGATGGGCACAGGTGAGATAAGAGAACCACCCAGAAGAGCTTTAGCTTCTAAAGCATACAGGAAGAATTCTACTCAGACTCTTTTGAGGCAAGTATTTCAGATACATCTAATTATCCAAAGTTGAAGGAAAAATTTGCAACATGGGCTCTGCCTTCCTCCCTATGATGGCCTGTCATCCCTGGAGCTACGCACACCTAGAATTCACCGTTTAATTAAACAACAGGACGACTGGAAGCAAGCTACGAAAAAGGAGCGTCAACAAGAAGTCCATGGGACCACCTCCAAACTTTAAATGGGTAAGAAAAGTAGGATTTCAAAAGACCCCAATCCATCACCCAGTTCTAACTATGGGGTTCTTGATATCAACCCACTTGATTTCCCATTTAGTTGACACTCTGTGCGCAACCCACATACCATCTCAGAAGCAAAGCCAACTGAAATCAACTTGTGCCACTTTCCTGTGTCTCCATCTCTAGAGAGATTACTAGAAAAACCCCTCCCTTCAAAGCAACCACCTCATTAAACTTTGCCTTGAAATCTTTCCTGGCAGGAATCAACAATGTGAATTTCTACTTGTTGAAATAGAGGTTTATGCCCTGCACATTGTAGCAAGGTATTTCAGCCCACTCCCCGCCTCCCAAATCTATTCCTCTAGTCATAGTCTGTGAGGAATCACTCATTTGCCTCTGTGGTCACAAGGACTTAACTAACCACCACATGCTAGGAAATCAATTGAAGCTGTGGAATGCTGAGCAAGCCGCTGGGGAGGAGGAAGGTGAATATTTAAAGATGGAGGGAGGGGAGATCCCGTTAGAAGAAAACAGAGCTTTCTTATTAATACATTCTGGCAAATGCCACACTGTACATTTGCTACGGCCAATATGAGTCTCCTGGCATGAAGATGTAACGAGCAGAGGACAATTGTTGAGATCTTCCACTGGGAGCTGGGGCAGCTGAAGTTGGCACTAGCAACTGCTCCACAGCATCTGACATCATTCACACCACCCTCAGCCAATGAAAGATCCCACAACACCACCTTCCATTACATGCTGTTACAACTTGGTCCATGGGGAGAATTGCCCCCTTTGGTTTCATGTGTTTGGGGCCACCCGTTGAGTCAGTTCCTGAATCTAGAGCTCCCTGAAGAGCAATTTTCTTAAAGTTTGCTGTTACTCAGCTCTCTTTGTAGGTAAATTCACAGAGGAGAGAGAGAGAGAGAGTGAGAGAGAATGGAGATGAATGAATGGCCTATGCAACTTTATGTTGACCAGCTCTTTTTCTTCTAGGCTAAGAACTTCAAGCACCCTCTCCCAAAAATAGTCACTTCCTATTCCTTTTAAGTCAACATACTCTATGGAAGGTAAAGAGAAAAGGGGGTGGGCAGGCTGAACATTTACAGAGTGTAAGAAAGCATCTCTTCCTTGTTCTGCTGGACAGATAGCTTCCCAGCACTAGATAAGGCTGAGATTTAGCACTGTTGACTCTTTTCTTGCTAGCTCTTTGAAGTGACATTACAACTTCCCAGCCAGTCCCACTAAGCAAGGGCAATCCCCATCCTAATAATAAACTATGGTAGGGACACAAGTACAATTCCAGTGTTAGTAGCCCTTGTTGAGAGATCAGGATCAAGAAGCTAGTAAAATGTTAAGTGCTAATGAGAACGCAGGTATCCAAAAATTTGCAGCGAGGCCTATATGTAACTCCAACTACATCATCCACAGACCTGTCAGGATGGCTGCAGTCATAAGCCTACCAGAAAATCATTGGCAGTGGTGTTAGCCTGGGAGGAGCCCAAAAAGCAAAACCCCTCCGCCACCAATAAGATCCCCCCTCCCTCTATTCAAAGGAAACAAAGAAATCAAATGAAGAGGCTGAATAATTAGCGTCATCATAATCCACAACTACAGCTAGAGGAGAAAGGAAATGAAGGGGCCTGGAGGGGGAAGGGTCTTCTTCAAAACAAAATGGTAGCACTGATCACAAACTTCCAAGTGCGAACACAATCACCAGAGGAAAAAGGCCCATACTTTTGGCAGAGAATGCAAATACTATAAAAGGGGGCTGTGTGTTTGGCTTTGTGTATGTGAGTGTGTGCACACACACACACAAACACACGTACGTTATATGTATATATATTTACAATAGATCCTGAATTTAACAGACTCACGGGGGAAGGGATGTCCATCACATCTAAAAAAATTGCAAAATGCAGTTAATTTTTTTAATACATGTGTAAAATGGCAAATGTGTATTTTACACGTGTGTCAAAATGGCCAAGGAGCAGATGCAAAAAAGTGCACGGACAGATTTTGTCCACTGCATCTGAAGCCCGCTGAACCAAGGTCTGGTAAATTAAGTGTGTGTGTGTGTGTGTGTGTGTGTGTGTGTGTGTGTGTGTGTGTATAGATGTGTATTCACTAAACAAACAAACACTGTTCAACACTGGGATGGATGCAGGGAGGAGATGGGATCTTTGTTTTTTGTTTTGTTTTTTTTGAAGTTGAGACATTTTTCACTGCAACATCTGGTCACTTGAACAGCTGCACACCAAAAGGAAAAAAAGGAAAATGGAATTGATAGGGATGGTGAGTGCATTATAGTCAGGCTGCAAGTCAGACAGCTGGATGGATTTGGCTGGGTTTGCTGCTGCTGCTTCTTCTTTTTTTTAAATAATTGAGTCTACTTGGATTTTTGTTTTTCTGTGTTTCTCTGTCTCTCTGTCTCTCTCTCTCTCTCTCTTTGCAAACACAGGCACTGGAAATGAAAGAGGGGAAGGAGAGGGAACGGGGGGACACGAGCATGCGGGCGCGTGCTTGTCACTGCTGCTCCCGGCTAGTGGCTCAGCTGAAATCACCATCTCCTTCGGGATGAAATCAGAACAGCCAGCATGAATTCTGAAAGACAAACAGAAATGGAGACATCGTGACGAACAGCTCGAGAACCCCATGAGGGGGTCTAGGACAACTCACCGCTAACTCGCCACGGGACAACTCACTGCGGCCAGCTCAGCTGTGGCCAGGTTACTTGGGACAACTCGCCGCAGAACAAGACTTACACTAATATTGAAGAAATTGTGGAATAGAATCACTAAATAAAGGATGCAAAAGGAAATGTGAATGACAAAAATTAAAATAATTTTAAAACTATTTTAAATACTTAAAATGAATTGTTGAATTGTCCCGCAGTGAGTTGGCCATGGCGAGTTCTCCCATTGTGAGTTTTCCTGTAGCGAGATGGCCCAACAAGTTGGCCCATTCTGCCCATGAGGCAGGCAACCACATGCAATGCAGAGACCTGGACCCTGTTTTTCACAATCCTGAGGCTATTATGCATAACTCAGTTTCAGCCTTGAGCCTGGACATTAGTGGCATTTGTAGGCACATCCAACCCAGTAGTGGGTTTCAAATCCCATCGCTACCGCTTCACTCATGGGAGTGCGTGCTCTCTCTCTCTTGCGGGCGTGACGCTTCTGCACATGCACAGAAGCATCTGGGCAGGTGGGCGGAGCCTCCCACCGCCGCTACTGGTTCGTCTGACCCAGGGTGAACTAGTAGCAACCCACCACTGATCCAACCATTTCCTGATTAAAATCAAATACAAAAGAAACCTCTTTTACTGTAAAAGTTGGATTACCTTAACACTTAATACAGGAAGTCCTTGACTTACAACCAACCATTTAGTGATTGTTCGAAGTTACAACGGCACTGAGAAAAACGTGACTTATGGCCAGTCCTCACACTTACAGCTTCACAGCATCCACATGACCATGTGATCAAAATTTGGCCACTTGGCCACTGGTGTGTATTTATGTTGGCTGCAATCTCCTGAGGTCACAATTTGTGATCTTCCCAGTCAGCTTCCAACAAACAAACTCTACAGGGGAAGCTGTCTAGGCGTAAAGACCACATTATTCCCTTAACAACTGCAGCCAATCACATAACAACCATGGTAAAAATGGTCATAAAATCAGACATGGCTCTCTTGATAATCAGTTTGCTTATAAATGGAAATTCTGGCCTCAATTATGGTCGTAACTCAAGAACTACCTGTAACTGATTAGAAGTCATGTTTCATCTCTTGCAATAGGGACCCTGCTGTCTGCCTATGTTAGAACACCACTGCCACTCCTTTTTTTCCTTCTTCCAAGCACTTAGTCCTCTTCTAGAAGTTTGCCAGAGCTTAAAACTCTGCTTCAAAAACAAATAATGATACAACGCTCCGTTATTTTATGACTCTTACAGCTTCATTTAAGCAGAGTGGTTGCATACATATACATTCTTGAAAACCAAAGTCACGGACTCTAAGTTGATTAAATAAACTGGGGAAAAAAACCAGGGGAAAGCTGCAGCTCCCATCAGAAGCGAAGTCAGAGTGATCATCCACATTCAGCCTGATCTTTTGGAATGGGTGAGCTAATTTTGGGGTTAGAATGGAACATTTGCATTCCCATCTAACAAACCCAGAGCTTCACACACCAAGAAAAGGCCCCAAAAGCAGAAAATTGGCTCCCAATGGGTCTTGCATTGATCCATTCTCTCTCAAATCCAACACAATCATGTGCTCCATACTGACCAACACAAACACCTCAGTTGATCGTTCCTAGAAATGGAATTTAGCCACCCGTTTGCCATCTTCGTACCTTCACTGGAGTGGGGCCACTGGAGCTCCCGAGCAGTGGAAGTGGACATTCTGCCACTTGCCATCCCGGCGGTGCCAGACACGGGTCTCTTCGGACTGGCAAGTACGGGGACGGCCCTGCCCATCGATGTACTGTGTCAGGCGGATGTAGGCAATGCAGGCAGCATCTTCCCCAATGACATGCACATGAGGGTTCAGGATGGTTGTGTGAATGGGCTTGTTGTTCTTAGATAACACTAGAAGGACACAAACAGGGCACTGGTTAGGAAACTGTACAGCAGCAGAAGCAAGGAAAAGGCAAGTCATTTTTAGCCCCTTCTCTTTCAGGAAAAAAAAACCCAAGCCGGTTTAGTCTAGTGGTTAAGACATCAGGCTGGAAACCAGGAGTTCTAGTCCTGCCTTAGGCATGAAAGCTGGTTGGGAGGCTTTTTGGCCAGACATTCTCACTCTCTCTCAACCCAACCTACTTCTCAGCCTTATTGTTGTGAGAAAAATAGGAAAAAGAAGGAGTATTAGGTGTATTTGCTGCCTTGAGTTATTTATAAAAAGTAATAAAAATGGCTGATTTGATTGGATTTAATCAGGTTTTGCTGGCTGATGTGGATTACTGGATATGTTTGACTTAATTAAACACTATTGATTAGAATTCTACTTGGCTTGAAGTGAAGGAAGGAAGAGCAGGAAAACGTTTGCCTCAGTGGCTGGCAAGGTACTTGGCTTTTTTACTTGTCAGTAAAAATTTTTACATCACCTACAATGTTGCAAAGTCCTGTTATCTAGCATCAAAGCTTCAGCAGAAGCTCTGTAAGAAAGATTGTAGATGGACTGATCTAGTTGCTTATTTGTGTTCATCTATTTTGATTGCCCCCCCCCTTTTTTTTTTTGCCTTTTATTTCTGTTTTATTTGCTGGCTACAGGCTGTCCTAGATATAATTGTGCTGCTAGGGCAGACAGAACTCTAATTTGGGCAGCTGGTCTAAGGGAGGAGACCAAAGAAGACAAATCTTCAATGATAAAAGGAAGGATTAGAACAGGAAGGAGCAACAGTTGCCTCTCTTAGCTTGTTTAATTTAGTTCAGTTCAGTGTAGTTTTTTGCAAGGAATTTGGGGCCTTTTGCTCTTTAAAGTTGAACACAAATTTGGGTGGGGAGACTGTTTTCTATGGGATGAAGCGTGTATCTCTCTCTTCTAGAAGGTTCAACCATCAAGGCTTTAGTTTTGCTTCAGAATCTGTTCAGAAAAAAAAAAAGGGGGGGGAGGCAGAAATTTGAAACCCATGCATTTCAAGGATGTTTTGGGGCCCAAGCACTGGATTGCTCACTTTTATATTATGCAATGCTCTACTCACAGTTTTCAAAGTAAAATCTGTGGAAGTCCATCCCTTCAACAAGATTGCCCAGCGCTTCAGGCTCAAACGAAGTTAGGCCTGGATCACATATTTTTCTAGGGAGAAAGAGAATGTGAAAATTGAGATTAAGGTTTTTTTTCATTTTATTTTTCTCTTTTGGAAGGCAAAATAACTTTTAAGCTTCTTAGTTTTTAGCATCTAACGTAGAAATCTTGCACAGCATCTGAATGCATTCCGCACAAGAACAGGTCCGCACTATTTACAGGGTTTGGGACATTGTATTGCTCTCCCTTTTTACCCAAACATATACACATGAGCTAAGACTAATTTCAACTGAGAAATTAGCTAATGAATGTGTATCACAAAACTGTATCAGATGTATGCACAGCTAAGAGAGCCATAGCCGAGCTGTTAATTAACCAAAGGATTATAAAAGCAGAAAGCTGGAAGGGACATTTCAATCTGAACCTTTCAAGTTGAGCCTACTTAAATCTGACCCACAGCCAAAATTTCAAATTTAGCAAATCCAATTTACTAGTAGGCCAGGCAGAGAAAAATGCAAATGAGCTGACACATCTAAACTTTGCATAAAGTTGAACAGATAATTTTTACAAGCATAAACTACTGCTTTCTAGGTAGAATAAAAGTCAAAGGGAACTCCCATGTTCATTACAATAGGCATCAAATAATGTGGCTATTTGCATGTAACACCTTAGCTGCACAAGCTACATTGGGTGCCGGTTTGCTTCCAAGTCCATCCATGGCATGGAGCCAGGTTACGTACAGAAGGATCCTCTACCCATTATATCAGCCTGTCCCACCCAGTCAAGCAGGGAGGTATGTTACAGATAATATGATTCTTGCATATAAAAACACAGTATTATTTTAAAATAGGGAAGCATCACTATTGAAATGAATGAAAAGTTTGCATACTGTTGTGTAGCTGGAGTTGACTTATTAAAGATATTGCCCTATTATGGACATGGTAAATAGCACAGCAACAAATTTAATTCTATTGATGAAGGGCACTGTTTACATTAAAAAAAGCAATACATATAAAACTGCATATAAAATAGTGAGTTGTGAGACTAGGACCCTTGGAAGATCTCACGCTCAGCCTACTCACGCATAGGCCTCAAAATCGCCATTGTTCACAGCCTCTATCAGTTGCTCCGTTATCTTGATTATTTCCTGTTTGCGGGCTAGGTAAAAAAAAAATCAGAAAAAAAGAAAGGTGGGGAAATTAACAATATGATCAAGAGTGAACACCTTTCATGTCAAGCAGAAAGCAGAAAAATACTGCTTTAACATGCTCCATTCCCACTATTCTTTAGGATCTTAAGGGCAATGTTATTATATCTTGGCTGCAAATATCTGAACTATCACTAAAAGGAAACAGAGAAAGAAAACATGCTAGGTCTTTGCTGCCATCTAGTGACTGTCTGCAGTCCTGATCCTAACCAACAATAGAGATGGAGTTAAACCAGGGAGAACTCAATTCAAAACTCTGGTTGACCATGAAGCTCTTTAAGAAGCAGTGGACCAATTGTTTGGAGACTGCACAACTGCACGAAATCATTATGAGAGTTAAACTAAGGTAACATAGGATGAGCTTCTTGGAGAAAAGGTGAGTTAGTATTAGTAGTAGTGGGTTAGTAGTAGTAGTCCTTCAGAATTTGATGCCATCTTAAAAGAATGTGGAAAAGACTAACCATGGGTCTAAAAGACACAGACTCCCTCAAAAATCAGAGGTGCACAGATTATTCACCATATAATAAGAGCCTGTAGTACAGTGGACTAAAGCACTGTTATTAACATCTGCTGCTTGCAGTTACTGCAAGTTCAAATCTTACCAGGCTCAAAGTTGACTCAGCCTTCCATCCTTTCAAAGGTAGGTGAAATGAGGACCCAGATTGTAGGGGCAATAAGCTGACTTTGTATAAATATATGAAGGCTATTGCTTAACTGCAATCATACAATATAGGAAACAATAACCTATTGTCAGCTTCCATCACATTACCCTTGCCTCAAATATCAGGGCATTCCTTTTTCCACAGAGAAATCTATTGTCCTCTTACAATGTGGGCTGAATCTCCACATATCTCTGAAACCAGCACACACAGGGAGATGCAGGAATTACAATGCACTCAAGTGACTCAATTAAAGCAAGTGCTATGAATAGTGAAACACTCTACCGGCAGAGATGACAATGTCACTGGCCTTGCCTAGGTCATCTCCTTGGAGCCTAAGCAGTTTTGAGACTTCTGTCTTCACTGAAAACCCATTTTGTGGTTGGTTAGCAAGCAACCCACCCTATGTCAACAATAAATTCCCTTTCTTTAGATCTTAACTCTGCTTGTATCTTACAGAGCCATAAGCCATAAGGAGAGGTTAAGTAATCTAAAAAATGTCTTGCAAATAAGAACCTCTACTGAACCTCATCCAATAAGAGACCCAATTGTGGGTCTGAGTGATACGTATTACAAGTATAGTTCTTAATTTATGTCCACAATTGAGACTGGAATGTCCATCGTAATATATTGCAGTTGTATGTCAAGTCAGGCCCAATTATATGACAATGTTTACGGTGGTTGTTAAGTGAATCAGTGGATCCAACTCCATCCATTTCTGCATGAAGATGCTAAGTTTCCTTTCTCAAATTAACTAAGCCTATGAACAAAGGCTTAGCAAAGGCATTTACTATGCAAATGAGCAACAGAAAGGCAGTTTCAAATTAGTACTTGGCTCTGTATTTTACCATCAGCTGATTCCACCAATTTTCTGGATGCTCTTGAGTTTTAAATATTCAATTGTTACTCAGGTAGCACTCTTGCTGTTAAGAAGAATGCAAAGCTAAGAGAACAAATTGTCCATGCTTATACTGCGGGAAAACTCACTCAGAAGACATAAGATTCCTCCCAAATAATTGATATATCAGCAAGACTAAAATACGATTGAGATGGAGCCAGTAAAATCAAGGATTGATAGATTTTGCCTTACAAGTTACCACATATGGATGACTCCTGGAATAAATTAAATGGATAAAAAAAGTAAGGGAAAACAGTGACTCTTTTCCTCAGCCTTATCTGAGCCACAGTTACAAGCTTCATGGAGCAGTAAATCCTATTCTGCAAAGAATTGTCACCAAATATTGCTCAATCCTAAATGATATGACAGATTAGTCCACAGTCATCTCTGAATGCCCTAACTATTTCTTCTTGGGCTGCTGCTTCACAAAGGACAAATGTTTCTCTTTTTACACATCTATTTACTTTAGAAAATTTCCAGGGCTTCTTTTGTTTCCACAGTTGGCCTACTCAAGGAACCTTATCATTTTTTCCCATTAAGTGAATACTCATTCCTGGTTTGTCCCATTTTATACAAAGAGACAATCAAAAAGATCATTCCACATTAAAGAGGGAGAGGGAGGGAGGGAGGGAGGGAGGGAGGGAGGGAGGGAGAGAGAGAGAGAGAGAGAGAGAGAGAGAGAGAGAGAGAGAGAGAGAGAGAGAGAGAGAGAGCACTGAGGTTAGAGACTGAAATCCTATGCACATGTATCTGGAAGTAAACTCCACACAAACAGGATTTATTCCAAGCCAACACATTCTGAGAGAAATGAGAGCATTTTGCCCTTAAACCACCCAAATTGAAAACCCTTGAAAATGCACATCAACTGATAATGAATTCACATTCAGTCATGTTCAGTATAAACATTACACTTTGCAGATGCCACCCTTAATCCGTGCAATGTTGCCTCCTTCTGGTTGCTAACTAAGGAGGAAAATTGCCTTTGTTTTAATCTTCAGACTAAGGACAGTTCTTATCTGTGGCCCTGTTGATCATGCCTACTTTCTCTTTAAAAAGGTAGCATTCTCAATGCTCTAGCACCACTTGTGGGAGTCTCAACTCAGCTGTGCCAGAATCTCCCTCCAGCTGCAAACATGCCAAGCTGTCATCCGTCCTTTGTAAATGTACACCAGTGTCAGAGACTCCCAGCTTTTGAGCCAGAGAAAGACAGTTCAGCGCAAAAAGAACCTGCAGCAGACACTGCAACCTTGTGACTCAAAACTCCAAAGGGAAAAAGAAATTTCCTTTTCCATTTCCTTGGCAGTTGCTGCTAGATGCAATTAATCAGCTATATCAACCTTTGATGGAACAACAAAGAAAATAACCAATAGTCCTTTCTGACCCACTTCTGTGAAGGTCTAAATGTTTAGGTGATCAAGTCTAAAAGTCTGCATTTTCTAAAAACACTGAACTTGTAGTCCCAAACTACTCATAAACAAGTTCATGGGGTTTTTGTTGATGTTATTGTTTGTTTATTTTTTCAGGATTTTTGGAGGTTGCGGTAATTGGATGCCAGACTAAAAGATTTTTGGAGGATCAAGAAAATGACATTTCTTTTTTCTACCTCCAGTAACCTCCAAGATCTTGTTTCTACTTGAAATCTCCGCTTGGTGCTTGAACAAGTTTTGCAGCCAGTCAGAATCCAAAGGCTTTCAAATGAAACAATATGCATGCCCTAATTCCGTGATGGCGGACCTATGGCACGTGTGCCCAAAGTGGCACGCAGAGCCATGTCGCCTAGCATGTGCGGCGTTGCCCGTTCCTTTTCTGGGTTTCTGGCACGCATGCATATGTGACGATCAGCTGGTCTTTGTGTGTGCGGCAGTGCTGGAAGCCAGAAGAGCTGGTCTTCCGTTTTCTGGCATGAGCATGCGCGCCGGCCAGCTGATCGGCATGTGCGCATGCATGGCAATAACCGGAAGACTTGTTAAAAACTGGAAGTACCTTATCCGGAACGTGCATGCCCCCTAGGCAGCTCCTCTTCCTGGTTGTGGCCCTGACGAGCATGTAAAGTGCTCCCTTTTCGGCACTTGGTGCCATGCACTCACATGCACGCTCGCTTTTCGGCACTCGGTGCTGAAAAGGTTCACCATCACTGCCCTAATTGAAACTAACATGACAACTTCCTGCCTGAGGTTCCCTGGATTAATTGGGAGAGGTAGAGAGCCAGGAAGGTGTCTGTGAATCACATAGTCAGATGCTATATGCAAAAAGGACAGAAGCATTCCTTTGGTCCTGAGAAGGAAGATAGTACAGGTAGTCCTTGACCACAACTGAGCCCAAAATTTCTGTTGTTAAGCAAGACAGTTATTAAATGAGTTTTGCCCCATTTTATGACCTTTCTTGCTGTAGTTATTAAATGAATCACTGCAGTTGTTAAATTAAACACAGTTGTTAAGTGAATCTGGCTTCTGTATTGACTCTACTTATCAGAAGGTTGCAAAAGATGATCACATGATCCCGGGACACTGCAACCATCATAAATACATGCCAGTTGCCAAGCATTGGAAATTTAATCATGTGACCATAAGGATGCTGCAATGATTGGAAGTGTGAAAAATGGTCATAAATCACGTACATTTTCAGTGCCACTGTAACTTTGAGCAGTCACTAAATGAACTGTTGTAAGTCAAGGACTACCTGTATTAAGAAGAAGCTTGAGTTGGCCCTTCCCTCAATCACTGGGGTCTAAAAGGGAAGCGAGGAGCACAATCAGGCTGGCAAGATTGTGTTGCTGTAGCCTATTTCAACAGAATTCTAATCTTCCTACAGAGTTGATTTTACTGGTTGGTCTACTTCATGGGGTTGATAGGTGAGAGCAAGCATGTATATTTATAATTGCTGGACAATCATGCATAAGACAGACAGTTACATTTGATTAACCATTTCACAATCATCAATTAATTGGACATCATTATTTGTCTAACAAAATTATACAAACTGCAGATGGTAATATCTAGAAGGAAGACTCAGTCTTAACGTACACGTATTGAATCAATTAACTCAGGGGTGTCAAACTCAAAGCCTGGTGGCCAGATCCGGCCCGTGAGGTGCTTAGATCTGGCCCATGGGGTTGCCCTTGAAAGAGTGAAGGATCAGCCTGTGGTGCCTCCAAATCTCCCTTTTCAGCTGGGACGGCCTCCTGCAACCCTCTGCCAGTGAAAATGGAGCTCGGGAGCCTGTTTTCGCTGGCAGAGCACTTGGGCCACCACAGGCGCCCCTGACATGAATGACATCAAGATGGCCATGCCCACCCTGGCCACACCCACCCCAGCCCCCCAAAGGTCAAACACAACTCTTTATTTATTTATTTATTTATTTATTTATTTATTTATTTAATTTGTATACCGCCCTTCTCCCAGAAGGGACTCAGGGCGGTGAACAGCCAAAATTAAAAAAACATACAAATGCAAAAGTTAAGATAATTAAAAGAATTAAATCATTGGCTAACTCTGATGTGGCACTCAATGAAATCAAGGTTGACACCCCTGAATTAATTGATTAAACAGCTACGTTTTTTCCCATCTGATAAGCAGATTTATGTATACTTAATACACTTATTTGGGACAGTAAAGGAAAGCCATGTATTTGCACACAAATGTCTATATCCAAGTAATTTAAAAGTGAAGGTGGGCAAAATTGGTACTACTTTAAAATCACTTAGTTGAAATACTAAGCAAACAGGGCACACTTAGAAACCCCAATGAATATTTATAATTGTGGTCTGAAAAGTATTAGATTACAAGGGCAGGAGTTGCATGAGAACACAGGGATAATGAACCCTACATCTGGTGCTTGGGTAAGGAAATGCTGCAATAATCAGAAAAATGGTACACTCTATATTGTTTGAAAAGCTCAAACCATATCAATGTATTACTTGTCAAATACTCAATCAAATAAATGCATTATTAACATAGTCAGCATAACCAAAACACAACTAATAGCAACTAAGGCTTCCATCTTACACACTAGAAAATAAGACCACTGAATACAGCAGGACTTGCCTCTGAATAAAAATGAGCAAGACCCCACTACATATCAACAAGAATATAAAATGATTAATGTACTATTATAGAACATACAGTATTAACCCTTGAAAGTAATCACAGGCAATATAATGTTTGGGATTAGGACTATGGATATTCAGGGTCATGTCAACATCAAAAGCAGGAGTGTACAATCTTGGTAACTTGAAGACCTGTGGACTTCAACTTTCAGAATTCCCCAGCCAGTTCTGCTGGCCCAGGCATTCCCTTTTAGCCTAACCTACCTCCCCATTAAGTTGCCTTGAACTTTGGAGGAAAGGTAGTTTATGAATTATAATATTAGCATAGCTAGCCACCTGCTGCACTGGAGCCATCTTGGCTCTCCTCCCACCATCCCCAAAGTTGAAGTTGCATGGGTTGCAAAAAATAAGGCCATGGCTTATAAGTAATATGTCTTCTGGGATGTTGGTTGGAAAAAAAATAGAATTCTGCTTTTCCAAGGGACAAAGAGAATAGAATGAATTAAACATAGGAATTGACCTGGTGCCACTCCAAATAAAAAGGCAACATTTGCACATAATATGGAAACATGAAACATAGACATAAAATGGGTTCTTCTGATGTTTTTGGCCAATATCTGCCCTTCCAAGTAAATCCAACCTGTAAGTTCTTCACCAATGCCAGCTAGCGTTAAAAGTAGCTGAAGTTCAACATCTGCACATGGTTAGAGCCACTGATCATAGAACACTTGTCAGTACCTTCTAGGTTTAAGTACTTGATACAAGCACAACACATCTTTCACGCCAAGACCACTTTTGCACAAGCCATCTGCATACACTACAGTCTGCACAATCCAGTTCTCTCATGCACATGCATCCCACCTTCTTAGCTTGCATTTAGAGCAACCTAGTGAAGATTTAACCATTCAGGCAAAGGCACATGGCAATAAGCGTTAGGCTGTTATTTCACACCTACAGTGTCAGAAGAACTGAATGTTCTTTCAAGTCAGAATAGATCAAGCAGGGCTCAGCTGTTGACTATCAGAGACCACTTGCGCTACTTACGATCTGAAGGAAGAGGACTAGCAATGGGTGGAAATGGGAAAAACTGGGTGGCAGCAGGCTGTGACCCTTCAGCTTCTGGGGCTCCAGAGCCCCTTTTCACCATGCTTAGGACATCAGACAACTTGGAGGCTGGCGCTAGACAGATGTAAGAAGGCATGGAGGTAATCATAAAATAAACAAATTAAAACAGATCAAGGATGTGGGGAAAGGAGTCCTCAAAATGGTATGTGGATTATTTATTCCGGCTCAGGTAGGCAGGTCTTAACCTGACTGTTCCCTTATTTTATGAAAAAAATATCTGTCCGTGTAACAATCCTACTTCACAACCTAACCTGGTTTCTTATAGGCTTCCAAGTGCAATTCAAGGTGCTGGTTATCATTTTTGTTATTGTGGCACCTGATCTCTCTCTGCCCTTCTCTCAAAAGTATGGCTAGCCCTGACCCAGTTGGTCTTCAGAAAGGCAATAAAACGTGGGTTCTTTTTCTTAGGCTTTGGGGTTGGGATGATTGAAGCTTCCTTTTTGGAGAGACACGTGAATATGAGTTTCTGGTTGCCTGTTTGTGTTTTAACTGATGTTCATCATTATCTATTGCATGCTTCCCACAGTTGCAATGTTTAACCCATTCCATGAATGAATAAACAAGGAAGCCCAACTTAAAATTTTTCCTTATCTCTGATTCTGTATTAGAATTAGAAAGAACTCTGGCTGAAACATAGTTGACCTATTTCACAAGATAAATTACTAATTCTGAGAACCAGCTGGAAACCTGTCTCTTCCTTCTGATTTATTAGAGCATCTTCAGCACAAATTAGTTTACCAGGTACAAATTCTTGCTAGAGAACAGTCCCCAATGGAGCAGCTTTCTACTTCTTTGAAAGCATTTCAGCCCTGATCAATGTGTTATTCCCTTCACCTTCCCTTTCAGTTTTTGAGTTGCCATCATGTTTGTTCTAAAGCAATCTGACCTTGCTGAAAACCTCCAGAAGCTAGAGACTACCCACAGTTTTCAGGGAAACCTCTGGAATAAGAGTTTTGCAAGATTAGAATCGTGCTGCTTGTGTGGGACTAGGGACAAGCTCAGCTACATCAAAGACAAGTCATAGAAAATCAACAATAATCTCTTAAAGGGGAGATCAATGGGAAGCCAAGTTCCCGTGTTTAAAAAAAGACCCACAAAGGGCTCATGTCAGTTGCAGGAATTGTAATAGAGAAATCCCAGGGACATTCCACTACTTACACGAGGGAGACAGAGAATTGGTGACAATAGAAGGTGGTCCAGAAAGGGGGCTGGAGGTCTTTGACTCTTCACTTTCGGGGGGCGCAGAGCCCCTTTTCATCATGCCTAACACATCACAGAGTTTGGCAGCTGCGATGGCAGTAGATGAGAAAAGGAAGGGAAAATTGAGAAAACAAAACAAATGGCGCAACCAGAAGAACAGAAAGGGAGGGAAATCCCTTTGTAGCGGCAGAATGTTGAAGAGAATAACCACTCTTGTGCAACTGCACGAGGGAAATTACTCCTCTTTAAGCACAAGAACTTTATTTAGAAGAAAGGAAGGTGGAAAGCCGGAGGTCTAGCACAACTCGGTGCAGCCAATTCATCATGGAACAACTCGCCATGGCCAATTTGCCGCAGTACAATTTGCCGTGGAACAAGAATTACACTAATATTGAAGAAATGATGGAATATAATCATTAAAGAAACGATGGCAAAGGAGGGACAACATTAAATTGAATTGTTGAATTGTTCCATGGTGAATTGTTCCACAGCGAGTTGGCATGGGGAGTTGTCCTGTGACGAACTGGCCATGGTGAGTTGGCTGTGGCAAGTTGCCCATTCTGAAAGCCAGAGGGATTCAGCAAATTTGTGACATGCCACTTTAGAGGCAAGAGATACCCCTGCTACTTACACTGCAGAGGAAGAGGATTAGCAACACCCGTGGATGGATTAGGCAGGGTAATGGAAGGCTTTGGGTCTTCAGCATCTGGGGGTCCAGGACCCCTTTTCACCATGCCTAAGACATCAGATGGTTTAGCAGCCAAGGTGAGATGAGGAAGAGAAAGATGAAGAAACAAATAAAATATAAAAAAAGCACAGAGATGGGAAAAGTAAAATAAGAGGACAGATTAAAGAAAGCATTCCACTGAAGGGAAGGATGTTTCTCAAACGATTAAGAAGCAAGTGGCTTGCATCAATATCCTCCTATGTTTGCATGTTTAAGGCATTAATCAGAGGCTAAATTGTACAAAATGATTGCTGATTAGTTAGGGGCGCACAAGCCTTCTGTTCATTTGGCCCGCAAAAGTGATTGCATATGTTGTTTTTGTGAATTAGCATATAGGTGCAGTCCTGAATTCTGAGTGGAAGACTTTTTTGCCCCAAGAATTACATGAATTGCATAATAAACACGGAACAAAATCTGATGAGGTTCCTAGCATGTGCACATAAATTTATATCAAGCCAACACATCAATCCTTTCAGTGCACTTTACTGATTGAGTATTCCAACATTGAAGGGATGTTCTCCCATAAAAAGCAAGAAAAGCTAGTTCTGTAGAGCAGTTCCTACTTGGCTGTAATCAGAAATCTACTTACATTGGAGAGGAATGGGACTTGCAACAATAGAAGGTGAGAAGGGCAAAGTGAGAGAAATATTTGGTTTTTCTGCTTCAGAGCACTCTATTTTACCTGGCCTCGTACCTTAGAGAACTAGGCAGCTGGGACGAAAAAATAGAAATAGGGAAGACAAGAAAATCTCTAAAATGTTGAGTTGAAAAATATTAGAGAACTGCATTAGGACAAGAACAATAATAGTATAACAGAAGGGACCTTGGAGGTCCAACCCCCTGCTCAAACAGGAGATGATATACCATTCCGGACAAATGGTTGTCCAATCTCTTCTTTAAAAGCTCCAATGATGGAGCATTGAGAACTTCTGGAGGCAAGCCATTCCACTGTTTAATTGTTCGCACTGTCAGGGAATTTCTTAGTTCTCGTTTGGATCTCTCTTTGATATGTTTCCACCCATTGTTTTTATTAAATTTGATAAAATAAAATAAATAAATTGTTTCTTATCCGGCACTCAGGTACTTTGAAGAATAGGGTTGGTTCCATCCGGATTTCAGCAGGTTCTGACCAGTTCTGGAGAACCAGTAGCGGAAATGTTGAGCAATTCAGAGAATCGGTAGTAAAAATTCTGACTGGCCCTGCCTCCATCTATTCTCTGCCTCCCAAGTCCCAGCTGATCGGGAGGAAATGGGGATTTTGCAGTAACCTTCCCCTGGAGTGGGATGGGAATGGGGATTTTACAGTATCCTTCTCCTGCCACGCCCACCAAGCCATACCCACAGAACCGGTAGTAAAAAATTTTGAAACCCACCACTGGTCCCATCCTATCTGTGGCAGCCCCTTAAATACTGGAAGACTCCTATCAAGTCATCCTTAGTCCTACTCTTCATTAAAGCAGACATACCCAGTTCTTGCATACAACATTCATTGTATGTTTTATATATGTTTGGGATCCTTTTCACATGCTCTACAATTCTCTATCTTTGTGGAAATCCAGAACTTCACCCTGTTGTTATTATTTTGAATTATTTCTTATTCCATCTCTACAATTACAAGAATTTTCCATATTCGGGACTAATTATTTTAATTTGTTGCATTAATTCCTGCTGAGATTAAAAAATGTTAATCACACTGTAGACCTTTTGATTTAGTATAATTTGACATTATTACTTTGCAGGACTTTCAAATGGATCATACAATCTTTGCTAATGAAATCCAAGCCAAGAATGCATTCATTATATTTCATTAAAGCAATGTAAGACCTGGTTTAATACCAAGCCACAAATGCTTTCTAGCAACACTCTTTTTCAGCTACATAGCCGTTGAATTCTGCACATCCTAGCACTCACACACTACTTACACTGGGGAGGGAGAGGGCTTGCAATAGCTGGTAATATGCAGGGTGAAGAATTTGTTGGGTCTTCAGCCACAGGGGTAGTACCTGATCCCTTTTTCACCAGGCCTAATACATCAGAGAGCTTGGAGGCTGAGACAGGACAAATGAGAAAGGCAGGGAGGGAGAGAGAGAGGGAAGGAAAGAGAGAAGATAAAGGAAGGACAACGAAAAGTAACAGTGAGGTAGAAAAAAAAATCTGAAAAGATGACTCAAAGATGCCAAGAATCCTTTAACCAATGCACCAAGTATGTTTTATCTATTTAGTTATGGCTTTCTAAATCAAATTTCTCCTAGCATCACTGAGGCAAATGACTTAAAGTTACATGGATATGAGTAAGGGCTAAGTTGAAAGAATTTTGTCTAAGTTCAACTACTACCATACTTATTCCCGCATTGCGGATGTCTTTTTTTTTTTTTTTTTGTAATCATTCTTCTATATGGCTGAGCCTACAAGAGGCCTAGGGATTTGGATTTCTACCAAGTTTGCAAGCAAGATTAGGGGACCCAGCTTCTATGTTTTTTGTTAAAATAATTACAGGCAATGTGAAGCTGTAGCCATGATTTGAGGCCCAGACAGAACTGAAGATTAATTGGCAAAATCATTACTCAATCTAGCCACAGTTCAAATATGAAGGTCCATCCAGAGTGGATGTTATCAAACTCTGGCACATCAAAGAGGAAGAGATGAAAGAATTAAAGGTTCAAATAGGTTCATTCAGATAACAGGAAAACCAGGCTTGTTGCCATAGCTGAATGAAATCCATGGCTTAAGGCTTATAATTAGGAGTCTTCAATGGAAGGTGGAACAGGGGATCATTTTATTGTAAGCTGCCCAGAGTTGCTTAAAATCGGCAGCCCTATAAATTTTCCAAATAGACAAATAACAGATAAACCAACATTGGGGCCTTGCAACTTACAAGCAGCCGTGATTGCAGCAGCAGCAGATGAGATGACAGATGTCTGCAGGCTGGAAGGAAGTTCAGGGGCAGATCCTGAATTCACGTGACTTTTTACAAGCTCATTATCAGTGCTTTTAACTGGGGAGAATGTGAAAGAGTAGAAAAAGAAACAGAAACACCATAAAGACAGAAAGGAAAAAAAATCCAAAGAACAGCGACACCTTTGGTGGAAGGAAAAAAACAAAATAGGAGACACAGAATGGGAAAGTAAAATGTATTTTAATAGAAAAAAAAAAGAATAGGGAAATGGAATTAAGATACACAGACACATAGAGGCAACATACTTTCAAGTATGACAAGCAGGAAGGTTTGATTACATTCATGTCCTGCCTGGGTAGGGACTTTTTAACAAGGTTATCTGTAGTGGTTGAAAATTCAATTCTTCCCAGTGGGCTTCACCCCTTTAGTCCTAATAGACAACTTTCCTTCTCCTTGGAAACAGGCAATAAAGCATAAAATGGCCTTCAATGGACTTTCCCCATTGTTTTTAATATCCCAAGGCTACAATCAAGCCAAGCAACTGGTTACCAGAAGAATAAGAGACATGGAGTCCCATCTAGAACTTAACAGGATATCTCTCTACAGAAGATATCAGATTAAATAGGGTGTGTGGGAACCAGCAAGGTATCCGAAAGACCTGAGTTTTTCTAAGAGTAGAACAGCATCTTTTACAGCCAGACTTAATATCCTCCCCTCAGCACTCCTGCAGGGCAGGAATGATAAAACCACAATAGCTGAGTGAATATGTACAAGTGGCGATGGGGAAATTGAAGATATTTCACATGTCCTATTGCACTGCAAGTTCTACAGGGACATCAGATCAATGTATGTTCTCCTTCTAGTAGAGAGATTTCTAGGGAGATCAGGTAACTTCTACGTGAACCATCTCCTCCAGGATTCAAATCCAGCCACCACTTGTGCAGTAGCAAAATTTTGTGCTGCTGCAATGATAATAAGGAAAAAAATATCTAAAGAACTAAATATCTTTATTCATATTAATACTTTGCTAAATTATTTTCCAATAATTTCTAGATAATGTTTAACTTTTGTGCTGGTCTGTGACTTTAATAAAGATTGATTCTGATTCTTTATAAGGTATCTGAGCAGCAACATAAGATATAGTTAGACTCAGCTTAGCTCTTCTTAGGTTCTAAACTCATTTCTCTTGATCACATTGATGTGGGACCATCATTTAAGCATCAGGGCATGGCCTATTTCATAACTCTACCCTGGCACTGATCATTTGAACAATCTATGGAGAAAGTGAACGATACAAAAAGGTGCACATTCTTTATGAAACCACAGAGATTTGAGACAAGACTTGTATCATGTAGTCTTCACTCCTCATTTGTGAAAGGTTACATGAGGCGAAGAGATATGACAAAGCTTTCCCCGAGGGTGGTCCTTCTGAGTTCTCCTATTACCTCTTGGGCTTTAGAATGTCTCCTCTGCCTTTTGCTTGATAGCACTAGAAGCCACATGTCTAGACATGCACCCACGTTTTTCTCTTGGAAATGCAAGCTGAGTCTTAAGTAAGTCTTGTAGAAAACACAAGCCCAATCTAGCATACATGTAGACCATGCACACACATGCCATCCATTACAGTAGAACTACGTTACACAAATTAACCCTCATTAGTCAAGGACCAAAATTTGACCCCAATACTGTAGCAGGAATCCACCCTCTCCTGCAATTGATCTAGAGCTCTGCTTTACTAAATATAAAAGATTATGCTTCAAAACAGAAGTTACGATATTTGGTGGAAAAGGCATATACAGGAAGTACAGCTACATGTTGGACAGAAGACAAAGCTTAAGGTTACTCTGAAAGAGTGCTACCTCTCCTGGTTTGTATGTGTGTGTGTATGTGTATATAGGTCTTGAACCCAAACAATATAAATCCAACCTTTCTTCCTTTCTCTTTCAACATAAGGTTATCTATAGAGCTGTGGTGGCACACCGGTTAGAATGCAGGGCTAACTCACTGCTCACTCCAGGAGTTCGATTCTGAGCAACTCAAGGTTGACTCAGCCTTCCATCCTTTTGAGTTGAGCAAAATGAGGACTCAGATTGTTGGGGGCAATATGCTGACTCTGTAAATTGCTTAGAGGGGGCTGTAAAGCATTATGAAGTGGTATATAAGTCTATGTGCTATTGCTATAGTGTCAAAAACCTTTGCACTGGTTGACTTGTGCACCATTCTTCCCGTTCCTGGACCAGAAGGCCTTGCTCACAGTGATTCACATCCTAGTCACCTCCTGTTTGGATTTCAGTAACATACTCTTCATGAATGCCTTTGAAGAACATTTGGAAACTGCACCATGTCCAGAATGCAGCAATGTGGGCAGTTTTTGATGTTTCCCATACATTCATATAACACCACTACTCTGTGAGCTGCACTGTATCCCAGTAGGCTTCTGGATGCAACTGAAGGTAATCGTTATCACTTATAAAACTCCTGCACAACATAGGACTGAACTATTTACAAGACTGCTTATGTCCCATCATCTCTGCTCATCCCACTATATCTAGCAGGGAGTGTTCTATGTCCCCTCTGTCATACAATGTCATCTTGTTGGACCTTCATGGCACTTGTCCTGTAGATCCTGTGGGAAATGCTGGTGGCATCATGATTGGAGGGGGAATCACAATATTCAGGTTGTTTTGATGGAGCAAAATATACAGTATCTTAAACATCACAAAAGCTTCATATTACTTTCTGATCTTCCTCTAGTAGGGCAAAACTGACTCATTCTATCTTGCTTATCAATTTCTTTAAATGTGTTATTCAAAAAGAGATGTGGTAAACATGGGTTAGGTTAAGTAGGGTTTTGAGCCTAGATTGAATTACCACTTAAAGAAAACACCAGTAATTATGGCAGATACAGATTTCACAAAGGTGACATTTCTCAAGTATCCTTGAAGATTGATTTGTCATCACCAAGTGTCAACAGCCTGCAAGCACTGGAGTACAACACCTTCATAATAAGCCAGGATTCATCAATCAAGTGAGAACATGCACATCTGTTTTCCATTTGCCCACAAAGAGCCTTGGTAGTACAGTGGTCTAGGCACCCTGTTATTAAGCTGGTTATTAAGACCAGTTGCCTGCAATTACTGCAGGTTCGAATCTCGCCAAGGCTCAAGGTTGACTCAGCCTTCCATCCTTTCTAAGGTAGGTAAATTGAGGACCCAGTTGTGGGGGCAATAAACTGACTTTGTATAAATATACAAAAGAATGAAGGCTATTGCTTAGCACATTGTAAGCCTCCCTGAGTCTCCGGAGAAGGACGGCATATAAATCAAAAAAAATTTTTTTTTAAAAAAAACTTCCTTTCTAGCTATGGTCTAAAACAGAGTCTGCATTTATCAATTTCTACTATGTAAACTGCTACGGCTTCCAATATTCCATTTATAGTCAAGCGCACAGACAATCAGGAGTATGCAAGCGGAATAACTAACTCTCCAGATGTCAAGCCTTTGACCCCTGGGCCAACTCCTTAATTCTGTTACCTTTCGTGTCTTCATCCTCTATGGTGGTGTTTGTGCTGTCGGATGATTCCTGTGGAGACAAATAGGAGTAGGAGAAAAAGAAAACAGAAGGTTAGCAGCTCTGGCCACAAAAAGATGTTTGAGGAGATGATGAGCATGTACAACTTGAACTTGAGACCAGAGAATCTGGATAAATCAGAAAAGAAACTGTGGGATACTCAAAACTCTCCTTTTTCAAATAACAATAAATCGGCATATTAATCAATATAGAAGTATCTGCCCCAAAAAACTAGGGAGATGGTTCACCAAGTATACCAACTTAAAAAACAGAATTGTAGTTGGCTTGGTTTTTCTTGCTTCTTAAGGAAGAAAGAACTCAAATCTCATCTTTAGTAAGATTGATAAAGACTTCTCATGCAGAATTGAACTGGAAATTCCATTTTTAATGTTGCAGTGTGAATCAACAAGGAAAAAATGCACAACTGGCATTTGCTTCTACATATGGGTGAACCTTGAGATAATTATGTCTCCCAGTAGTTGAGCCAAACCCTATTTACTACTGGAGTATCTGTCATAACATAAACTTAGTCTTGTTTGCAGAATTATGGTCCGGCTCATAACTATAAGAATGTTCTCATTTCTCATAAGCATTTCATCAAAGAATGTTATTCTAGAATTAAGACTTGTCAGATTGTGGCAGCTCAGCTTCAGCAACTAAGATGTGGGGACTTCAACTCCCAGAATTTCCCAGTCAGCTATGCTAAAGTTGTGGAGAAACACTGATTTACAGCATGATATTCTTTGAGGTGTGGAGCTGGTCTGGGGATAGATATTACTACTCTTCCTAAAAGTAAAGCTTATTTGGAAATAAATGCCATTGATTAGATTAAGGGGCCTGCACAGAATAGAATCTTATCCCTCACATACTATTAAGATTAATTCAAAAATTCAAAATTCCAAACAGAATGATTAGTTTTTTAAGAATCATGTAACTTTTATAAAAATGTATATTAATTAATATTAATTAATAAATCAATAATTTCCCCCTTCTGTTCAATTATGTTTGATTCTTGGAGATTGCCTGGAGTCCCTGCAGTTTTGCTGGGGGAAGCAAATGCAATAAAAGCAGCAAATGTGATATTCTCACAAGTTCTTTTGAACATAAACCACCTATCTCATTTGTCAAAAACAGAGTAGATTTAACATTATGATAATATTTTATAACAGTTCAGTTTGCTGTGACACCTTAAAGAAAATGGTTGCTCTCCCTCATGACGAAAAAGCTATGTTTCTAACAGGAGAGGATTTTCCTCTCCAAACATTTGCAACAGAAAAGAATATATTCTAGAAATAATTGTAAATATGAACAGAAGACCTTAGTAGCCTCCATTTATTGCCCAGTTGGAAGAAAGTCAAAGCCCCACATTCAACATAATCTCCCCAGATTCTTCATCCCAATGTAATCTGATATAGGGGTACCAGTCCCCAGACTTATTTTACTTCCTCTAAAAAAACAAGCTGTATAATTAGAAAAACATTATCCTTTTTTCCCTTAAAATTCATCTAAACCAGGAAATATTCTGTCCAGAAGAAAAGATAAATAAATGGGGAGGTTGGTACTAACATGGTTTCCTTGACCAACCTCTATCAGATTTAACCTTTAAAAAACAAAAAACAAACCAGCCAACAACCCACAAAAAAAATTCCAACTGGTTCTCTTCTTAAAGCTGTGTCAGATGCACTGAGTGAATGGGCTTGAAGAGATAGCATAAACATGGTAAAAAATTAAAGCCCCTGCAGCGAAGAATGGGTTAAGAAAATGCAGGTCTGGGTGGAAGTGAAGGCTGGGACCGATAATGAATGATAGTGACATGGAGCAACTATGCTGATCCTCACACCATCCAGCCTCTTGGGATGTCTCTCTTTGGTCTGCCTGGCTGCATTCTTTCACTTGAGCATGAAGGAGTTCTGGGGTCAGAGTTGAGGCTTTCTTTCCCATCCTATCCCCCAGCACAAAAATGCTCAGTTGAGACTTTTAGGAGTATAGTTGGGATTACGAGAGTCTCCACACAAATTAAGAATTTGAGATGGGGAAGGTTGCCTCCCCCATCTAGAGTTCTCAATTTGTGCGGAGACTGCAGTAACCCAAACTAGCAGGCTCAACACATCTAGGACCAGAACAGGAGAAAACAGGTTTGAAGGACAATCCCATCCTCCAGAAGATCTAGTTCCAGGTGACAAGCGACTATCAACTTCTTCCCCTCAATTCCATCTGTTCTGTCTGGACCACTTTCATTAGCCTCATTGTAAGCCTAAAAGACCTGGAACAAAATGTAGGGAACATACCACCAGCAAGGGAGTCATGGAAATTCTTCACCTTTCTCCCCAAATAGTGGAAAGTCTAATATTTGCGATTCTTCAAGCAGGCCAGACCTTTCAAAAACAGTGCTGCAGTTGTAATTTCGTGCTTTCTATAACACCTCAAAAGGCAACTCTCTTCCCCCACCCTTAATTAGGCCAGTGGATTAGGGTCTAGGTTGCAGGATTTCGGGTATACGGAAAAAGGCACAACAAGAGCCTACGGTCTGTCCCCAGAGGTGAAATTACACAGCAATGCAAGGAGCAGGGAAAAAAAAGTCAATTTTTATCCAAGATAACAAAAAGGGCAAAACTGAGGAGAAGGAAAGACAGGCAGCAGTACCTTAATGCTGTCCACTGGGTTATGGATAACGGTGGTTTGAGGTTCCTACAGAGGAAGGAAAGATGAACCAAAGAAGAACAGAACAAAGAAGAGGAAGGAATTAAAAAAATATATATAAGGAGAAGAGGCAATAATTGGAAGAGGAGATGGAGCAGAAAATGATGGTAAAAAATATGAAAAAAGGGAAAAGGAAGGGAAAAAAAGACCAAGACCCACATAAGAGCAGGGGAGGGGAACAAAATGGAAGGGAAAAAAGCAAAAGGCAATTAGTTCAGCAAAAGGCAAATGATTAACAAACAAAAAGTGGCAGAATAAATCAGGAAGAGAAGAATCAAAACTGGATTTTCCATGAATGAAACCAAAAAATCATATTTGAACCCCATGATAAAATTGCTGTGACTCCCTTGGAAATGGAGAGGGCAAGCAGAGGTATCTATGTTTAATCTGTTTGCGAGCCAAAGAAATTGCTGCAATAGGGAGCATGGTCAGGAGAACAAAGAAGAAACTTGTAGGTGGGAGCGGCAACCAACACTCCTACCTGGGCGGTTAACATCACAACGCAGGTTCCACTGAAGATGGAAGGAGGGAAAAACGTAGCAAAAGAAGAGCAGAAGGTCCTCTGAACAAATTCCTCGGACTTGTGCTATGCTCTGAATTTTTAAATTAAGAACCAATCTCTACCTCGCTCCATGGGCGCATTCCATGATGATCCTGTAGTTTGGATCTCTCACCCATAGGTTCTGGGTACACAACAGAGGGCTGAGCAAGAGGTATGGGGTATGAAAAGTCCATCCAATATAATTCTAGAGATAGCTGAGCAGAGGTTTTGCTCGCTGAGAACTTACCTTCCATAACATATGTTGTTTTACAAACCTTCAGTGCTTTTCTGACACTTTTAAGATGTACTTACCTGGAAGCAGGTAATTCTAGGGCACTAAACTAATTTGTTCAGTTGGCATGGATATGGACAAGACTTTTATGGCTTGGTGTAGGCAGGGTGGTAAAGCGAATTTGGCAGGAATAGGCAACATGTAAGAATGAGAGACCGGTCTCTTTTTTTACATGACTGTTAAAGTATCAGCTTCCCACCAGGTGGTTTAAGAGGGTAGAGCTTGGGAGAAGAAGGACCATTCCAAAGCTGAGAAACTACCAGAAAACCTGTCTGTAATGTATTTGATATGGTCTAAGAATTATCCACACATATATCTCTACTTCTTTAGTAATAGTGAATGTGCATGTGTGGCCAATGTGTGCTAAATATGCTTAAAGGTGTTGTGTGAATATAGTGGAGAAGGAGAAGAGATATATGCATGTTAATAAAGCTTTGAAGCAACTCAATAGTAAATAACGCATGCTTTGGTGCAAGATCTTCCAAATTCAATCTTTGGCATTTCCAGTTAAATAAGCACGTAGCTTGAGATGATTCTTCTTTCTTGGGAACCTTTAAAAAAATCCTGTCAATCACTATTCAGCTGCCTTCTCCAAGCTGATGCATTTCAGGCAGGCTGCGTTTGTGCTGCGTTATGTCTTAGAACAACAGCAGCTATGAAAGGAAGTGCTGAACCAAAATCTAAAGAAATGGGGCACAGTTCAGTCATTTTTAGATAATTGTGAAAGCAAGACATCTTTTTTCTACAGCTGATACCTACAATCCAGTTTGTGCAAACCTGCAAAGTATTCCAGGAAGAATATGAATTACTATAATGGCTTGTGTAGCTGGACTTAAAGGCTAGAGACCTAATTGTGTAAGCTTGGTACAGCTCAATAGTCCTTTTTATGCGAGGGGTTGGGGATCTTGAACAATGAGTTCATAAAAGGGCAGGTTTCGGTACTCACGAATTACCTATTGACACGGGCACCAGTGCTACCCATTTAAGAGGCTATTCAGAACTAGCAATAAAAGCAAAGCATCTTGACTGCCACTGAGAGGAACTGAATAAAACTATGTTTGAGGGTTGCAGATGAAAGTCAATTCCCATCTGAAGAGATTGGAACGATGGGTGGGAGTATCAGCCGGGAAGGGGAAGCGGGAGTGAATGGAAGCAAAAAAATCTTAGGTTTCACATCGCTTTTCAAGATTCAACCCTGTGTTTCTTGCCCCCACTGGCAAACTCTGAATTGATACATTCTTCACCAGCCGCTCTGTAATATTTAATATGCCACATAGGGCTCTAGCTATTGAAATCTCTGAAGGGTTGGCCTCTTGCCTTCAATAAAGCCAAGCTCTTGCTTAATAGACAATTGGAGAATTGGGTTGGGGAAAAAACCATCCATTTTGCTCAATTAAAGGCAGTTTTCAACCCTGTTTCTTTGGAAGGCAAATATTTGTTCCCCATGATTACAGAAGGAATCTGTAGTTCCTGCCACACTGAAGAAACTGATAAGCTTTTCCCAACGTATATTATCATCTAGGGTGCTTCTATGCTGGGGAAAAAACTTCCAGAGTTCTATTAAGTTTATTCTCTGGAATCTTTCCTAGCATCAACTACATAAATTGACTATAGAGAAATTTGCCATCAAATTCAATTTCTTGTTGAAAGGAAGGGCCAACAATTGACATAGCTTGGGAAATGATCACTACCCACCAATACTCTGAAAATAGCATTTATCATATAACGACAGCATTTCAAAGTGCCTCTTTTAAGCTTGTAAGAGAACCAAATAACTGGAATACATGTTTTTCATCATTAAAACCAGTTCAAAGTCTAGTTTTAAATTGAATAATGACAAAGAAAGCTGTTGAAGATAAATGGGCTGTAAACCAATATTGAATATGGGTCTCATAGAAGAAAAGAAGTAGTTTGTGCTGTAAGAAAGAAGTTCAACCTTGTTGTTTTGATCAATGATAACAGCCCATTTACTGCATTTTTAACACTCTGCTACCTTCCTAGTGTACGTATAATGTAAATATGCTCTATTCTCTTGGACAGCTCCATATACTGTTTGGATTCATATAATTTAATTTAAACCTGCTGTCTCCATCCCTTGACCTCTTTTAATACTTTTTGTACTAAAAAATTAGTGGGCAAAGAAAACCTTTCAATAAAAAAATGTCACAGTTATTTAAAGAATTAGTCTCATTGTCTAATTTGTATCATATTCATATAAGCAAAGATAGCAGAATGCAATTACCTATAATTGCCCAATTTGTTTTCAATCTGCGTCTTTCTGAAGATTCATTAAAATCCCAGTTGTGGAATTTTATTTCCCTTCAAAAGCAACATAAATTTCAAGATATCTTCCTAGCCAGTAAAGTCAATGTAATTTTATATTAAGACTTCATGAAAAACATTATTACAAAACTGATATTTATTTGGTAGAACAGCTCTACTGTTCCTGTGTTCAAATACAGGACCTCCAAGTTATTTAAAGAATTCCATATTTGCCACCTACGTAAGGGGAACCTACTGAAAATGAAGACCAAAATAGAAATATCTTTAAGGTTTGCAAATACAGCTTCTGAGAGCTTTAAAACTTTTATAATAATTCTAATTCCTTCACCTGTTAATGCTTCATTGACTTGTTGACAGTGGAGCAAAGTGTGCAAAGTTTAAATAGTTCCTATACGTTTTACCCCAATGCCTTACTTTACAGCTTTTTCCTATATATATATACATACATATATATATATATATATTTACAATAATTACATAATAACAACCTAGAATCTGTAACTCCTATGAAAACAAATGGAGCCCTGCAGATCAATTAATGTTTGCTATGCCACACAGTTATGTCCCAGAATTATTATTCCAGGAGTTTAAAAATATGTATAATGTACATTCTTTTGCACTTTTTTACACTTGAGAGTGAGGCTTGTGGATACTTGGGATAGGCTCTCAGTGGAATAAAATGTTTAGAGAAAATTAAGAGATTTAAAATGTCTCATTTAGCACCAAATCGTAAAGTAGCCATGAAGTTATGAATATTTAAGTTTCAGTAACCAACATGACCTCTGGATTGAACATATCTGGAAAGGAGGTTTTAATACTGAGGCACTAAGTACAAATTTGCACAAAGCAGACCAGGGTGATATCCACAGATGGGATTCAGATGTTTAGAGGTGGGAAAAAATTAATTGACAACCACAGTTACTGGGTTCTATTATTTCTCAGAATGACTGATGAGACAAGGTGTAATTATAAGACACTCTTGTTTATTCTTTCTGACCAAGAATAAAAAGAGGCCTTTGTTTTTCTTTTTTTGAGGACGAGGTGGGGAATTTTTTTTTTTTTTTTGGATTGTCTGCTGGGATATAAGACAGTATTAATTTGCAATTCAAATATCCTTATCTTGTGCCTTGTATTATTGAATGGGAGAACCCAATCAATGTGGAATACACTGCGGCTTAATTTTGTTACCAGGAAGCAAATTAAACATTTAAAACTGCACTAGATCCTAGGTAGCAAGATCAACTGAATGGGGTCTTCTGGTTTGGACTGCCTAAGAAGTAAAATATATATATGGAGGATAAGCAGGAGGACCATGAATAAATTCTGAACTGTCTCCCAACAATGGAGCAAGAATAGCATGAAACAATTTAGGGATTCACAACGGTATCAGTTAGAGGCAGAACACAGAGTTGAAGTCCTTAAATCATGTATAGTTGTATCAGCAAGCATTAAAGAGCAATTATAGCAGCAAAACCACAGGGAAATCAGTGTCCCAAATGTTTTGTATAAAAACAGAAATAAAAATAGAAGGGAAACTGTACCAGTGCGGCTGGAGGAAGGGTTCCTTTTGGACTGGTAACTCCGGTGCTGCCTTTGGTGCTGTTTGTCTGAGGCTGTATCAAACATACACATTTTTGTCAATGAAGAAAAGAACACAAAACACTTTTCATTCAGATAATCCATATCAAGGCCATTTAAACTCATAAAGGGTGCATCATTTCATGATTTTACCTAGCAATTATGTACAGATAAAGCTTTGGAGAATGGGCCCTCCTTTCACCGTGGTTCAGAGGGTTTTAACTTATAGAGAATAGAAAAGTACTTTCATTTCTACCATTTAGCTACTTTGCTAATTGAGTTTCTGAAAACGATTGTGGGTTTAGAGCAGAATAATCTCTCCCTTTAATACGGCACAAGCCCAAATCTTTCCCTGGTTTTCTCTTTCATGGAATGTTCCACAAAAACCAGAAATATATTTACCTTCACGCCGTCCGCTTTCTTATTCAGTAAACTTTTAGCTGCTGCATAAAGAGGGAAGAAGAGATTTTAGTGGTAACTCTCTTGTTATCTTGAGAAATACTCTGCACTGTCTAAATAGTCCTTCCCCCTACCCCACCCCCAAAAACAGTTTCCCCCATCCAACTGCTAAAAGGCGACTTGAGAACAATGGCTAAGCCCCAACATCTCCAAGCCAGAAGTAGACTTACAGATGAATAAGTTTCACCAGTGGGCAACCTCCCAAAAGCAGGGAGGTCAGTAATGGGTCTGCAATAATACAAAAGAGTGGAAGCTTTGCTCAATGGTATTTTAGTCACTGTTGTTTCTCAAATTGCCATTAGCTTGGCTTAGGCACACATTATTTGCCCAACCACAAGGAGGGTGTCTCTGTACAGCAGTGTTCTGTTTAACAAAGCAGTAGTTTGAATAAAGTGGGACAGGATCCTTCTATGGAGAAATTCCCCAAGCATTCCTTCTCCCCTTTAGCTGAACTTGCAGAAGAACATAGACAGCTTCTTGAATACTAATTTTGTGCTAATAGCTCCAAGACCTATCCTAAGTATCTACTCATTTTAGAGACGCTGACATTTGCACTGAATATGCTAGATCTTTTCAACAGAATTGCATACAGGTTCTTTTCTTTTTGAAATAAGGAATATCTGTCTTTCTTATACTAGGTAAATCTTCAAGACAACCTTGAATCTTGCAGATGCCCCTATAACTATCTTGGCAACAATCTATCTTCTTCTAAGGTGATACTATCATCACCATCATGATGCAATCTAGTCCCACAGTCCTAGCATCCCCCAGTAGTTTCCCATTTAGGTATGCCTACAAGTCAGTGTTGATACCTGGTGACTGTCTGGATTGGTCCTTGCAGTTTTCTTGGCAAGACTTTTGGGAGTGGTTTGCCATTGCCTCCTTCCTAAGGCTAAGAGAGTGACTGGCCCAAAGTCAGTCTAACGTGGACTAGAACTCACAGTCTCCAGTTTATAGCCAGGTGCCTTAGCCACTACACAAATAGGCTCTCTCCTTTTGCACTGAGAATTTCCAAATTCTTAAACATGAGCTGTAACCCAAGCTGACTCTTGCCAACCAAGCTGTACAATTCTGCTCCTAGCAACAATTTTTATCTTCGAAGCAAGGTTGGAGCTCATATTCTGATTTCTAAACAAGTCACATCTGCTTCTTTACTGAAGCCACTCTATTACAGTCCATTAAGCAAGCTGCATTATTTTCCCATGTGTTAAGATTGTGACATTACGCCCAACATAGCATCAGTCTTTTTTCCTCTGTAATTAGGATTTCCTTGTAAATGGTGGTATAGAATCATTTCATTTCCACCTATATCTCATGAGATATTGATAATTCTCAAAAATTCAATGATTAAGTACTGGCTTCTTATGTCGGGTTGGAGTATGTCATTCAGAGAATATAGATTTCTTGGCCATTGCATGGTTGGTTTTTGTTTTTCTAATTGCTTCTTGTTGCTATTATTTGGCTGAGGAGAGACCCAAGAATGATATGGGGAGAAAAAAAAGCTGAATTGAAATGAAATGCATGGTAAGGCTGAGAGTGGGATTAAGAAGAGTGATAAGAGCAAATGTGGTAGGGATTAAAACTAGAAACCTGGTTATCTGTTATTTGGATCTGGTTACAAGAACTTCTGGGAATCAACAATGCCATGAGAATCCTCTAGGGATTGAACAATTGATGACTATTGTGTTGTATCTGGGCAAAAACCAGGTAATTTGTACAGTTGAATGTCTAGTGTACAGCAAAAGAAATCAAGTTACAATCTATTATTGGATCTACTGTGAAAGTACTATGTCAGATGGAGCACCATCTGCGGAAGAAGATGACTCCCTCTGCTTCTGAATCCCAGTCTTATAACCCTCTTGGTCCCACATTAAGTCCAGTCACCACCATTGATAGTTATTATATCAAAGGCCAGAACTCAACAAAAAGTTTGCTTACCTTACAGAAATTTACAGAAGAGGAAAAGGCGAGAGAGACAGGCAGTAAGGAGGAGGATTGGAGGAGGGATAGGGAGAAAGAGAGGGGGAGAGAAAAAAAGGGGAGGAGAGAAAAAGTGTTGAGACAGAAAGCAAAGCCTTTGGGACAGAGGCCCTGTCTTGACACCAAAGGGGAGTGAAGCAGCAGCACCAGCACCACAGAAGCAGCACCACATACGCACAGGGAGGAAATGGACCACACAATCACCACACTAATGGAAGAATGGGAACTCAAGGATAGAAAATGGACTCCAAGTAAGATGACATCGTTTTCCACAATGTACAACTCTGGAACACCAGAATCAACATCACTCGGGTTTTTTTAAACACATAACTCTTTTTCTACTCTTCCCTTAATGCTAAATATTCTGGCTTGTAAAGGTTTTCTTTTCTTTTTTTCAAAGTTTACCTGTGACTCATGTAGTTCATGATGAAGCGTGGAATTTGTCCTAATAAACTTGATACTCCAAAAGTCAGTCCCTCTCAAACCCATTTGTTGGAACTGCAAACCCCAGAATTCGTGAAATGGGACCAAACGGAGGAATTCCACCCTGGAGGTGGCTGCTAGATTGATGGCAGACTCCATCTCCTTGCTCTCTGTCTTCCACCCATCAATCAGTAGAACAACTTGCCTCCAGAAGTTGCAGGTGTTCCAACACTGGAGATTTTTAAGAAGACATTGGACAACCATTTGTCTGAAATGGTGTTGGATTTCCTGCTTGATCAGGGGGTTGGACAAGAACCGTGATGGCAAATCTATGGCACGCATGCCCAAAGTGGCACACAAAGCCATGTCTCCCTGCACGCACAGCCTTGCCTGTTTATCTTCCGGGTTTCTGGTGTGCATGCGCATACAATGATCAACTGCCCTTTGTGTGCACAGCAGGGCCAAAAACTGGTGTGCACATGCAGGTTGGCCAGCTGATTGTCGGGTGTGCATGCGCATCAGAACCCGGAAGTTCGGCTTTTCTGGAGCGCAGCCCTGACGAGTGTGTGTGCACACATGACATTTCCACACAACCTTTCGGTCTCGGTGCCAAATAGGTTCACCATCCCTCCTCTAGGGCTAGAGTATCCCTACGGTGAGATAGGCAGCAAATAAATTTAACAAATAAAATAAATAATAAATAAATCCCAAGAAGTATGATCAATGGATTGTGTATTGGACTGAGAACATTTTAGTCATATAACGTTCTTGGAAATGACTACAATCATTGCTGCTACCTTTTAGCTTTAAATGGCTTTGTGTATAATATATATTTTGATAGAAACAATATTGGCAAGTTCATTTGTTAAGAGCAAAGATGGGGCAATAGCTGATATATCTCTGAATGTTAGAATTACTGGTCTAGCTATATAGCAATGCCTCCAAATGTAAGAAGAATCTACAACAGAATGTATTACAGTTTATTATGCCGGGTGCAGAAGAGGAAATTACAGCTGTTCTTCAATATTGCTATATCTCTAGCAGCATGCAAAGCCTCAAACACCCAAAAAGAAATGCAGAAAATCTGTTTATTAAGGATATAGCCAATATTCCCCTAGTTCTCCTTCCTTCCCCTAGTTCTTCTTCTTTCTGATCAATCCAAATGTGTTACGGAGAATCCTTCACATCTGCAAGAGATTTATGAGCTATGTTGAAAGGTGCTGTAAAAAGGAAAGGAGGAACGTGCTTTCATCAGCAGACAAATAGCACTGGATCCAATTCGATATCCTTTGTTTTTAAGCCACCATAATCAAAACAATGAAGCTGACCTCAAAGAGTACTTGGAAAGTACACAAGATGACTTTCTCCTCACCCCATCAGAAGGAGGTAGAATATTATCATTGTATCTTGATTTTGTCAGAAGTTATGTCAGCAAATCAGTATTTTAAATGAAGGTATTTTCCTTGGACTGGGTCCAGGAGCTTCAGCTGTTGGATAATGCAGTGGTCAAGGTGTTGGGTGGTGCATCCAGCTATGTGCATAATTGAAGCAACTGCAGTATTGGCTGCCAAGTAGCTATTATGCCAGATTCAAGGTGGCATTTTTGCTATATAAGACACTAAAAAAATCTGGACAAACCACTCAACACCATTACAAACCTATGGATTGCTGAGGTCATCAGAGAAGTCTTGCTCTTACAGACAAGCCTCCCTTGTGGCCACCTGAACTTTGGTACCATTTCCTCCGAACACGAGTCAAGAGCCCTTCAGCATTTGTTATAGACCTCTCTCTTTCCTGTATCAATGTTGGAAGAGTTTTAGTTTAGTTTAGTTTTTTTCCTTCCACCACCTTTCTAATGAATCTGTTTCAACCTTTTTCTTATTGATCTTATTTTGGCCATTTTTATGGTAAGGTGATAGATTGAGAAATAGTATCTATCTATCTATCTATCTATCTATCTATCTATCTATCTATCTATCTCCTCCATCATCATCATCATTTATCTATCCATCTATTTTAAGTGCCCACAGTTTCTTTGGATAGTGGAATGAGTGGCATATAAATTTAATAAACTAAAAAAGTGTTCATGACCACACATATCTCAAAAAGTGATTCTGTGTGGTGTACAGGAAGTGTACGCTACTAAGTATGGAAACAGAATAAAATATATTAAATAATAACTAAATGAAATGGGCCATGGCAACAACTCTGTTGCAAGAAAAAAAAATCAATATTTCTTGTGCTGGCAATTGTTATGAATCCAGTAAAAATCTTGCATTGCTCAGAATTTGGAAGGGAAAAGAATTGTGATAGGAAAAGGTTCAAGAATCATTGACCATTCTTGGATATAGGCATTTTAGTCCCTACAGCAGTCTCTATATTATGTCCAACATTTGGCAGCAATATTTATAATATCTTCTAACAGGCAGAGGACAATAGGAGAAGGGCTTGGCTTCACTCCAAGAGAAGAATCAGAATAGCACATATTAATCATCAACCTATTCTTGTAGAATCAGGAAGCTAAAGAATAATAATACACCTGAGAATTAGAGGACCAAATGCATTTCAAAACGTATGTTGATCAGGCAGCTACCAGAAGAATATATATTCATCTCATGGTTGTCTCTATTCTTGGAGTTTCTTCTACTGCTTCTGTAGTATCAATCCTGTGTCTCTCTCTGAAAATGAGGAACTGGCTACATCAATGTTTCTCAACCTTGGCAACTTTAAAACCTGTGGACTTCAACTCCCAAAATTCCCCAATCAGCTATTACTTATTATCTGGAGTTGAAGTCTTAAAGTTGATAAGGTTGAGAAACAATGTGTTCCAGTATTTCATGTTCAGCATTAGAAAAACTGCTATCAATTATTAATTGGATAACATATTCTTGAATTTCAATTTTAGAAGACGCTAAATTAGAAAAAGAAGACTGGAATATCACGGATGATCACTGCAAAGGTTACAGGATTAACAGAAGCACTTTCTGTGGTAAAGCAAAAATCTGCAATACGTGAAGCAGCTTTAAATAAAAACTGAGAATAAAGGGTGAACAAGAAGACTTGGAGCTTTAAAATATCTAAAATCCTTGCGGGGGCAATTTGCTGAGATGACAATAATAAAAGATGTTACTGGTGATTATGTAGCAGCAGTAGCCATAGAGGCAGAGTGGAAGAATCCAAATGGAATAATTATAACTGTTCCCAAAGAAGAAAACCTACTTATTAAGCCTTTTCTGGATCTTAAAGGAGGCAGTTTTAAGTTCAATACAAAAATGAGCCTTTGTGTCTTTCCTTCATTTAAATTATGGGAGTTGGTCCAATACATGAAAAGCCCTGGGTTGGAGAAGTTTGGAGAAGAATATAATGTACAGCTTTTACACTGTACAACAAGGCACAAAGCAGTAGGATATTTTGCTTTAAAGAATTGGCGTACAAAATCAAGGAGACAGGCAATGCAATAACATAATTTTCTCTTTTGCTTCTTTTTCTCTTTTTTTCAAGCCTGAAATCTTAAGGTGGGTTTTCAGAATGACATTAACTCAAAAGTAACTTAGACCGGTCAAATTACTGCTACCATACAGAACTATCCATCTTGCATGCACATCAGCCAATTTCAGCACATCAGAAGCACTTGTCCGCTGTCTGAGAAGAATTACTTCTAATTCTTCTAGTCAAGGCCCAAATCATGCACCAGGGCTACACAAATTCCATGCACCATTTACCATTTTCACACTATCACAAAACTGGGGTACAGACAAACCTGTGACTACACCAAGCAACAAGAAGTTCTGGCATGAATAAAGCATCAAGGGAAACTTACGTTCGCATGCCTCAATAACTGTCTGGATGGATTAGATATGGAAGAAAGGTGTGCTCCTGGATCCTAAACCCCTTACTCTAAAGCAATGAGCCTCACCTGTTTTCTCCACTCTAAGCTGCATTTCATCTTCAGATGTTTGTAGGAGCATCAAGTATGCTCCAATTTTTGGTTTTAGTTCTCCTACATTTTTCTACTAGTTCATCCATGTTTTCATCTTATCCATAACAGAAAATTACAAAAAATCTATCACTTGGTGCATTGCCTTCGGTTTTGCTTTCATAATCCTTCCAGGGTATTGATTCAGACGCATATTAACCTACCCAAGGTTAATTTATGGCTGAGCTGCAAACCTCTAGTCAAAGGAGAACAGAGTCTGTTTGACTGCATACTTCATGAAGCTTAATGATCACTAGATGTATTTTTATCAATTGAAACCAGTGCCAAGCCATCTTGGTGAAATCAAGATCATCACCAGGTCTTCTCTACCTTGGTGTCTCTAAATCAGGGATTCCCAAGCTTGACAATTTTAAGACATGTGGACAGTTCCAAGAATTTCAATGTGGGAACCCCTGCTCTAGATGTGTTTGTACTCGGGTCCAAGAATTCCTAATCACCCAAGGGTCATGATGGCTAAAAGTTATAGGAGCCCAAATTCAAACCATGGTGTGGTTTCAGGTGATGGAACAGGTAAGCATAATTAGTTTCCTGAGATAAAACTTATTTTTTTTAAGGTTTAAGATTTAAACAGCAAAACAGGGAACAGAATGACCTCCTAGAAAGGATGGGTCTACATCTTCTGCATGCTAACAAAATAAGCCTGATCTATAAATTTACAGTTCTCTTTAGCAAAGGAGAACATCTCCACCAGAGTTCATGCCTGGTTTCAACAGGGAAAAAAATGGTAATTCTCATCATCCTACTGATGCAAAAATTAAACTCCAGAGAAAGTCAAGCTATGAAACAAAGATCAAATTCACTTTGATGCATGGGTGATGCACTGTTATTGCCCAGCTCATGTAGTGCATATTTTTATTAGCACCAACAGGTTCACCTGAGCAAGCAGCAGTCCTTTTTGGGAAAGAATTTAACTCCCAACTCATAACAAATAATTAGCAAAGCAAGAGCGGAAATAGATATTCTTCCTTCTGCATTTCAAATGCTTAAGCTCCAAATCAGACAGGTCAGGCAGCGAAGTGGGCAATGTTCCAAAATTCCTATCAAAGTGTAAAAATCAATTTGTTGGTTGGTTGTTTATGAAAGAACCAACTCAAAAAATGTTGCCAGGGTTAAATGATACTGGAGGAGTTTCACTGCTGGCAGTTAAATGAATACAACATAGCCCTTTTCATGACTGGAAGAGGAAAGAGCTATGTTAGAAATATTAACATATTTGAATTCTGCATGCAAATAAGGAAGTGCATGGGGTCTTTTAGCAAGTATTTCAGCTATAATGAGCTTAACGGTTCTTAAGGCTCTGAAGAACTCTCTCTTGCTCCAGGCAATAAGGCAAGTTCTGGTGTTTGAGGATTCTTGATTTAACCAGGGCAACCTATATGTTGTCACAGTAGTTTTTATCTTTTACAGTTAGTTCTCGACTTACGGACAATCACTTAGCGACCATTCAAAGTTATGATGGACCTTCCTGGAGCTACTTATGACCCAAATTCAAAGTTTTGATGGCTGGAGGGAGGGGAGCCTCCCAGTCATGTGACTGCATTTTGAGCACTCAGCAACCAGCCTGCATTGATGGCATTTGCAGTATCCCTGCAATAGACTATTTAGTTTCAGTCATGAAGACCAACTTAGCAATTTTTGATGAGAAATCAAGTGCAGTACCTCACAATCTCTCCAAACACCTCACAAGTAAGGAAAGTTGGGGAGGAGGGAGGACAGACCAAATGACAATTAGATGCATTCATCAGGCAGTCACCCTCTCTCCTTTTATTAAGACTACCACTGTTCCTCATCGTTTCCATGTTCTATTGGATGTTCCATGTTGTTAGAGTAATAGCCTCAGGTGGTATTTAATAATATATGGTAATATATTTACAAAATACGCTAAAATAATATCCACCCACCAGATCCTCAACTTCTAACAACAACACCACTACTTAGCCTGCAAAGAGTGCATTTCCTTTCCTGTCATTGGTCTGCAACTTTCATCCTGTTTTATACAATGTCTGGAGACTGCTGACTTGCAACTTTCACATTAGCTGATTTCAATCCCTTCCTGTAACATTTTCATGACCATTTCTAATCACGACTGAATGGAGCGCAACAGAACTGACACCACTAAACAGACAGACTTCTACAGAGAGAGCCCTTGTTTGGGCTCTTTGGAAGTGAAAAGGCTAGCCCTGAATCTTACAACAGGGTGGGATGAAGTGTTTTGGATGGATGACACAACATGCACTCAATATTTCAAAATGAGAAAGGGGAAAGTGAGGAGGATCTCTTCCGGACATGTCTACCTTGCTCCACCAACCCAATGGTGGCACCGGAGGCTGCTGCTGCTGCAGACATGGTGGCAGGAGCGGTGGTCTGTCTGCCCACTGTTAGCACCAGAGTGGAAAACAAAGAAATAAAGGACAGCAAGTAGGAAAAGGGATGGGGGAAAGAGTTAGAGAAGAGCGGAGGCAGAGAGAGAAAGAAAAAAGAAAAGGCAGAGGGAAAGTAAGAAGGGGAAAGAAAGGAGACAAAGGAAGCAGAACAAGATTAGAGTTAAAGTTGAGATGAAGAGACATGACTATTGGTAGCAAATGTGCATTCACTTTTACACAATCCATGGATCTTTTCCATCAGATCAAGAGTTATTATTATCTTCTTTCTCTGCACTGGAAGCCCATTAACTGTAGGGAAACCCTCGGTCCTCGTTTAGGCTCATAACTTTTGAAGATGCTCTAAAGTACTCATTCTGCTACCGAGTCCTAAAAAGCATGATGGCTAGGAAAGGCTTCTGTAGGAGCAGGATTAATAAAATGCAAGTGGAATGAACAAGGTCTGCTGAACATTAAAGTCCTACTGTTGCGGTTGAGAATTCCTAGATGTTACTAAAGCATGGAATGCAGTATGGGAGCCATGCACCTCTTCTGCTGTTGGCTTCCTGAGCTTCACTGATGTATTAAAACACAGCAGTCATCTTTCTTCCACTTCTGGGGTTTCCTCCACTATGATTCCGAACCACTTAATGGAAGACACACTTAGCAAGGAATGCTTAAATGCCAAGTTCGAAAGCCTCCAAACCAGAAAATACTGTGATTCCAAAAAAATTTATGGAATTTGGAAATCACCATAAAATTACTTAGGAAGAAGTAAAAGAAACTCATGGCAGAACACAGGTGCTTTCTAGCCATCACCTGTTTTCCAGCTGGGAGGATCAGGCCGCCATTAAAATCCAGTAGCTTACCCAGCTATAATTCCAGGAGATCCCATCAATCCCCTGGCTAGCAACAGGCCAGGAGTAGAACAAAAAAATTGAGATTTATTTATTTATTGCTGAAGATCACTGCTTCTTTCAACATTTTTACCCATCTTCCTTCTTCCTCAATGTTTTCAAAATGCTACAGCTTCCCAGGCACTTTGTCAATCAACACCCAGTTTTTTCCCAGAAATTCCTGCATCCTGAGTAAGATAAAACCTCCTTGTCGATGTTAGCATAGTATATCTTTATCTAGAACTAACAGCCCTTTACAATCCCTGCTAGCTGCAGAATTTGAGTTTTCGAGGTGCAGAAAATGGATTGTGCTGTGATTTGCTGGAAATTTCATAGGGCTTTGATTAGGCCCATGAACAGTGATGGGAAAAGAAACCCCGCAGGAGAGCAAGGAAGGAGAGACAACAGTAGGGGTAGACTATTGCTTGAGGCATCTACTCAGCCATCTTTAACGGTGATTTTTTAAAGAAATCAGATGCGTTTGTTTCCTCTTTTTTGGCAGGAAAAGCAACTCATTTCCCATAGTAGGAAAGTACTTGGCTCTTTTAGAAAGTGTTTCCAGGATGGATGTCCATTATGAACTAAGACCCACAGATGGAACAAGCTCACTGCAATTCTGCCTCCCCAGGCCAAGCCAACTCGAAGAATTAATATGCTACAGTCCAAAGCATGCACCTTCTCAAGATTCCCCTTCCAGTTTCCTTTCCCTCTCCAACAGGCAAAACTAAGGAAACAACCTAGAGAATCTGCCCTACTTAAACCTGGAACAGTTTTAGAATAACAAGAGGACTGTTTCAGAGACAGAGGAAAAGGACTTGGGGGAATTTGCAACAACTCCTGAAAGTTCTGTGGTAGAGTCAGGATTAAAATGCATTCAAGCTAGGTTAATATAAGGAGGAGCCTGAGAAATGTAAATTGAGGACAGTTTGGGGGGCAGAGGAGCCACACAGAAAGCCTGCATGGATGGGTATCCCAGTGCTAAAGCATCGAATACAGACTTTGGCTGCATTTATTTAGGACAATGAAGGAGGAGAATAGATCCACAGGAAGTTTGGCAGGGCTCACGAAAGCAAGCTTGTTAGAAGGCCTTTGGTGGCCATTCAGGGTTTTTTTCCCTGCCTTTTGAATCACTGATGAATAAATAAAGTTTGGGTGCTACCTCTGGTCCCAGCTTAACCTTTCTGATGATAATACGGTCATGCCAAAGAACATAGAGCATTAAGAGAAAAGGGATGAATGTCACATTTCAAGACTGAGACTAAATAATAGTGGTTTAGAAGAATTTCCTTTTGCTTGCTTGCTTCATTTTAATTAAAGGAGGTTTGGAAAGCACTAAGGTGTATTTTTTTTAGGGTTGTCATTTAAGCAAAGCAAAGCAAAGCTTTTCTCACCTGAAAAGTTTCTTGTTGCCAACATAGTAGTTAGAATGGCACCCTAAAAAGGAAGAAAGCAGAAAAAAAGTAAATAGATGTAAAAACAAAATTCTTGAAAGAATTTTAAACACAAAGGAAAAAAGTGAATAGAATTTATGTAGCATAAACAAAGAAAAAGCAATGCACCAAATCGTTTTCTGTGTTCTTAAAGTTCTATGGGAAGAGGTGTTGTTTAATCTACTGTAGCCTTTTTGAGATATTTATGTATCAGTAGAAAATTGTGTGCTAGATATTGTTCAGATCTCAAAGGATGACAGCAAATCTCAACAGTTATGTTGGTACATCACTGGACATCATGTTTGTATTCTAACATGACCCTATGCCCAGTACAGATAGCCCTTGGCTTATGACCACTATTGAGCCCAAAATTTATGTTGCTAAGTGAGATGTGTATTAAGTGAGTTTTGTCCCATTTTACGAACTTTTTTGCCACAATTGTTAAGTGAATAACTGTAGTTATTAAATTAGTAACACAGTTGTTAAGTGAATCTGGCTCCCTCATTGACTTTTTTAAAAAAAATTATACACCGCTTTACAGTGCTTTACAGCACTCTCTAAGCGGTTTATAGAGTCAGGATATTGCCCCCAACAATCTGGGTCCTCATTTTACCCACCTTGGAAGGATGGAAGGCTGAGTCAACCTTGAACCTGGTGGGATTTGAACTGCCAAACTGCAGAAGCCGGCAGTCAGCAGAAGTAGCCTGCGATACTGGATTCTAACCACTTGCTTGTCAAAAGGCCGCAAAAGGGTGTCACGTGACCCTGAGACACTGCAACCATCATAAATACGAACCAGTTGCTAAGCATCTGAATTTAGATCATATGATCATGGGGATGCTGTAAGGGTTGTAAGTATGAAAAATGATCATAAGTCACTTTTTCAGTGCCATTGTAATGTCGAACGGTCACTAAATGAATAGTTATAAGTCGAGGACTTCCTGTATTGTCCCTGCTGCCCAGTCAAGTGACAAAAGAAACTGTCATGGATTGCTGAAAGTTTATGTCCACATTTTTCACAGTCCTATTCTTTCAAGCCCATAGACAGGATCTCAAAGGGGGTTGTAATCTATCATTAAGTTCTCACCCTTCTCCATCCCTCTAAAGCACAAAGGGTTATTATCTTCATAATAGGTCTCTGAGTAAAGTCAAGCTGAAATAATAATACTACCTGCCTAAAAAATCATCTGCTGACCTTCACAAATAATGGTAGCCCAAACAGTGGTTCACCAAATTCCACACACTAATATTCTGCCTTTTGTGTTTCTCATTATCCCAGCTGTAATCCACTTAAATAACAACACCATCCCTGAAATAGTGAGTTCTAAAATGAAAATAAAACTAATATTAAAAAGATAACACAAGCTGGCTGTTGCCTCTGTCTTTGGAAGGTTTACCGACTAAACTGAAATAAAGAATGCAAACTGAGATGCGTCTAAAACATGATTCATTGAAGAATAGCAGAAAAATCTCCCTAATTGCTAAAAAGAACTACTAATTTAATGAAGATTTTCTGAAGTGGATTGTTGATTAACATTAAAATCTTTGCAGAAAAAGATTAATATAGATAACATGCTGTTGGGCAAAAAGAAAATAATTCCATTTCTTTTCATTATAGCTAACCTTTGCCATGCTTGGAAAGTTAAAGACATCTTGTCAAATAAATCAGATCAATTAGTATGAGGCCTGGAGAATGTACGGAAGATAAATGCTTGTGCCCTAAGCTGCCTATTGTAATACTATCACTTTTCCAATACATGGAATATACGTGAAATAATGTGTAACAGACATAGAATTATCAGGTAATGAGTGCATTGTAATGAGAAATAGGCTACTTTTAGAAAAGAAACAGATGTCTAAATTTTGGGGCAAATTTCAAAATTATCTCTAACATGTCCTGAAGGATAATCATTTTTATTTGCCTCACTAATGTCTCTCTCATCCAAAGCAGGAGCAAAGAGTTTTAATTTGATTTTAAAACCAATGAAGAACTGAAGGCAGCTTCTCTTGCTAACTTAAATATTCCATAAACTTCATCTCTGGTTTATCTTGTGTGTCAAATTTCATATTGGCCTGTTAGGAAGGCTGCATGTCTGTTTCCCGCCATATGAATATACTATATAGAACAGGGTTGTCCAACTTTGGCCAGTTTAAGATTTGTGGATTTCAACCTTCAGAATGCCCCAGCCAGCATGGCATGGCTGGGTGGGGAATTCTGGGAGCTGAAGTCCAAAAGTCTTAAAAGTGGCCAAGGCTGGACAACCTTGGTATAGAACAAAAACATAACAGTGGGACTCTCACATAGACATTATTTCCTGAGCCATGAATGGGTCATTTCGTCCTTAGAGGATGGATGTTTCTCCTTCATTTCATTTAATCTACTCTATGAGATTCCCAGAAAGCTCCTTCATCTTCAGCCTATCAAAAGGACAATGTTATCTTTTCCCAGCCTTAGTCCTTCCTGTTCTGATGGAAACATAGCTGAGAGAAAGGCTTAAGTCTTCACAGTCTTTCTCATACAATACAACTGTAACTTCAGCTACTATCTGTTTGTCCATCAACTGCTTGCTCTGGTGGGGCCAAGAGACATTGGGGACTAAGGTCTTTGTGTGTTGAATAAAAGATGTGGCAGTCAACACATTTGGGGTACAGGTGATGTCCCTATATGCTAGATGCAACCTGGCATCAGGAACATCAACTACTAAACAATGCATTCAGTCTACTATTTGTGTGTCGAGACTGGCTTTGAATTCAGGAAATCAGGGCCGAAACATCTGGCCTAAAGTTTTACTTTCCTTACATATAATTTTATTCTCTATCATCCATTTTCACTAACAGTTATATAAAGGATCAGTGCAGCTATGCTTGCTTTTCTAAAGATCAGTATTATTGCCAGAAAACCAATCTGAGCTGTCATGGTTCAAAACATGGCATTACTTCTGTTGCCTTTATAAGAATTATAATAATTTTAATTAATGTTTAATTAATTAATGCAATTAACCTTAGATGGCAGAAAAAAAGTTGTTCAACCTCATCCTAACCAAAAAGCTAATCAGGTATTTTCTACTGTTTTATTCTGGTTTTAACAAAAGGTACAGGGTTCAGAAAGAGAAGATTCAGTATTTTTATCATTGTTATTTCTATAAATAACCCCAGACCCTGGAGTTCAGTCTAGGCTGTTGATCACGTACCTCTCCCCCAGCTGTGTGGCCTCAGCCCTGCCCGCACTATTAGATGTCTTAGCCGAATTGACGGTAGAACTCCCCAACCTTTTGGTTGTGGGAGATTTCAATCTGCCATCGGCCAGTGAGTCATCTGAGTTGGTGCGGGAGTTCATGACCTCCATGACGGCCATGGACCTGACTCAGATTGTACAGGGCCCAACTCATATTGGAGGACACACACTCAACCTTATTTTTCTCTCTGGACAGTGGATAAATGATCGTGGGGAGGGGACTTTATCTACTGACCCTCTGTCATGGACCGATCATTCCCTCCTTAGACTCGACTTTTCCTCCGCCATCCCCCATCGCAGGGGCGCGGAACCAGTAAGATGGTTCCGCCCCAGGCGCCTGATGGAACCCAAAAGTTTCCTGATGGAGCTTGGGTCATTTCCCGCCTCCTTAGCCCACAATTCATCTGAGACCCTTGTTGCGGCCTGGGAACAGGCTGCGGTGGGGGCCCTGGATCGAATCGTGCCTTTGCGGCCTCTGATCCGACGCAGATCCCGGGCGGCTCCTTGGTTTACCGCGGAGCTCAGGGAAATGAAGCGTCGGAAAAGACACCTGGAGGGTGGTTGGAGATCCTCCCGATCCGAGTCCGACCGAACACAACTAAGAACCCATATTAGGTCTTATCTTGTGGTGATGGAAGTGGCGAAACGTAACAGGGCCTAGTCTTGGTGGAGACATCTGGGTTGAGTTTGAGCCTGTTTCATTGGATGACGTGGAAAGGATTATGGGTAGGCTGGGGTACATGTTTACTGGACCCTTGTCCCTCCTGGCTAGTTTCGGCAGCCAGGGAGGTGATTGGAGACTGGATCCAGGCTGTTGTCAAGGCTTCACTAAAGGAAGGGGTCTTTCCCGCTGCGCTTAAAGAGGCGGTGGTTCGACCCCTCCTTAAGAAGCCTAACCTGGATCCTGACGTACTTAACCACTACCGTCCAGTCTCCAACCTTCGCTTTTTAGCGAAGGTTGTTGAGTCCGTGGTGGCACAGCAATTCCCTCAATTCCTGGAGGAAACTGACTACCTGGATCCTTACCAATCTGGTTTCAGGCGTGGCCACAGCACGGAAACGGCATTGGTCACCCTAGTAAATGATCTCTGGCGGGCCAGGGATGGGGGTTGCTCCTCCATCCTGGTCCTTCTTGACCTCTCAGCGGCGTTCGATACCATCGACCATGGTATCCTGCTGCAGCGGCTCAGGGGGATAGGGTTAGGAGGCACTGTTTTACAGTGGTTCTCCTCCTATCTCTCAGGCCGTCTGCAGTCTGTTTGGGCGGGGGGTCAGGGATCCTCCCAGAGGCCTCTCACTTGTGGGGTGCCTCAGGGCTCGGTTCTCTCCCCTCTGCTCTTTAACATCTATATGAAACCGCTGGGTGAGATCATCCGTGGTTTTGGGGTGAGGTATCATCAATATGCTGATGATACCCAGCTTTACATTTCCACCCCGACCACCCTAGGGATGCCCTTTCCGTGATGTCCCACTGCCTGGAAGCGGTGCGGGTTTGGATGGGGAGGAACAGGCTTAAACTCAACCCTTCCAATACTGAGTGGCTGTGGATGCCGGCATCCCGGGATCTGGAGATTCCATCCTTAATGATCGGAGGTGAAACCCTTGCTCCCTCCGATAGGGTCTGCAACTTGGGTGTCCTCCTGGATTCTCGGCTGTCTTTAGATGACCATCTGACGGCCGTAACCAGGGGGGCCTTCGCACAGGTCTGTCTTGTGCGCCAGTTGCGCCCGTTCCTAGACCGGGATGCCCTCGCCACAATCACTCACGCCCTTGTTACCTCTAGGTTGGACTACTGCAACACCCTCTACATGGGGCTGCCCTTGGGATGTGTCCGGAGGCTTCAGCTAGTCCAAAATGCAGCCGCGCGGGTAGTTACGGGGGTGTCTAGATACTCCCGTGTAACACCTCTCCTGCGTGAGCTGCACTGGCTACCGGTAGCACTCTGGATACGTTTCAAGGTGCTGGTGCTCACCTATAAAGCTCTTCATGGCTTAGGCCCGGGGTACTTGCAGGACCATCTCCAGCCGTTCTCCCATCGTCCTGTGCACTCTCACAGAGTCAGCCTCCTCAGGGTGCCGTTGGCCAAACAATGTCGGCTGACGACCCCCAGGGGGAGGGCGTTCTCTGTGGGAGCCCCGACCCTCTGGAATGGATTGCCCACTGAGCTCAGGACAGCCCCCGACCTTCTTTCCTTCCGTCGCGAGCTGAAGACGTGGCTCTTCCGCCAATTAAACTGATCCGTTTGGGGGTACACTGGTATAATTTTAAATTGTTTTTTAATTGGGTTACTGATTTTAATTTTGTATTGTATTGTGATTTGTATTGAAGTTGTCATTTTGTAAGCCGCCTTGAGTCCCTAGGGAGAAAGGCGGCATATAAATCGCAATAAATAAATAAATAAATAAAATAAATAAATAAATGCTATTTCGTGGGTCTGAATATTTCCCATAGGGAAAAAAAATAAAAGCACTTTACCTCCTTAAGGTAATTCAGTATACAGATGAAATGGGGGAATGGTAAACTAGGAAAGGTGTATCACAAACCTGGATTTTAATAGTAAATAATAAGAGAACTGGTGATTTTTACAATAAAAAAAAAGAACAGTGAGCTCACATCAATATTTTTAGATTTTAATGAGGAAAAATGATAGAAAGATGCATATAGACACAATTAGATGTACGGATATGTTGAAGATGGAAATATGATTGGGTATGACAAATCTTAAGAAAACTCCCTTTTATGAACCTGTAATCCCTTAATTCAGGGTAGAGTTGGGGCAACTGAAGGGAGCTGAACATTTACTGGCTGGATGCCCTTCCTGACACCACGTAGAGTTCGCAGCAGATATTTGCATATCTTAAGAACAGCAGCCCAAAAGGTGAAGACATCACAAAAACCAAAAGAGTAGAGAAGTTGAGAAAGTGAAAAACAATCATATTGAAGGCAATGGAGAAAGAAACATTGGAATAGGGAAAGGCAATGAAGAGGCAGGAAGAGTCAAAATAAATTGAACAGACGACTCAGTCAACTCGTAAGAGGCAAAATCTAAATTGAACAAAACATGGCAGGTCAGAAATGAAACCTGTGATTACAGATAAAATAATTGAGAAGGTTAAAAAGATAGGAAGATGATGACAGAGAATATGAAGAGGAAAAGTTGTAAGCTGATGCAAAAGAAGTTAAATCTGTTCAAAAAATGATAGACAGTAAAGAAAAGCCATCTTTATAAGGTGAAGGAAAGAGACCAAGGATGTTGATTTATATTACTAAGGACAGAATCAACAAAACTATTTCACTTACAGGACCCACAAGAGAGATACGGCACGGAAAGTCCTTATGCATTTTCATCTTCATATCCCCTTAAATCGCTTACCTTGAGCTTCCTTCTTGCATTGAACTTTTTCAGACACTCTACGGTCTCCTGCCTGTGCATCATTGAGGCCACTGTCGAACGTTGCTGCAAAAAGAATATTACAAGACATGAGTGTGAGATAGGGAAGCCAAGAGCAAAAGTCTAAAGCGTTTGGCCTGGCATTAAAAAAAAGTGCATGCAGAAACAAGTGGGGGGGAGGATTCAACAAAAAGGCAAGGTGAATTGGGTTTGTGGGGAAACAGAGACAGACTCTATTGCCCTCCTGACCTGCTTCGGTGTATCTAATACATGCAGGTTCCTAAAACAGCTTAGGTACCAGTTAGTCATATTGAGCGCACTGTGAAGGAGGTCCTTGAAGCAGTCCATGGAAAGGTGGTTGTAGTATCTGCCTACTCAGGCAGTTTCCCCAGCACCATGCAACCCATGGTTCTGCAGATCCCCAATAGTAACATATGTAAGTCAGCTTCTTGGAGAGGAACATTGGTATCACTAACAATAAGATTAGTCTAAACAAACTGTACAGGGGACAAGTAGTGGGCCTCCTTGTGGCTCAGTGGATCCTCCGTAGATCATCCCTATCTAGCCTCTTCTCAGTGGATCCTTCTTGGATCATCCAAGCTCTTTTAGTCAGCTTGCCACAGAATACTCAAAACAGTGAAGTTTTATAAACAAAGTTATTTAAAACTTCTGCTCAGTAGAGGTACTCTCATAAAAGCTCTTTGGGTGCTTATGCATCCTTATCATTATTTTGCTAATATCCTATCTTAGAAGGTGTAACTATTATAATCTCTAAGGGAACTAATCAAAGAAACTTGGGATTCTTCTAACAATGTTTGAGCAGATAGGTTGAAACTAAGCCACAAGGAACATGCAATCATACTTACGCAGACCCATGGATGTTTCAGAGCTTCGTGTGCTGTGATTCTCTTTGCAGGGTTGATGGTTAACATCTGATTTATGAGGTTTTTTGCTTCAGGAGTGACTGTATCCCATTCAGGGGAAGGAAACTAAGGAAAGACGATATTGCAAGAAGACAACGTTAATATTAAAAGAAGAGGGTCTTCTCTAATCAATTAAGTTGGTATTTCTAATAAAAATGCTAGAGTAACACAAAGACGCAACAGAAATCTGAGGCATGAGCCAAGATTTCATCCACAAATTGCTGTTAAAACTCAATATGAGGCATTCAGTTACAGACATTTTTTAAAAAGTATGTATATATATATATGTATATGATTTATTCCATTTGAATCATTGTTAACATATTTGGCAATATTTTTTTAAAAAATGGACATATTATTCTAAATCAGGCATGACCAACACATGGCCCACGGTCTGCATATGGTCCTGGACAGCTGTTACAAGATCGTAAACTTTTAACATTATAATGTGATTTTTTTAGAGGTAGTTACTATATTATATATTTTATATGAGGCCCAAGACAATTCCTCTTCACTCAATGTGACCCAGGCAAGCCAAAAGGCTGGAGGCACCTGCTGTAAATCATGATTTCTTTATTTCATAAATAATTAGTTGAATACAATACAGCATATTAGGGTTTAAGGTGATGTGTAAAGCCAAGCTATCAATCTATCTTGACAGCTATCGATTGAAGAAAGAAAGAAAGAAACACCCACAAAGCATCCCTGAGTCCTTTTGAAACTCAGCATTCTCACAATCTCAAGGAGACTTAAGCTCCTGCTGAGGAGCTTACAATTAGCCCAATACATGATTTTAAGAAAAGCAACTTCTGAACATTTTTCTTCGGGTAGTAAAACTTCACAGGTTGTAAGACAGAGGGAACACAAGCAAAAGAAACCACTGCTCACATCGTAGGCACCAGCCTTAATCTGTTGGTACAGCTTGTGCTGATCCTCATCCCAAAAAGGAGGATACCCCACGAGTAAGATGTAAAGAATGACACCTGGGTGTGGGGAGAAATGGAACAATAGCAAATTGATAAACAAACAAATGACATGTTGCAATGTGATTTGAGATGGCCATTTGAGTAATCAATCAGCAATAATCTAAACTGAACTAAGTAAGTGAACAGATCCAAATCTTGAGTTGCATACTCTACTCATCCTGATTTGGGACAGGAAGAAAGCAAGCAAGGAAACAAGCAAATGATTTCTGATCCTCATCTTGCAATAGATTTCCAAATTGTAGGCAAGGAGTTGTAGGCAAGGAGTTGCAGGCTACTTCTTTTACCAGGAGTGTGTGTTTGTGTGTGTATGTGTGCATGAGCAAATGGGAGGTCAATAGTGATTGGAACAATTCAGCAAGCAAAAGGACTTGAGAAGCACATCCCATCTAGAGCGTTCACTGGTTTTCAGCAGAAGGTGAAGACCTGGAGCAAGAGCCTTCTAGCCATGGGCATCCACAGATATGGTTAAAGAAAAGTCAACATGCTGACCATAATGGTGTGATTGCCTGGTTTTTGTTTGTGTTGTACATGTGACCCACAAAAACAAATGGAGCTTTGATAGTCCTGCCATCTTCACCCCTTTGACCACAAGGTTTTATATGCTCCATCCAGTCAAGCACGGTATCTGGTGACCACATAGGCACACCCATGTAATTTTCCTGGCAGCCATATGGAACAGAATGTCATCATGCAGCTTTGACTATTTTGCTCATATTAGTGCTAAATGTAGTGTTTATTATTGCAGGGGTGGTTTTTTTTTTTTTTGCTCTGGGCCATCTTCTGTAAGGAGGAACATAAATGTATAGCTATAGTAATATGTGACTTCAATCCTTACCGAAACAATTTACTCTACAAAACTGTCTTCCAGTTTGTCTTCTATCAGAGTTCTATCTGTGTTTATCTTCTACCTGAGTTTTGAGGGCAACACACCAACTTTTGTAAGCTGCTCTGCAGATCAGTGCTGAGCCGTGGACTAAATGGGAAGCCCTCTCTGCACCTCTACGGGCCCACCATGATAGAGCAGAAAGATGTAGCTCTCTCTTACCACATGCCCAGATATCCACAGGTTTCCCATAAGCTTCTTTGCGTAGAACTTCTGGAGAAAGGTAGCCAGGAGTACCTGCAAAGCCTGAGGAAGAAAGCAAAAATTGCCAACACACGTATGTTCACACAACCGTCTGGCTCTACCACACAAATCAAGAAAAGAGGAAGGGAGCATAGTTCCACCAGCACTCACCAAACCAGGCCTGCTGGTCTCCTTGCACCTCAATTGCCAAGCCAAAATCTGCCAATTTCACCGCTGCTCCTTTGCATTTGCTGGCCAGAAGCAGGTTCTCCGGCTGTCGGGATGACCCAACAGAATACAGGGTGACGTTTTCATAGTCATGTATGGTTTGTGGTTAGTTTAAATCAAAAGGGAAGGAGGAAGAAAAAAGAAACAACAACAACCAGTTTGCAGAAGTCGTCAAACATTTGCAATCCTCCCCTCCCCTCCATATAGAGTGAGACAGACAGACCTAGAGAGAACCTATTTAAGTGGAAGATTATCACTAAAACTGAGACACTCCATCGTACAGACCAACTTTGCATGAATGGCTAGTTGTGGACTGAACGGTTTTGACCTCATAACTGAACCCCCTGCTAGTTATTTGCGTGATTTGATTTAGCGACATCATGAGAGATCCAATGTGCTTTTGTGCCAGTATTTCTACCAATGCAATCCTATATGTACTGACTTGGGTACTCAATCCATTGAAGGTGAGTAGGCAAGTTTAACATTCGCCTGTTGGCAGTCCAGGATCATCTCTGCTGCTTGTGTATCTATAACATCGTAGTCTAACTTATAATTAAAGTGAGTGGCATTCATCCAGAATTAGAGGGAGCTATCTTAGCAGGTTCAGAAGCACAGGCTTTCTACAGTTCTAAGTAAGCTGTTTTTAAAATGAGTTTAAGTTGGGAAAAAAGATTCATAATTTATTTTAAATGCACTTCTATGGGGCTATATTGGGAGGGGGTGCACACAAAAACTGCAAGGGGCATAAATAACCACTAGCTTGACTTGCATTTCCTAGCACATGTTTTTTCCACTATATAGCTGTGACTTTAATCTTCTTGATTTGAACCTGGCTCATGATATATAGTGCCCTCCCTACAGCCCTCTTACTGTCCAACCTACCAATACCTCTTTAAAAGGCAAGCTGTGGTACTAAAGAGCTAGCGAGGGCTTTGAAGCATCCATGATGTAATGTTTTGTGTTTACAAATTAGCATTCCAGGGGAAAAACTAATTTCTTGGGAAGATTTGGGAGATAGATTTCACTCCTGCTTGCAATATTGTTTGCTATTCTAGAATTGTTAAAGCGTTTCCTAGCACAGGTAGTCCTTGATTTATGGCCACAATTGAGCCCAAAATTTCTGTTGCTAAATGTTTTGCCCCATTTTTACAACCTTTCTTGCCACAGTTGCTAAGTGAATCAACACAGCTATTAAGGTAGTAACACATTTGTTAAGTGAATCTGGCTTCCACACTGACTTTGCTTGTCAGGTCACAAAAGGTGACCTGAAGTGATCTGAATTTTGATAATGTGACCATGGGGATACTGCAATGCTCCTAAATGTGAAAAACAGTCATAAGTCACTTTTTTCAGTGCCGTTTTAACTTTGAACAGTCACTAAATGAACTGGTGTAAATCGAGGACTACCTGTAGAACATCTTGACGATGCTTCCCTTACAACTTGAGGTTTCGGTTGCATTTAGTTTTGAAGATTCTGAATTCTGACCCCCTTCCTTCTTGCTGGTATCACCCACTCGTTGAAGGGGGTTGGATTAGATCTTTTCCAAGCAAGAAGTATGTAGTGTGATGCTAGATTTCCATCAGATTGGGGCAGACTGGATGGTGACAGGTTAGGTAAGGCTAGATTCACTCTTCCATTTCTCTCTGGTCATGTCATTACTGTAGCAGAATGGGATGAATATGTGTATGTGTGTGTGTGTGTGTGTGTGTGTGTGTGTGTGTGTGTGTGTGTATGCAACATCAAAGAGAAAAGGAACATAATGGTGGGTCTCTGTTTCATTTGGTAAACTGAGAACGACACAACAGACAATATTCGACCCACCAAACATGCACAAGGGCTCCCCTCCATTCCATCCTTTGTTTGAATTTCTTTTTTGGATCCAACAAATATGGATTAATAAGCTCCACTTTGCATCCCATTATAGCTAGTGTCCAAAAGGCAATCCAGAGGCTAGCTGCTCAAAAGTTAGCAGACACAGAAGTATTCCTGTTGAATGCATTCCTTAGAAAATGTTGGCAATGTTATAAATTATAGAGAAAAAGAATGTACGCAAGCGTTGGAAAAAGATTAGGAGCAAACTGTGGCTGCCAGTATGCAAACATGCACTGCTGAGTCTATGCACCATGCAACTTTCTTCTTATGGGGTTTAGGAGGGACACCTTAAAAACAAAAGAACTTAGATTCTACAGACTGTACTAATGGGAGGTCCAATAATTATTAAGAGATACCATATATCCCACTGAAAAAAGTAGGGCTTGACATTTAGCTATGCACTTTGGGATGAACATCCTTGAATGGTGTGGGAGAATGAACGGACTTTCAGAAAAAATGCAGACTTCACTACAGGAACCATTTATGTTTCTGTCTGAGATGCAGGCAACACAGACTCATCCCCAACAGCCTGCACCTGTGTTCAACAGTGAAGGGCCACAGGGCAGAAAACATCCTGCAGAAAACCCAGCTCCACAAAACAGTCCTTTCAACAGTTCCAAGAAGGCTCCACACACATTTGCACTACTCAGGTGACCCTGAGGACACAGACAAACTTCCAAGTGGCCTCAACGACTCTCTAAAAGAATGCAAATGACCAGCTGTCTGCAAGGAGTATAAATCCTTCCGTTCTCCACCATCCAGTCAGAGCTGAAGAAGCTTCTTGGATGAGGAGCAAAACATCTTCAGAGAAAAACAAGGAAGTCCAGTTGCCTCTTGAAAAAGCACATTTAGGACAACCATGACCTGGATGACTGAGAAACTCCATAGAAATAGGGCTTGATATGCTCAAGTTCCTTCTAACTAGCCATCAATTCACAAACACCATTACATCACTTTGAGACAAGGAAGATCATCACCCCACTTGGAAGGGTCCCAAAGGTGTTTTTTTCAAAAGGGAACTGGACTTCCTTTGTTTAACATTGAAGACATTTTGTTTCTCATCCAAGAAGCTTCTTCAGTTCTGACTGAATGGTGGAGAACGGAAGGATTTATATTCCTTGTAGTCATCTGGTTGTTAGCACTCTTTCTGAGAGTAATTGAAGCCTCTTGGAGGTTTACCTGTGTCTTCAAGGTCACCTGAATAGTGTCAATGGGCATGGAACCTTTTTGGAACTGCTGAAAGAACAGCATTCAGTTAGAACTGAAGAAGCTTCTTAGTTGAGAAGCAAAACATCTTCAAGGAAAAACAAAGAAAATCCAGTTGCCTTTGAAAAAAGCTACTTTGGGACAACCATGATCTGGATGACTGAGAATGTCTAGCTCTCAGTTCTTCATACTTTTTTTTTCTGCCCTGAAAGACTAGATACAGCTTCTTAACTATTGTGGGATGGCTATTTCTTCAGAGGCATGGTTGTTAAGGAATGGAAACATATTTCCAGCAAAAGGATAAAGTCCCCACTGCAGTCCTGCTACAGTTAATGAACATCACTTTCCACTAGGATTTCACAACTACCTTAGGCTTCAGTTGAACACTTTCAAGACAGAGTGCTTCATTAAACTATAATTCCCAGCTAGGAAACTCCAAAACAAGCTGGAACATCTATTTATAATCCACCCTTAGAATGAATGGGAATTAAATTAGTTGTCTAACCCTATTGGTTCAAAGACAGCTTAAATAATACTGAATCTTGGAACTAGCATTATAAACTCAGGCCAGGGTATTTCCCGGTGACACAACATGTTTCCTGGCCTTCCTTTTCCCCCCCAATAAGCAACATCAAATTAAGATACAAAAGCAATGCAAGGAAGCACTTCCACCCTACAGTCATTGGCAGACACATCCTAGAAGCTCCGTTAAATGTGGAGGGAATCACATTTGTAACAAACTATTATTTATGTACAATATCAATAAGACCTTTCGGAATAGAAGCCAACATTTAGCCAAGTTACTGTACTGAATATTTCTACATGTAGCAGCTAAGCAACTCAGAGGTCTGATTTGCATATTCACTAACCATGCTTTGTTCAATAAACCTTAAGTGGTTGGATTTATACTTCATACTCAGTTGGAAATCAAACTTCCTAACTACAATGGTTGGTTTCACAGTACAACATAAACTAAAATCAAAAAGGCACATTATGTCTTAATATGATATATGAAGCTACAGGTTGTCTTTGGAATTATCTACAAATCATAAAATAGCCTGAGACCAATGTAGCTGGTTGGTCACACCTTTTCCTAGTAGACTTCTAAGTCAACTTGAAAGTCCCTTTGGTTCTACTTTATGGGCAATTTATAGTTACTATTATAAGTCAAGATAACTATTGCACTTTATTGATTTCATACAAATATCTACTGTATACAGTTGTTGACTAATCAAGAGTGAAGGTCAACAACCATTAGGAAATTATGTCCACTGAACCTTTGTCTAAAAAGTAAAACTTAGCTATAAGCTATAAGTATAAAACAGTATTACTGAACTCTACACTAACTTTCACAGTCCATTAAGAATTGACAATTATACTTTATCTTCATTTAGTGATTTCATTCTGATTCTACTTTTCTGCAAACGGCTAGAAAATGAACTGATAAATTCAGTTAGCAAAAATTAAAGAGATTTCATTCATAAGCACACTTAACTTGGTAGTGCGTTCTATTATAATCAAGGAGGACAAACATGAAGAAAAAAATTGCTTATAATTTGAATGATGTGTTTTCTAAGGGTCTATGACAATTCGCTGTGGCCAACTTGCCATGGCCAACTCACCACGGTCAACTCACCAAAGCCAACTTGCCATGGCCATCTTGCCACAGGAGAACTCACTGCAGGACAAGAATTACACTGATATCAAAGAAATGGTGGAATAGAATCGTTAAAGAAAGGATGCAAAAGGGGGAACAAAATGAAAGCTGAATGACAAATTTTTTTAAAAAAAAATTATTTTAAATAATGAAATAGAATTGTTAAATTGTCCCGCAACAAATTGTCTGGTGGTGAATTGGCTTTGGCGAGTTGTCCTGCACCAAGTTGCCCGTGATGAGTTGGCTGTAGCAAGTTTGCCACAGTGAGTTGGCTGTGGCAAGTTGTCCCATTCCCCAATACCACACCAAG